GGTACCATCTACCAGTCGCCGTTGGCGGCTCACGTACTCGTGATGATAATACCATGCGGCAGTCGACGGTGGCGGCTTACCTACGCTTACCGATTCTGCTCGCTTTTGATGATAAGGGAAGAACACTCGTGACGCTCCATTTGACTTTTTCTACTTATCTACTACTATTAAGTACATTGTTGCCTCGAAGTCGACGTGATGCGGAGCTTTGATTTGCGGAGTTGCCGCAGAGTGCTGGAGAGTGCCGCAGAGTGCCGCAGAGTTGCCGGACAGTGCCGGAGAGTGCCGGAGAGTGCCGGAGAGTTGCCGCAGAGTGCCGGAGAGTGTCGGAGAGTGCCGGAGAGTGTCGGAGAGTTGCCGCAGCGTGCTGGGGAGGGCCGGAGAGTGCCGGAGAGTGCCGGAGAGTGCCGGGGAGGGCCGGAGAGTGCCGGAGAGTGCCGGAGAGTGCCGGAGAGTGTCGGAGAGTGCCGGAGAGTTGCCGCAGAGTGCCTGAGAGTGCCGGAGAGCTCCGGCACTCTGCGGCAACTCCGCAAATCAAAGCTCCGCATCATGTCGACTTCGAGGCAACAATGTACTTAATAGTAGTAGATAAGTAGATAAAGTCAAATGGTGCGTCACGAGTGTTCTTCCCTTACCATCAAAAGCGAGCAGAATCGGTAAGCGTAGGTAAGCCACCACCGTCCACTGCCGCATGGTATTACCATCACGAGTACGTGAGCCGCCAATGACGACTGGTAGATGGTACCGCCATCGCGAGTGCGCGAGCTTCTGTCAGAATTAGTTGCGCCGACCTTGGGGGCAAAAAACGGTCAAAGCTAACGGACGAAACCAGAGGGCAGCATACGTTGCGATCGCGCGACCCTGTCCGGAGCAATCTCCCAACTCATCTCTGATATGCCCACCCGACGGCAACTCACGCCGTCCATGCTCTTCCCCTCACTCTGTAATACCTCAGGTCGTCCGTGCTGCCATCTAGCATTCCACTTGGTTTCTATTTATTGGGTATCTAGCGTCAACTCGGGAATTTGGCTTCAATGGAGACTTCTGAATTCTTCGCTGTGAGCAATCTCCCAACTCATCTCTGCTGTCAGTCGAAATAAATCAAAACCTCGCACCGTTTACGTTCTTGGAAGTTTTATATTAAATAGACGCTAGGACAGTGTAAATATTATTGTACAATTTCGCGGTATCACTTGCGATACACTCCGTGACTTGCGCGGTATTTTGCCACGCAACTTGACGCATATTATATTATTCTTCAGTAAAACACTATGTGGGCGGATAATATAGCTAAAATAGTTGCTTCTCGAATTCCTATTTAATAGTCGTACGCGATTTTCAGTTCCATTCCAACTTGATTAAGCCAAACGTAGAATCTTCTTCTCATTTGGAACGATAGAAGACAGGACTCCGCGATTTATCCTAGCTAAATAAAATTCACTTGGGTTCTCTCGACTCAAATAAACATTATGTGCTGTGAATAATTCAGGTAATACTAATAAATAAATAAAGAGCTGCGAGTTAACGCTACTGAACAGCATTTATTTGAGCCAAGGGAACTTCGATTTCGACAACTTGGTCTGACTAGCGGTAAGAAATCGCGATACTGCCCTCTATCATTAACCAAACACATTAATTGACTGATGGGGTCTTCTTCGGTGTGATGATGATAGCTCATGATGTAAATTTACGTAAATCGTGAACTGCGCCTAGAGGCGGTGCCTATTTACAAATCGCGACTCTTAATTCCTAGAAGAGGCACATCTTGAGTATCTTTTAGATAGCACATGCTTTTTTTCGTGTTTTGTGAGCTTCTAGCTCAACGTTGCCATCTCGGCCACCAGCTTGACGTCATCAGGAAGTCTCTGTCAATGGTCGACAATGACAGCCACTACGTGGGCTATTTCACATCCAGGCACTCTGATGTTTCTGCTACGATGGATTTTCCTCGGTGATGGTTTCCTTGACAATCGTTGGCACCTCTTTTCGCGACTCTTGAGGGATTAAGAAGCTCAGAACTCCTCCGACTACGTGGACAGAAAAAGAACATCCATTAAGATAACATGGAAGTGGCGTGAAGAGGTCCTGTTCATGACACTTTTCTCCAAACGGAATGTACCGAATCTTTTCAAACTTGACAACGTGAATATGGATGCTATAAAGAAGGTCTTGAAATTTAGGAAATTTCAGTTTTATTTTAATTTCCTTATAGGTATTTTCAAAATTTGTTATAAAAGAAAAACTGATATTTCATGACTGTCAGGACCTTCCTTAAAGCCACCCTTCACATTCCCTTTAAGATCTATTCATTATTTTTTAACTTCTTAGTCATTCATTTAATTTTGTCTTTACGTTTTTTTGTTATTAAATAAATCCGAATACTTACAGATGAGGATACCAGCGATCAGGAAAATGGGAACCTCACAGCTTACATCGAGCAGCATGCCGAAGACCAAATTGCTGGCGATAGCTCCTAATCTTCCTAAACATGTTGTAAGACATATTGCAACTCCACCGACGTGTGTGGGAAATATATCGACGACGACGCTGTTAAGGACGATATTGGCTGTGGTTATCGCCAAAGAGAATAAGCAGGCGATGATCAGATTTTGCCAAAAGCTTCTGACAAAGTAGATACAGAAAGCGAAGCATCCGGCCAACAGCATGCTCCAAACTGAAAATGTAAATCATTTGTTTAAATCATTTGCTGTGGTGAAATGTCGGCATCTAATGTGAAACTGTCAAATGACACTATTTTGGGAATAGTCTTATCAAACAGAATTAGAGCTTTCTTTTACTTAATGAAATAGCCTTACTTTGTAAATTATTAAAAGTCAACAATTAAATGTTGCGAATAATTAACTCACTTGGCATGGTACGACGACCAACGCGATTGGACAAAAAGCCAGAAATCACGTTTGCAAGAAGGCAAACTGCGTTGATGGTGACAGAATTGAGGAAAACTCTTTCATCAATGTTTCCGGTACAGACTTTCTGCTGGGACAAACTATTTGTCGAAGACAGATCATGGTCCTGATCTGACATAACCTCGCACACCGATGCCGATACATTAGGATGATTTTTGTAGAACACTTCGAACCTGTTGAACAGTTCTGGCAGCCACAATCCGAGACCATAATATCTAAAAGATAAAAAAAAGATTTATTTATTAATCACAAAAAAGATAATACAGCATCAAAAATAATCTAGGTATCTAAGAAAATAAATGTTCAATGATACTTTCTCTTCTCCTGACAGCATTCAGTTTGTCCACGAATTAACTATTTGTAGAAGTAACTTATTCATCTTTTTTAACCTTTAGCGCTCCGCAAGTTTCGGAACGTTATGACGAATGTCTCCGTCGCGGAGCCAACGGAGCGCTAAGGGTTAAAAGTAGGTACATACCCAAACATGTTCGCAAAATATATAGTACAGCACAATAGAGCATAGCAGGCAAGAGGAGGCGAGGCAAGAGAGCGAATCTGATGCCAGATACTTTTTAGCAATTCAGTAATGACTCCTGATTCGGAGTCATTAATTCCATGCTTCTTTGGGTTGGCATAAGTGTCCGAGAGAAGAACCTTCACCTGGTGAAAGAAATTTGAATTATTAACCCTTTGGCTACTAAAAGCGTCTGAAGGTGTCCGACGTTTGGTCTAATATTGTTTGCACGCTTCGATGAATTTCGCTCATATGTCGAAAGGACTCCGTATTCTAAAGATTAATTTACTAGGAACTTTCCCTTTTAATTAATGCCGAGAATATGACTTTCTCAACTCAGACGCTCAGTTTTTTCAAAATTACAGACCATACTGTTTTTTTAATTATTTCATGTTGGAATCATTTAATGTATATTTATGCCTCACTTACCGGGTATTCGTGTCTATTACGACCAGTGTTACGGGCGTACATGTCTTTCAAGACATGAAGGGCTTCCTTTGTCCTTCCCTGAGACACCAAGAATTTCGGACTTTCTGGATACGTCATGGCGATCAAAGCCACCAAAAATGTAGGCAGAGCTAGGATGGCCAAAAAAAGTCTCCAGGAATTGTAAAGGATTCCATTGAACTCTACTGAAAACGGCAGTGGTATCACCAGCCACGCCAGACCTGAAATTTCCATCACCCTTCAGTTATTTACTAAAATTCACTATTGTTACTTAATTTCTCATTGGTAAAATGTGTTATTTAAGAGGATATAAAAGGCGCTAAGAAATTTAATCGACGTCGATAAAGTAAACTTCATCTATACCGTTTTTGGTGGAATTCCGTTTTGAATACTCAAATGGGAACATAAGCTGACGCGTCCCATTACAGACATTTTTTTTTTGTTGAAGTCTTTTACAATCTACGATGAAAATTATACGAACTGAAGGATTCTATATGTCAATTCGATAAAGTAACGATAAAGAGATCGATGTAAAACTGCTGAAATCCCATGAATTCATGACTATTTGTATTTTGACGAACCAACGTCGCCATCTATGACGTTTAGCTACAACTAAACTTTTGCTCTAAAAACACGTGTTAGTTACAGATGTGTATATATATATGACTGACTGAATATATAAGACTGACTCTTTCATATCCTCTTAATACACGTGATTTTTTTTGTTTTTGCTATACTTGTAAAGTCTGTTTACTGACAGAAATTAATGCATCTTACCAGGCAGAATCAGCCACGAAAGTGTCCAGAAGAATCCAACGTAGCAGATGCTTTTCGCCCTTTGATTTTTTGCGTGGAATTCGCCGACGTATGTGTAAGTTAAGGAGCCGGGACATCCAATCCTGTCGTTGTAATCTCCAGTTAATATATTTTCATTCCGTGTAAGAAATGATGACGTTAAAAACCGTACTCACGTGAATCCACTGATGACCCTGAAGATGAGGAGCACTTTAAAGCTTTGTGAAAAACTAGCTACTAAATTGACTGCACTGTCAGCCAACAATGTCCCCACTAGGATGTTTTTCCGTCCATATGCATCCCCCAGGACCCCCCATACAATTGCACTTAAGACACCACCTGGGAAAAGAAAGGAAACAACAGGTGAGACGATGTATTAAGGCGATGTGAAAGTGACGTTAAAGAGGTCTCGTTTATGAAACTTATTTCCGAACCGGGTGTACCGATTCGTTTTAAGCCTTACAATATGAATATATGGTCTATAAGGAAAGTCCTGACACCCATGAAATTTCAATTTTACGATTATTTGTTTGTAGCCATTTTCAAAATTTTTTATAAAAATTCAAATTTCGCGAGTTTCAGGACCTATCTTAGGGTCTCCTTACTCATGTGGCGAAACTTGAAACAAATTGGTACACTCAATTCGGAGAATACTTTCACGGACGATTCACCCCTCAGATGCTACTTTCATACCCCCTTAAGAATAATTATTTTTGCGAGTGCTAGGTGAAAATTAGTGATAAGCAAAATTAGTCTCGGAAAGATTGCAAAACCAAAAAGTGGACTCGGTCTTACGTTTGCTCATCACTAATAAAAGTATCACGTTCGGTATTTTTAGAGTGATTTCGATAATAATCCCGCAGTCATGTTCATATGCAAATTAGCAATAATATGCGGCATGATTACTTAACATACATGTAATGTGTACCCGACACGTGACGGTTTCATTCATTCTTGATTTCGACTTCGTTTATTCCTACAAATGTGTGACGTCAAGTCAAACTTTTGTCAACACGATATTCGTATAATCACCTACTTGAACGTGACGTTTCTGACAATACATTTTAGAAATTGCTAAAGTAAAATTCGTCGCGTTACGCACTCCTGTTATCTAAAGCTATCGTGTTGTCAATTTGCAACGCTTCTTTTAAATTTTTTAATTAATTCTTTCGTACCAAGGAAAACAAAGATGTGAATGCTTTTTTTTGGGATAAGTTTAGTGTATCTGTTATGTTTGTAATAATCGAAACCCTCTTCCGTGGAAATAATAGGGAATGAATCAGGAAATTCGGTAGAGTTTCGCGCCAAATACATTTAAGAGTCTGCGCTAACGGCACCGAATACTTAACTGCAATTATTGTTAGTAATCATTTTAGGGAATAACTTTACCAACTAAAAAGGCCACGATGAGGAGACCCTTCTGTTCGGACGTCATTTTGAGATCACATTCTGCTGATGGAAGTATATATGCATTTACTCCATTTTGACAACCCGCACAGAGGAAGATCATACCGCAGAGTAATAAGAATCCGTAATGAAACCTTCCATATCCTGGAAGAGCCAACTTTTCATTAGTTGAAATCTCAGAAAATTAATACTAATTTTTTCATTATTTCTTATATACCTTATCTCATAATCAATAATACTTATTAGATTTTTATTGAAAACATATCCTACCACAGAGTTCGATGGCCTCTTCAATATCTGCATGTTCTGTCTTGGATTGTCGTGGTTTTTCTGCAAAGAAAAAAGATCGAGTCATTTAAATTGTGAAGGAGAGAAATCCCAAAACATCCAAGAATCCATGCAAAAGGAAAAAGTCGCATTTTTATTATTTCTTAATTATTTAAGGATCTGTAATTCCTCATAAACGACTTTTACCGAGTAATTTTCAATGTTTTTACTCTTGTATGGAACTCTGTTATGTTAACCCTGTATAATTCAATTTTTCTTTATGCACGAAAAAACGTGATGTTATGTAAAATTATCAAACATTAACCTTAACATGTAAACTAAAGAGTAATTAATAACTCATATGATTTCTTGGGTTGCAAAAAAATGGCGTTATCATGAGGTGGTGCATTAAGTTTTGCCGGGAAAATCAGGTAAGACTTTAAAAATACAGATTCAAGCCACATGGCATAATAAAAGGTTAATTAAAAATCGGAAACCAACCCACGGAAATTCGCGTCATTTCGCGACTTCCAAACCAACGACGATCGATTAGCTTGGTCCGCGATAAGTCGAAACGAAACTGTCGCGTCGATTAAACGTCGACGAGTTTTATAGATTCCCAGAAGGTACGCTGAGTACCTATACGCGGTAATTATATCGGCCAAGTGCACAACGTGGTTGCACATGTCCACAAGAATGCAATTGTTCTTGCGAATATGGCCACTTTGTTTCCTTGGATTCTTTATCATCGGTTACATTCAGTACTGTCAAGGCTGCAAACGATTAAAGCCTCGTTTGCCATCAATTTTCACAAGCACCCCCTAAGTAATAATCCACAATTATAAGATAAAGAGTGAAAATAATAACAAATTCGATAAAACCATATATAAGCATTCGATATCATCACAATTTTCCTAGTTATCTCGTACAGAAATTCAGAGTACTCTAAAAACATATATATTTCATCGAGTATTCAATTCATGAAGACCTTCCTACTCTGTTAATCAAAATTCTATTAATTCTTCCTCATGTATTGCGTTACTATTTGCAATTAATTCTGGATATTTGTTTTACGTACTCACTAATTAGACAAATTTCGCGGCGAGCCGCACAAAAGCTGCACTGTTAAAAAAAAATATTGAAATTTCGTAACACTTTCCTTGGAAGTTTTATTCAGATATGGTATACTAATTTTATAACATTTCCAAGCAAGATTGATAACATATGTTATGAATTTAAGACACAAGTGTACCCATTTTTCTCCAAATTTTCACAAACTTCCAATATGATGTTACAAAGTTACAAATTTATCCTCAAGCTTATCATAAATGTACGATAATTCACTTTTGATACGTGAAATTTATAATTTTAGCACAATCTTATGTACCAAAAGTATATGAATTTTATGAATATCTTTAACAGTGTGGGTGGAAAATGCGTCGATTCGTTTGGGCCAAGTCCATTGTCATTTCGCAAGTTGGTTTTCGCATAAATGCGCGATCACGTCGACACATGTCGTGTTTGTCGGCGAAATAATAAGCCGTACCGGGCATTACGGGCAAATTACCAAGGTGCTTCGTACAAAGAGTGCGATGTTTTCGCGCTTCTGCATTTCTTATTTCCAAGGAGCACTTGAAACAAATGTTTGCCGAACCGAAAGGTTGAAACGACGCCGAAAGCGCATCTCGACATGTATGAGATGCGTCTCCTTAAAAAGAGAGTCATATGACTGTCATCGGTGCAATATCCTGCAGTAATGACGCATATCCAGCCTCCTTATAAAATTTTCTCGACAAGAAATGACTCAATGGGGGTCTGACGTTTGTTCCATCGCACGTGCTTCGAGTCGCGAAAGAACGCTAAGGGTATCTTCTATTCCGACGGAGATGTTTCGTAATTAAATGATAGGGAACGTGCAATTCGAGATACCGATATGGAAAAGTCGCCTTTCAAGGGACGAGAAATAATTCATGCTTCTTTTGCTTTCAGAACGAATGCAAATGCTTTCGGTCTTGACAGAATATTGCCGTTTATGTTGCAAATGTGCAAAGTTCAACATTAATTTTTTTTTTCTCGTTTAGAATGCTCCTTCCACCCTTTTAATCTTTATGAATATGCATACAAAATTTCATTGCAAGAAACGACTCGATAGGATTCGATTCTCATTTTCTTGGGTCGATGTTAATGCCAGAATGGCTTACGTGGTACTAAACGATTATTTGCTCAGCCAGTTTAACATTTATTATTTTTTTTTCTGGTTTGGAATGCTACTTTGACCTTTTCCATTTTTATGAATTTGCATACAACATTTCTTTGCAAGAAACAAGTCAATAGGATACGACTCTCATTTCTTGGATCGATGTTAATGCCCGAATGGCTTACATGGTACGAAATGATTATTTGCTTAGCCAGCAAAAGGCTCCTCTGATCTACATATGCACGTGCCAGAATTCCACATGGTTCGTGCACTAACTTTAAAAATCCAGTAGATACTAATTTCGTTGGCAAATTAAGCCGTTTAAAGGAATTAATATAAAAATTATAACATTCAAATACAAACGGCACATTTCTTACATGTTCTCTCGAGTCTCGCTCATATTAAAATAACTTGATAAGCACTTTATAGCAAATTCACTAAAGCTATTCTTCTTCAATATTCATTCATTTTTTAAGTACGCTCTTTTGCAACTTATAATAAAGTTACCGAGTTGGGTTAGGTAAATTTTAATGCTTTAATTATTCATACGAATGTTACAATTTTATATAATAAGTGCATTGTACCCTTTCCTTTATATATCTCTCATTTCCACCGAAATAATCAAAAGTGAAAAAGAAATAAACTAATAAGGAGTTGAATCCTAAAGACCTGTTCGTCTTCGCTGGAGTTACTATTTATGCGTACTACGACACCAACCATTCACGTAAAATCACGAGGAATATTCCACGCTCTGCTTATCATGCTCAGAATGTGTTGCACTTGTCAACAATTGTTGCTGCGAAGTTCATCTCTTATGCTCGTAGCCTTGATGAGGCTTTGGAGGAAAGATTTAGAGTTAAGATGACTAGGAAGAAAGATCACTTGCTGCATCTTGTGGAATGCATATGACACATATTCATTTTCAATTTTTTTCACCTTCATGAAACTGCGAGATACGGAAAGAAAATGTTTGATAAGCTGTAATTTAATAATTAAACATCGGTGATGAAATTCGGTAATTCGGAATTTTCGAAACCACCATCTGTGGACTGCAATATGAAAATTCATGTTTCATGAAAGTCAAATAAATTATGTAAGACTTGGCTACATAAATGCCTGCTCAGAATGGAATTGCTTGAGAATTCCAAATATAGGGAGACAAAGAAAATAACAAATCGTCCATTTTTCGCGGGACTTTGGATTTAACCCGACAAGTTATAGCCCGGGATCTTCTGACCCTGACAATTACTCTTTTGATGTTTTGTTTCTCTTTGCCTTCACGTTGACGAAGAGCTTTCTTGTAATACCAAATAAGTCATAATATTCTACAATAAATAATGTTAGCCTCGTTTATATCTCTATTAATTTACAACCTTCGGATATCTCAATATTTTTTAATCGCTTTCCTTTAGTATTAAACCTGTCTTTTCACATTACTCCAACTACTCTTCAATATTTTCCAAATTGTTTTTGCAAATAGTTTTCTACTGCGTAAAATGTCTTACAAAAAATTGTTTTTTTACACTGAGTTAACCTGTATTCCGGGATCACAGCAAATGTTTTCTTATACGTTAATGGGTATTCATAATTGAAAAGTATTTGTAAATTTCATACAAATGAAGTATACGAAGTTGTATTAGAATTGAAAATTTTATATAATTATTTGGAATTAGGGTGCAATGTTTTTAAATGTCTGAGTTTTGTTGATATTGTAACATTTTATTGGAGATTGTATAAACTAGCTTGTAACGTTAAATACATCTATAAGTGTTATAAATTTAAATAATTAATTATACATTTAATATAGCGTATCTGAATATTTAATATACGTTTATTTATTACAATTTGCTAATCTGGATTTAAAAAAAACGAGATGTTAGACTGTTTTTATCAAATCATGAACAAACGAAAACTGCAATATTGGACCCGATGGAGTAGTTAATTAACAGTCGTTTCGTCACATTCGGATAAGTTCTTCCTAATTATATCCTTCGGTTAAGCCTCTGGTCCACGTTCTCTGATTCCGGAGTAATATCTCAGCCTGAAGGACACGGAATGCATTGTTGTTTACATGTCAAGACTGCGTACGCACGATTAATTGCAATTTCTGCAAAACTCTTGATGGAACTTAACTTTCTGCTTTCTGGTTTCTTCTTATTTGCCACTTACAATCGATGTCAACGTCAGTTGGCAGAATAAATCGTGATTTTTTAGTTACACATTCCGAATGAATATCACTGATAACTCAGAAATATCGTTCTTTTTATGAATATATCGCTTTTATTTTGCGACATTTCGAAGTACGCATTATTCCGTTTTGATACATTTTGTTCCCGTTGAGATCTGATTAATTTCCCCGATAGGAGATATACATGTACGATAACATCCATTATACCATGGCAGATATCTTTAGAAAAATTTTTCATATAAAAATTTCAACACAGTTGGATCTGATCAACACAGATCTAATTAATTGTCCCAGTCAAAAGACATACTAACATTTATTATACCTTGCGAAACGTGCTTAGAAAAATGACTCAAATCAAGTTTCATATAACATACATAGACCCTAGGTAAAGTCTCATCAATTTCCCATAACAATGAAATATGCGACATCAGTTACACCTCATCAAACACTTTTAAAAAGATTTTTCAAACGAAAATTTCATTTAACAAACTTTGATCCGTGTTAAGGTTTGACTTATTTCTTCCATTAATGATGTAGACAATATCACTTCTCTCCATGATGTTACTTCTCGTCACACATATTTAAAAAAAATTTTCCGATCAAAATTTCGTTTAACATATATTAAATTACTTTTCTTGACCAATGACATAGTATAACATTTATTATACCTCATCGGACGTGTTTTTTAAAATTCTCCAATTTAAAATTTTATTTGACATCTTCAGTATCAAAATTTAATTTAACGCACTTTGACCCTTGTTGAGGTTTGAAAAGTTTCTTCGAGGACCAAAGCTCGAGCTAATTCTACCTCACCTCTTGTGTTTTTTAAAATTCTCGAATTTAAAATTTTATTTGACATCCTCAGCATCAAAATTTAATTTAACGCACTTTGACCCTTGTTGAGGTTTGAAAAGTTTCTTCGAGGACCAAAGCTCGAGCTAATTCTACCTCACCTCTTGTGTTTTTTTAAATTCTCGAATTTAAAATTTTATTTGACATCCTCAGCATCAAAATTTAATTTAACGCACTTTGACCCTTATTGAGGTTTGAAAAGCTTCTTAGAGGACCAAGCTCGAGCTCATTGTACCTCACCTCTTGTGTTTTTCAAAATTCTCCAATTCAACATTTTATTTGACATCCTCAGTATCAAAATTCAATTTAACGCACTTTGACCCTTGTTGAGGTTTGAAAAGTTTCTTCGAGAACCAAGCTCGAGCTCTACTCACCGACTGTGAACGGGTAGGAGGGGATCTCGTTGACCATTTTCGGGGAGAACTTTTTCCTAGATTCCGAAGACGGGCCGCTCTTGGGAGTCCTGCGAGCCTCGAGGACGATCTTGGTCCGTTTGTCGACCGTGTCTGTGACGGACCACTGGTTTGAGCCAGCAAGCATCGCTTAAATATTATGTCATGCGCGAACTCGAGCGACGCGAATCGCGGGGGGTCTGCGATTCCGATGTTTGCTCGAACGAGTACCCACGTCCCGAATCGGCTCGACGCGATCACGAGCTTTCACCCGAATGTTGTCTCAATTGTTCCTCGATTTGACAAACGACACTTGTAAATTACGGCCCGATGACGCACTCGCGTCTTACAGACGAAATCCCTTGGCGCCAGAGACGTGCTTAATAAATCGCAAATAATTTATAATTAATATATCGCGAATGCCCCAAATATTCTTTCAATATCGGGATATCTTTTCATGTTGCACAATTCCTAAGTACGGGCGAAGTAAAGCCAAAATTGCGGTACATTCGTAACACCAGGAAGGTGCTTTACGTTTACTCCACGTTATCTAAATCGTTAATACGGTTTAATTATTATAGATTATTCGAATTTCCGTAAGCTCGCGGATAAATTTGTAAAGGTTCGAAAATATGTCTTTTGACAGCGAAATGAACGACGAGTTAATTAATTCATTTATTCTCCGGAACTGTTTACCACTCGAGTGCATTGGATAAATCGATTATAGACAAAGACAAGGAGTAGAGAAAATTTGCAAGTGTAGATTAACTAAGCGTCGATCGAGTGCTCTGGCACTGAAATTAAATAAACAATTTAAAAACTGGAGTTAAATATTTTGCTCTGTGAACCACTCACTTCTTGCTACCTTTCCAGCAATTTAATGTAAACACGGAGTTATCTCCAAAGTAAACTTGGCAGAAAAAAAAAAACATGTCCGTCAGCTTATGGAACGATCAAATAGATACCTCGAGTGCTCCTGTAATAGCCATAAAATAAATATAAAAGTCAACAAGTCTCTCAGAAAAATTGTCGGCCAAATATGAAAGCTTAATTAGTACCATTCTCCTTCAGGGGTCCGTTTTTACACCTGCGTCGTTGAAGAATCCACGATATAAATCGTCCCGATTGCGATTTTCTCTCAAATGTTGTCTCAGTTGTCCCCTGATTTGCTAATAGCCCCTCGGAATAAACAACGCACCGGCAAATTTGCATGCTAATCGCATTTGGAGACCTGAACGCCGCAAAGGCGTCCTCCTACCTCGAGTATTTTAAACAACAGGAATATGGCAGATGCTATCGCTAACACAATTGGTAAAAACAGCACCCACATGCTAAACATTGTATAAAATAATTGTTACAGGTATTGCAAAAATGACTGGCGGTGAAATTTCCTCTTAATAAAATAAATACTCTTTCTGTGCGACACAAAGTCCCTAAACGAAGCCACCGATTATCGTATATTTGCGTATCCTCGAATTAATGTTTACGTATCCTCGAATAATATTCACGTATACTCGAATTAATATTCACGTATCCTCGAATTAACATTTATACGCGACACATAGTCCCTAAATGAAGCCAGCGATTATCGTATATTTGCGTATCCTCGGATTAACGTTTACGTATCCTCGAATTAACATTTATACATTCGACGTGTGCTCAAATGAGGAACCCACGTCACGAGTCGATCGCGGGCTTTTTTTTTAATGTTGTCTCAATTGTTCCCAGATTTGTCGAGCAACACCTCGAAGACGCCTGGTGACACTGTTATTCTCACTTTGGAAGCTCTGAAGTCGCACAAGCACTGTCGAAGCTCTCAGAAATCCGAGATACCGGAAGAACCTGTGTACATACCGAGTCTACGTGAAGGCAGCGGTACTAGTAATAATGGCGGACTAGCACGTTTATTAAACAACGCAATCGCACGTTTCGAGCCGCACAATGGAACTCCAGGGCACGTTTTCTCATGCTCATAAAAAGTCTGCAAAACGCTTACACGAAGCGAAAAATTTACTTTCTAGGCGAGATACTCACGGCAATCTAAATGTTTCTTGCTAATGAATTTTTTTGGCCCGAGTCACAGATTTCTACTAGAAACTGGATTGCCAACAATGGAAGGAAATCTGTGTTCTATATAATGTTTTTTATATACCATACAAATATTTATTTAACGGCGAATTTTGTTTATCCGGTGCTTACATATCATTTCACGACGTTTATATATGGAGAATCTACTACGCTGAGAAGAAAATGTCATTGAACCAAAGAGACATATCTTTGAATGGTGCCAAAATCAAAGAATAATTATTTCACCTAAATAAACTCGAATAAATTGGAATACAATTTATTTCAGTCCAATATTTTTTTTATTTTATTCGTGGAATTAACGAAATATTTCTTTGGCTCAATGGATTTTTTTTCTCTGGGTAGAAATGGGTAATAAAAGCTTGATGAAACTAAGCTCAAGGAGATTTAATATGCTTTCAAATTTGTATTCATTTTATTCAATTACCCCTACGGCTTATTTCGTTGATAATTGTAAGTGAACATTTTTTCGGCACATTAATCCCCCTTTTTGTACAGTGATTTTTTCTTTCCGGGTACAGACTGGGCTGACGATGTTTTTGTGTTTTAGGCAAGTAAGATTATTATCCAAAATGGCGATGAAAGTGATCGACACCTGTCGCCAGAGAACCACGATTTCAATTTTCGATTTAACGAGTAACGAGTCACGAGCCGACTCGAAGCGATCACGTGTTTTTTTTTCGTAAATGTTGTCTCAATTGGCCCGCTATTTCTCAATTGTTCTTTTTTTTTGTTTGCAGGAGATAATTGGAGCTATAGAAGAAGACATTTGAGGGTACTTGCGTTTTCTCACGACCGAGTGTTGTTCATCTATAATATTGTAGACCTTATGAATTTAAATGCCTAATGTACTGTAAATATCGAAAGTATTTTAAGACAATCTGTTCATACAATTCTGGTATTTGTCTCCTGTGTTGTGAATTGCGACTTGCTATGAAAAGGGAAAACATTTCTTTTTCCTATGAGAGGTCATGTTTCCTTTTCTAGTTGATAGAAAGTCAATTACGTACAATTGGCCTGGCAGAGTTGTGATATTTACGGTATCACTTGGGGATTAATTACTAAATTCTGCATATTTCTAGAGCTAAATTTATAAGCCGTTTAAACATTGCGCTACTTACAAATTCAATCGAACGGATTGATGGAGTCCTCGATTTAGTACTCGCTTCATTGAGTAATGTATGCTTCAAATCGGCAGCAAATAGTCATCAATTTTCGATCGAGTGTTGCTTAAATCGTTCCCCGATTTGTAAATAGACACTTTTAATTGAAAAGCATTTAACGATACAGTGATATTTATTTCACGGATTACAAATCGTATCGAAATAAATACTCATCTCAGTTCGCGGGTTCTTTCAATTAGAGTCTTATTTGTTTATTAACACTTTTTCTAATGCTTTTAAACATATTTATAAGGCCTGGCGCCGTGCAGAAATTGTTGTTTGAAACTATTCCTAGAGGAACTTTTAGAAATTTGAAATCCCGGAAGAATCTGTGAGTACCAGAACTACGTGAACGTAATGATATCGGAGGCAACTAACATGAGAGCAATTTATTTAACAGCACGTTCGCGTCTTAAAAATTCATGATATATCTTCAATACAGAACTAGAAATATAAAAAAAATCGGCAAAGTTTATGAAAGAAAATTCGCTCCTACAGAAAATATCATGGTTTTTTGGATCTGAACATTTACAACAGACCGAGAAAAACTATTCGCAATATGTGTACTTTAGTAAAGAAAAAAAATGCACGTAACAAATGAGCTGACATAAAATTTCATAAGATGAACCTTTTTGTTCATCTGCTTAGTCACTCCTTCAGTTTTGTTCCATCATTGTGAATCGCTGGATTTCTTAATCTTTTATGTTCCACAAATGTTCCAAGAATAAAATTGGACTTGGATACAAGTATGCAAATTCGTAGAATTAATTTTTTTTCCCCCGAGGAAGAGATACCGCGGTATTTTGCAATATTATTTACTACCCGAGAGGCACGTAAACGGATATATTTACGTTTGCACTCCGCCCGTGATGTCATGAAAAATTTGAGAAAGCCCAAAGTGGCATAAAGTTGCTGTTGATGATGTGGCAAAATAAATTACGGCACTTGTAAAGTTTAGCTGCAGTTTTGTTCTAATTCATCGTTATCATTTTTTCACTCTCGCAGTGCGTGTCTACGTATATAAATATTTCCAGAAGAAAAATTAATTATTTCCTAAACTTGAACTTAATATTTAAATCATATTGTTTAAATTAGACTTACCATCGAACGACAATACGTACATTGGTATTGCACGTATACCCTCAATTCTTCTTTTATGAAACAATGGCGTGTTTACATCCATTGTACTATGAAAAATATCACCACTTCCTAATAATTTCATTATCATCTTTTCAGTGTATAGAATTTTTATTTGAAAACACTTTTCCTACTCTACCCTAGTGAGTGGAACGAAACTTCCGATGAGAAATTAATGAACAGCGATTATTTAGTTAAATATTTAATTATAACGTTTGTGGGTTCGCTGCTATTAAAAATGGTGTCAACTTAAATCTGTGGTAACTGTCAATATATATAACGAAATAAATGTTTCGTTGATTAACTTTCACGCGTTTTTATACATCATATCATTCACATGCACAAGAAAATTTGTTCGATTTCTATTCTAAGCACAATATCTGCATGAAGTACAATCGCGATTGAGGCGATTGATAATAAAACCAGACCTACAGATGCACGTCCGTATATAAGCTACTTTATTTGCTAAATCTCAAAATGTAATACATACCATTTTTACGTATGTAAATCTGTACATGTGGTGGAACGATAAGTCGGCAACATTACGCGATGCAGCGATAGCAGTCACATTGCACTTGCTTAAAAAAACAGTTTAGAAGTACTTCTAATTTTAAACATTAATTTAGTAGGTACATTATAAACAAATACAACAACTTATGAAAAGATATCAGGAAATATTTACTCATGACTTCGTTACCTGAAAACTTATAGCCTTTTAATACATTAACTAAATAGTAAATAGTGCGTGTAAGAAGGATTTGTTAAGGGGATGTGAAAGTAGCATCTGAAGAGTCAATCGTTCATGAAACTTTTCTCTGAACTAAGAATGCTGAATCGTTTCAAACTCTATAACGTGATTGTGGAGACTGTAAGGAAGGTCCTGACACTCATTAAATTTCATTTTTCATAACAAATTTTACAAATATCTATCAACAAATTTGTAGAAAATTAAAATTTCATGAGTTTCAGGACCTTCCTTATACCTTCCATATTTATATTGGATAGTTTGAATCGATTCAGTACATCCACTTTGGAGAAAAGTTTCATGAACGAGTACTCTTTAACGCCACTTTCACATTACCTTAATCTACACTTGTAAGAAATATTCTGTACAATTTGCATTTCGCCTTACATAATCGCTTTTCGTACATCTTATAAAGATACCTATACCACATATTGCAGTTTACCTTGACTCGCACCATTATTGAGTGCCAATTTTACCGCCGGTTTCCAAGATGGTGTCAAGGGCCTCGAAAAATAAAATAATATATAGCTTTCTCGGGCGATCGGCGTCGCAGACATGGCGAAGATATTTTCGTCCAGGCATCTGGTAATGGGAATGGGATAGCTCTGCCGTTTTACCAATGTTTGAAAGTCGATGTTTGTCGAGGGTGCGGTTTCTGCTGATTAGGCGAATTGACCTGTAAATGAAAATCGATATATCAGTCGGCCTTAACAAGATGCAAAAGGTCAAACGATAGCGCCGAGGAGGTCACTTCAAACGGTTTGGGGATTTTAATGAGCTTTAAACATATTAATCGATTAATCTCCAAACCGTTTAAAGTGACCTCCCCGGTGCTATCGTTTTAATATATTGTACTATTATCGACATGTTATTGCATTCTAAAAATAACGCTTCAAACTCTTAATACAATTCAGAGATGGGGCTACGGTTTGATATTTCAGGTTGGTATGTCAACTTGGTGTAACTGGCAGGTGGCGATGTGACACTTGTGGCATTCGATGTCTCAAGTAACCGGTTTGAATCAGAGATGGCGCCATGTCCTTCGTCCTATGTTTGAAACGATGCCTCGGGTACCAGAGGCATCCGCAGGAATAACCGCGCTCGTGTCGCAAAAATTTGATAGCTGTGTCCCCTTGGGCCTGGCTACTCTCATCTTCTCTCTGCTGCTATTATCGCTACTTCATGGTAATCACATGCGAAACGCCATCATTTTTCCTAAAATTCTCTCTTGACACAGATAAAAGAAAGAAACTAATTAAAATACTAACCAGAGCACATGAACGGACAGTTTGAAATTAACAATATAGTCCACCATAAAATTCCGGCGTACTGAAGACCATGATGAAATTCTGCCAAAGCAGTATGAATAGTTTGAAAGGGAAGTTTTCCGAGGGTAAAAAAAAGAAGGGGGTGAAGGGGGTCTCCGAGAGGAGTCGCGGCCATATTGAATTGAGTAACGCAAGCACGAGGCGACGCCATTATCAGAGGAAATCCAAGATTAAAAGACAACGGAAGACACCGGAAAAGGTTCAAAGAGACCAGAGGAGGGGCAGAAACCCTAAACCATTGGTCCGGACCTGAAGTAGTCGGACCGAAATCCACATAGAAACAGAAACAGAATAGCAATACTTTTGATAATTGTACGGTTTTAACCGTCTTCGAAAAGGGGTTAAAAAAATGTCAGTTCGCCGTTTGAGTGTAATAACATAATGTTATTGCGTTTCTCTGTCGATTGCGTACGGTCCATGTAATCCATTCTTCGATTTTCATTTTGATCCACGAAGTTGTTATATGACTGTTTAATTTAATTATTTTCTATAACCAGTTTGCAGTTTAACATTGAGTTAAACGCGACTGGTAATCATTGGCTGAAAATGTTGAACAGGTATGCACAGTGATCGAATTCACTGGGTGAAAATCTGGAGCATTAGTTATATTTGCATTGTAGAATTTAAGACAAGGAAAACAGATGGCAAATGTGTTCATCAGAGAAGACAGTTGTAAAGAAATTGAAAGTGTCGTGATGGAGGAATTTAAAGGGCAAAACAGTATTGAGCCACTCTTAAATTGTAGTCATGCCAAGGATAAAGATGTTAATGATCAGAGGGAAAAAAGTCAAGCAGAGACTATAGGAATTATCACAGAATTGGAACATCTGAGCAATCATTTAAATGGCGCAGAGGGAAGCACTGGGGCACAAGAAAAGGATCCATGTTCAAGTAAATTTCAAAATGAGAAATGCACGAGCGCTGTAGAGGAATCGAATAATGTTTTGGTACCAAAGGAAGAAAATGATAACACCGGTGTAAGTATCAGCAAAGATGGTACTTGTATGTTATCTAGTGAGAAAATTGAGTGTCGTGCAAGTGGAAGTAAAGATGGTGATGCGCAAGCTAATCGAGGTCAAAGAAATGAGACTCCTAATTCAACTACGAGCACTGAGAACAATGGACAGGAACACTCAAGTAATCAGAACGAGAAGAATGAATCGTTGAATAATTCAGCTTTTGTGGATACCGATGGCAATACATCCAAATTTAATAAATTAAAGTCTACGGTAAAGAGTCGTAATTATCGTGATAAGAAAAACATGAGTGACATGAGCGATGATGTTGATGAAATGGTTGTCGATGATTCAGCCTCGGAGGAAGAAGGTAACCATTATGATGATAAAAATTAAGAAATCTTATGATCCTGTGATGTTAAATACAAGGGACCATTTTTGGACACGTTTAATTGTGAGAATTAATATTTTTACCTCAGCTTCAGAGAATTCAGAAGCAGAGGGCAATCAAATGGTAAACGTTTGTGATGAAAATGATGTTAACATGGATGGGGCAGAAGATCCTGTATCTGATGCCGAAACAGCTAGAAATGGTGATAGAAATGAGGAGCAACAAGAGCAAGAAGGTAATAGCTTGGATCAAAGTATCCATTTCCTTCAAAATTTAGCAGCATATATTTTAGTAAATGAACCAACTTTTAGTTCTTTCATCCTGTTAATCATTTTATTTTGTTCCTGCATTTTTTAATATTTAGATGAAGATGACTCCAATTCCTGGAGCACTTGTGAAATGGAAGATGAAATATATTCTGACATCGAGGATGTGAAGAAAGTACTGGATAAAGAAAAGCCAAAAGAACAATATCGTGTTATTCCAGAATTTGTCAATCGACAGATGGGATTGAATCCATTCTTTGAACGTCGTTTTTATGGATCGATTCATGTTGTGCAACACCTAGAATTAATGTACAAGCTCAATAAGCATCAGGTTGACAACACTGAAGTTTTATTTAATATCGTTGCATATCTGGATGAAACATTGTATGATTTTATTTAATTTTAGGGTTGCGTAAATGCCTTAGATTTCAATGCAAAAGGAAATTTGCTAGTCAGTGGATCCGATGACTTGAAAATCAACATTTGGGATTGGGCAATTGGAAAAGATCGGTATAGTTTTGACAGTGGTCATCGAAACAATATATTCCAGGTTCCAATTTTTATTTTACTTCAACTCGATGGTTAATTTTTAATTAAATTTTTATTGTCAATTTGAGGAAAGTAACTAGATTAAGTGATTTTTATATCTTATAGGCAAAATGGATGCCACTTGAACCAGAGTACTTTATAGCAACAAGCGGAAGAGACAGACAGATTCGTTTACTGGATATTCGTAGGGGTACATCTCGTAAACTAGGATCTCATTGCAAGCCATGTCATAAGCTTGCCGTTCATCCGGAAACCCCTCATTTGATACTCTCTGCTGGAGAAGATGGAAAGATATTGTCATTCGACATACGTCAAGAACAACCTACTCTGTAAACCACTTAATTCAATTTAATTTATCTTAATAGCTTAGGTGATCGGTCAATTTCAAGTGACAAATGCAAAGATAGTATATATTCAATAAATTAGATTTTTCAGATGCTATAGTGATGAAGTGAAGTTCCAGGATCATCTAATTTATGTTTATAGATATCTTTAGAAAACTAGTAATCAAGCTTTTATTTTGACAACTATCATTTATTTTTCTCGGTTTTTATAAATTGTTGAAATGTTATTAATCAAATAAAAAAATTAAATTGAATATTATTAAAAAAACAAGTTAAGAGATGCAAAGTGAGAAGGAATTGCAACTTCCGTACACATAATCATTGGTACACCTATTAATTTTTGACTTTGTTACAGAGTAACGATAGTCCGAGACAACATAAAAGTAGTACGTCTGTTTAGTATACATTCGCATCCGTTAGACAGTAATCAATTCTGTGTTGGTGGCCAGTCGGCGTTTGTCTCTATTTATGACAGACGAAAATCACTTGCACCTGTTTCTGACGTAAGACCAAATCATTTGGTAAGCAATAACTGAAATCACTTGATAGGTCGTATTTTTTGTCCTTTAATTCACCTTTAAATTTTGTTGCAGATAAATTGTGCCAGGAAGGACTGTGCACATGTAACATGCGCAGTTTATAATTACAATGGATCCGAGATTCTTGCATCCTACAATAATGAAGATATTTATTTATTCAATACTAGTTCATTACATCCTGTTATTGATTATGTTTATAGATACAAAGGCCACAGGAACTGTGCAACCGGTAAGCTAAATGGTCCAGACATTACTATGAAATGATTTGCTTTGTATCTGTCTGGAGAATCAGTGACTAAATCTGGCTTACGATGTGGTAGTGAAGGGAGTAAATTACTTTGGTCCAAAAAGTGAATTTATCATTTCTGGATCGGATTGTGGAAACGTTTTCATGTGGGAAAAACATACGGAAGCAATTGCACAGTGGATGTCTGCCGATGAAGAAGGAGCGGTAAGCATCTATTTATACTAAATATGGCAAATGTATTGTTTGACGAGTGTTATGTTGCAGGTAAATTGTTTGGTGACACACCCTCGTGTTCCTATTTTGGCTACCAGCGGTTTGGACTATGATGTAAAGATATGGATCCCTTCCAACGAATCTCCATCCAGCATGCAGGATTTAAAAGTAGTAAGTTTTAAATAATGTGCGAATGATGAGTAATTTATTGAGTGATTACATATTTAAGGTTAGTTAATGTAACGTAATGTCTTATTTTCAGAATCATATACATAATATTAGAAGAAGAACTGAGGAGAGAGATCGGAGACGTATTCAGTATAATATGCAATGGCTGCGCATGAGACAATACAGCGAAGCAATAAGAGAGGTACGCAATTTATTATTTTTATTAAAATTCAATTCAACTTTGAGGAATTCTTAAATAACGTTATAAAGTATATCTCACAGGTACGGCAAAGGAGTCGTTGGAGGTTTAGAAATGAAGATGAAGATGAAAGCGAAGAAGATACATCAACCGAAGACGACTTGTAAAGTCACAGTTAAAACCAGTCACGTGTTGATTGTGCAGGTAGGACAATGTGTTCCCTGTCTTAAATAAAACCTTCGCCATTATACTTTCATACAAACTATTGGTCGATATAATTTACAATATTGTCACAGCTGAAACTAAATCCTGAAGAGTTGAACAAGTTTTACGGTGTATTTGTACAGTAGATATAACGTTTCTACTTATTAACCGGAAATAGAAGCTAAAAGTTCTAAACAATAACAGGCAGTGTTTTGTGCATTGTAGTCAATCTCATCAAGCGAATTGTATGCCAGCTTCGATGATAAATTGATTAATTTCGTTGAAGTAAAAGATTATTCAGGTAGCATATACTGTTAATAAGAAAAAAGGAAAATAAATTATAATTTTACTTGTTAATTTGCAGGTTTTAGATTATTTAAAGTGTGGTGGAAAACAATGTAAATATATATGATAATACATAATATGAGAGCCTCAAACATGATAGTCTTTTATTTTGTACTTAACGTTATTCATTTCTAAAAAAAGGGAGAAGCATGTATTCTGAATTATTTTAAGTATGAATAATATATTTTTATGGCATTTGTAAATTCATACCATTTGAAGACAATGGAAACAGTCATACATTTTCATTCATTACTATACTTTACATTTGTATAGTCTATGTGTACAATAAACCTTTAGAGAATGCATACCTTAAAAGATACCAATGGAATGGGCTAAATCTGCATAAATATGTAGCGTAGTTGCTCCCATGATAAGAGTTGCAAATGCTTTAACTAACAATGTTGTCCAAGGACTAACTAGGAAGAAAGATATAAATATTTCAATAATAAATAACCTATAAACTGTAAGGAGAAGCATTCCGATTACAATTGGTACAAGTCCACGATATAAATCGTGCCTGGACCAAAGCCATACCAAGGTTGCAGTATTGATATGTTGAACCTGTAAGCGTGATTTAGTAATTAATCACTTTAGAAATTTCGGTGTAATTTAGTAAGACTAGTGATATGGTCATACCAAATTAATGTTAGATTCTAAACTCTTTTGAATGTATTTCCAATCAAATTCTGCTCCTCGAGCTCCGATCCACAATAACAAGAATCTGGTAAGGAGTACTTCCGCTCCTGCCCATCCTATTCCAGCCATCAGCACCTTCGCGTGTCCTTTGCCAGGGATACCATTTAATACTAATAATATTCCCACTAGATCTGCGAAATCTATAGAAGATTTTAGGAATTCCTGTAAAAAGTAATATCAAAAAATAAATAAGCTACCTTACTTGGAATCCTGCGGGGTAAGATTTACTTACTCCAAAGATATCAAAGCCTTCTTGCCCAACATTATCAGCGGTAGGAAAGAACGTTGCTAAAGCTAACATTTTTACAAGCTGAGTAAAAATATAAATCCCTCCTGCTTGGATGCATTTCCAGAAAGCGCCATACTCTGATCTAAAATAACGTTACAAAATTAGCTTAAATCTTGTTTCATGTTTTTTCAATACTTACAGCCCTGAACATTTGTATGTTAGATAATACGGTACATAAACTAGCGCCAAGCAATTTCCAAAATGATATAATGTCATTTTTCTATGTGATAATTTTCATTCAATCAATCAGGTTTCCTTCCATTTAATTCTGTGACAAACTTCGACTTCATAAACACTTGCAGGTTATTAAAAGTTAGGTTATGAAACTGAATTAGGCTGATATTTCATTAGAGATTGAGCGAGCAGCGACGGAGCGACGAAGCACGACTATGAGGTTCTGATTGGCTGCAGAGAAATTACATAATCGGGGAATTCCATCGTACGTTTTCTGCAACCAATCATAACATCTTATTTTCTCTTTGTCGCTGTAGCGCTAATGAAATATCGACCTAATCAGGGTTGTACAATGACGCGTTATTCTAGGTTTTTTACGTAAAATTTAAGTAAAATATGTAATAGATTGCGGTCAGATATGAGTTGGGATATTGCTCACAAGCTTGGTTGCACAATCGCGTTCTGTGCTACCTTCGGTGGAGAATGCGACCTGTTCGCGTATTTGCCACCTAATACTCCCCAGTGGCGGCTCAACTCAGGGAGCCTCTTCATCGAGATTGCACGAGCCCCCACCAGAAATGTGTTGCCCCGCCACTGAGGGGAAATAAAGTGTTGTTTTCAAATTGAGTTTTCAATTTTTTTTATTTGATCAGATTTAGTTTTGAATTTTATTTGGTTAGATGAAAATAGAAAATTGTAGATTTTCATAAATGTCAGCGGGTAACTGCTTCTCGGCTCTACGCTAGCTCAACCAAACCAGACTGGACTCTACCTGCTACGTTTACCGACGTATCGCGTCTGTCGATGCCTCAGCTACCGCGAGGGCAGCACCGCGCAATAGTTTTGAAGTAGGAGGCTTGGCTACTCTTATCAGAGATGAGTTGGGGGATAGCTCACGGGCAGGATCGTGCGATCGCATCCTGTGCTGCCCTCTGGTTTCGTACGTTAGCTTTCACCGTTTTTTGCCTCCAAGGGCGGCGCAACGAATTTCTGATAGGAGCTCGCGCATTCGCGATGGCGGTACCATCTACCAGTCGCCGTTGGCGGCTCACGTACTCGTGATGGTAATACCATGCGGCAGTTGACGGTGGTGGCTTACCTACGCTTACCAACACTGCTCGCTTTTGATGGTAAGGGAAGAACATTCGTAACGCTCCATTTGACTTTATCTACTTATCTACTACTATTAAGTACATTGTTGCCTCGAAGTCGACGTGATGCGGAATTTTGGCATCGCGAGAACGGGAGCTCCTATCAGAAATTCGTTGCGCCGCCCTTGGGGGCAAAAAACGGTGAAAGGTAACGTACGAAACCAGAGGACAGCACAGGATGCGATCGCACGATCCTGCCCGTGAGCTATCTCCCAACTCATCTCTGATTCTAAAAATCGATTCTTTCACGTAAAGAATCGATTCTTTCACCAAAAGAATCGATTTTTTCACCAAAAGAATCGATTCTTAAAATCGATTCTGTCACCAAAAGAATCGATTCTTAAAATCGATTCTGTCACCAAAAGAATCGATTTTTTAACGAATCGAATCGGAATCAAACATCCCTAATTCACATTTGAGTTCAACGGTAAGGTCTCGTGGCGGAACTATTAAATTTCGTATCGGCATTCTTTGTTCATTTACATCTTTTTAAAGCAAAGTAAAAGGTTATTAAAGCATTAGGATATATTTATGCGGTATTTAGGGCTTAAGACGATCACAATGGCTAAATGTGTGAACGCACTGGAAGGCTTCACGCTCAGGTAACAATTATGCATGATGTGCATTTTGTCGATTTTAGGGCTCTAAGTAAAGTGAGTTATTTCTTTCCAGAGATCTTCTGTCCGAAAATGGACTTACATTGGAGATTAATGAAGATTATTATCAAGGGGAAGACGTTGATGAGTACGATTTCAAGAATGGAGTGAGGTTAGGTAATGAAGAAATGCTTAGAATTTTGAACATGGATGACTTTGGCGGGGAAGTGGAGCTTGACGAAAACAGTGAAGCAGAAGTCGTCATGCCTTATGACTTAAATTTTGAGGATCTTAAAACTAAAATGACAGATATTACAAAAACTGGGCAGGTAACGTATGTTTACTTAGGTGAACGTTACATGGTTTGCTGCTAAAGTTCTATAATGCTTTACCGATACTTAATCTCTCTGGTTCTTTTATTATTTAGGTTTTGAAGCTGGTCAAGAAAGAAGGTGTCGGAGAAACCATGCCTTATAATTCACAAGTGACGGTACATTACATAGGATATTTAGAGCATCAAGATGATCCATTTGATTCGACATATATTCGAGGCAAACCAGCAGTACTTCGTTTGAATGAAGGACAGCTCTTACCAGGCTTGGAGATTGCCATTGCAAGCATGAAAAAACATGAAACGTCCCTTTTTCTTATTCAACCTAGTTTAGCATATATGGAACTGGGATGTATGCCTCTTGTACCACCAAACTCGGAAGTTTTGTTTGCCATTAAGCTGCTTGACTATCTTGACAATGGTTCAGCCGATACTGCAGAGAATTTAAATATTGAGGAAGGGCGTACATTTTCTAAGATCATTAAACGAGTACAAGATCTACTCGTTATTGCTAAGGATAACTTTGGAAGACGGAAGTACAGGCAGGCGATAAGAGAGTAAGTATTTAATAGTTTCTTGTAAAACTAAAGAAAATTGAATTGCTAAGATTAGAAAAAGTAAGGTGTACCATTATTTTAATCAGGTACAAGAAAGCAGCAAATTGGCTGGAAGATGCGCAATTAGAGAACGAAGAAGAAGAACGAGAAATGAAGAAAGTGCTTACAAGGGTGTATGGAAATCTTGCAGTTTGTTATAATATAGAGAACATGCCCCGTCAAGCTTGTTCAGCTTGCAACAGAGTTCCTTTCAAAACCGCCAAGACCTATTTCAAGTAAACAATTTTGTTTTATTAGTTTGTAGATTTTATATATCCTTTATAAAAATAATCTTTATAATTATTATCATTTCAGTCATGGAAGGGCACTGCTACTAATGGGAGAGTTTACAGATGCAATGAAACAATTGCAAATCGCTCACAAAATGGAACCAAGTAACAAAGAAACAATTAAGGAGATTAAAGTGGTACGTTAACGTATTGCATAACTGTTAATTAAATAGGATTTCATTTACATACTTGTATTAATGTATTAGAGGGTTATTTCGTTGATAAAAAGGTTATCTGAATGTATCTAAGACTAACTATTTTTCAGACTAATGAAAAGCAGAAGAAATATTTGGATATGGAGAAACGTTTATGGTCAAATTGCTTGAAGAACTCCAAGGAAAACACGGTCACTGATGGGTTCAGTAAAATTGCCAAAGAATTTTGTGACGCGTTTGCTAATGATTCCAGTCTCTTGAGACAACCATTACCGGAAGGATTAACTCCTTCGGAGGAATCATGCATGCGAGAACAAGCTGCATTAGCTGGTCTATCGGTTACGCTGCACACAAGATATGGCAAGGAAGTCGTATACTTAAGTAAACCACAGTATTAAAAAAAATAGAGTTAACTAAGTAAATCAGCGGAAAGAAAGATATGTTAATGTAACTTTTATTACAAGGAATGCATTTATTGTTGCACAAGTCAAGTATGTCTAAGATAAATTACGAAGATATATATTTGTTTGTAATAAAAATACCAAAACTTACGTTACATAGGAAACATTAAAGATAAGTTATGTTAGTTTACTTCACAAAGTGTACAAGTATGCATTTATTTCCGCGTAAGCTGGACAATTGCAAAATACACGAAGTTACGAACACGTTTTTTAAAATAAAGATAGAGCTTTTATTACCTATGTACTTTTATTGTACATATACTTTCATTACTCGGAGAGATCATTCACTCAATGACTGCTTTAAATTGCAAATATGTTTATTCATAATGAAGATTTTTTAAGAGAATAAGTCCACTTTGGCAAGAACACGCCTATTCGGTCAAACTGTACCGTTGGTTTCATCTGCAGCCGGTTTCTCCACTTCGTCGCCAAACCGCATCCTGTACTTTTTTCGGACAATTTCCCAGTCAACAACAGTTTCAATTCGCGGAATAGCAGCAATGGACCTTTGGCTTCCGACAGGACTCGTTTTCCGCAACAACGAGGTCGCCATGCTTGTTTTTCGTCGAGTAGGGAAAACTTTATTACTCTGAAAAAGAGAAATTGAAAGAAATTGCTTTTACTCTTCAAGTGACGCTTAAATAAATTCAGTTTTCAAACGTGGTGGTATAAGTTTTTCTATGAATAACTTACTCGAGCTACGGTACCCTTTACTGGATAGTGTTGAACCTCCAAACCATCCACCACCGAATATTTCTTTTTACCACTCCTTCTTCGACAAATTTTGAATAAGAACGAGATCCACGTGGTTACGAGATTAAACGGCGATGGCGCTGTACGCGTTCTAGGCAAGAAAACATGTACAAACATGTGTTTAAAATATTTGCAACGAGAAATGAGTACTTTATAAGTATACCTATGCCTTTGTAGGATCTATTAACTTTGTAACATATTTTCAAATAAAATATGTTATAAATTTAGTGCATACTTGTACCTCATAGTAAAATTTACTTAGAAAACGGCTTATGTAAATGATCATAAAACGAAATGCTTATCAAGAACAACTATATAAACAATGCCCTAAGTGACGTTCGCATATCAAATTTATAATTGTTCTATACAATTGCACAATATTGTAACGTGATATGAGATTACAAGTTTATTCAGAATTTCATAGAAAAACATACGCTAATTCACTATCGAGGCATCAAATGTAATTGATTAAATGTGTCTAAATTTTATGAATCTCTTCAATAGTGTAAGGATTGCATCCGGTTACTAACAGACCCTGACTTACTTCTGCATCTTCCGGATGAGTCTACTCAGCCCGAACTTCCATTCGATGTCACTCTGCGACTGAATGCTCTGATAAGTGTCCGTCATCATTGCGATGAGTAGATTGATCAAGACAATAACGCTGACCAGCATGTAGAGCGAAAACGACACCTGATCAGAGGGAAACAAAATTTCTTTTAATAATTTCTTTGCGGAACAGTCGAATTTTTAGGTTAACACTCCGTACCTTAAACAAATATACCGTCCAAAGGGGCTGCTTGTTTCGGCGCAACGAGACGGTGAAATCGTCCGTGTCCTTTTGGCCAAAAATGGCGAAGAAAAGCTTCTCGCCGACATCGATTGGACTGGCGATCACTGGAAGAATCACGAGAAAAATGAACAATTGTGTCTACGTAACGGGCAGCTGTTTGATCGACATTAGAGCAGTCACCGATCGATAATCGCATCAGAGTTTAGCGACAATGAGCACATTCGTGAGCCGCAATAATGGATTTCGTGCCGATCGGATATTTCACCGATATTGCCCCCCCGATATTACAGGGTCTTGCTTTACAATCATTGTGTTGGATTAATGGCGAATAAAGCTAAGGAGTTGAAATTATATCCAAATAAAGGTATAAAATCAATGCAAAGGCGACGCCATGATTAGGTCAGTTTCACCAGGTAAGAGATGGATTGGAAAATAATTATAATTTTTAGATACCTAATTGATGTAAATAAGAATTACAACAAGAAACATTTCTATTTTCAGGAGATATTGACATTTGCCAACGAAACGGATCAAGGGCAAGCATAAAACTTTAAAGTCAACCGAATATGCAAAAAAAATAACAAAAATCCTCATTTTTGCACAGTATTATCTATGACTAGACATACACCTCAAATATGTTAAGGGTACATCGGCAATAAATTGTTTGATTCGTCACGACACTAATTAGAAACGCCATTCAAAATTCGCCTAAAAGTTGTCAGCATGTAACGTCAAATGTTTAAGGCGTTGAGAAAGTGACGTCAGTGGTCTCGTTTATGAGACTCTTCTCTGAACTGAGGGTACCAAAAAGTTTAAAACTTTGCAGCGTGAATTTGAAGGCTATAAGAAAAGTCCTGACAGTCATGAAATTTCAATTTTAAAAAAATTTGTAGACGTTTCAACTTTTTTTTATAAAGAATGGAACTTCCTGGGTGTCAGGACCTCCCTTATAGTCTGCATATTCACATTGTAAAGTTTGAAACGAGTCAGTTGTCCCGGTTCGGAGAAAAGTTTCATAAAAGATTGGCCTCTTGGAAGCCACTAGCACAACCCTTTAACGGCAACTCCAGTCAATAAAAACATCCGTTATTTGCTAAACGCTCCGTTGCGAGGACCGTCCTTGAAGTGCCAGAGATCCAATAACTCACGCCTCCACCCATTCCTTACCGCGGAGCGCATGCTGGGGATGAAGATACATAAAACTGAAAGAAACTCCACTATATGGTGCCTAACTAAAACTAAAAACGCATTGACCGGTTATAAGTGAAGGGTGAAAGGACTAACCGTGGGTACGTTGGGGCGATGGTGGCTCGCACCTACTGGAACGGGTCTAAAGTCATCTTAATCAGCTTATCGGCCCGTCGGCCGCTTAAGGTACACGGAGGCGAGGAGATTCGACCTCGAGATACATTCACGGAAGATGTGTGGTAGGTTAGGTTAGGTTAGGTTGTGAACGGGGGAAGACCGTGTCGTCCGGTCACTTCCCGCCCACCAGGGGATCGGTCGGCAAGGTCATTGCCCGCAGAGGAGCGTCTTCAAAGATGGCCGCCGTCGTTACGGTTTCGGTCTCGGAGCCCTCTTTGGGCCCGTCCGCGGGTTTTTCAGACTCCTGGCCGACGAGCTCTCTGTACTTCCTCCTGACGACGTCCCAGTCGACCACGTTGTCGATCCTGACGGCGTTGCCGAAAGACAGCTGGCTGCCCAGAGGACTCAAGTGCACCACCGAGAGTGCGACGCTGTCCTTGTGCGCCACCTGGCTCTTCCTCATTTTGGAGAGCCATTTGGCGCCCATCTTGGAGCGCGCCGACATCCGGCCCGCCGCCCGCAGGCCCATTATGTCCACCAGCGATGGTCGCTGCTTCTTGGCCGCGCGCTTCTTGCAGACTTTGCAGAGGTACGTCATCCAGCTGGTCAGCAAGTTCAGCGGGGATGGCGCCGTGGTTGTCCTGCGACATACCCACACGGCTCTGTGACTCTGCTGCGATGTCGGGGCAAGGTTGCCGCGCAACTTGTGACGAGGCAACGCAAGGTTGCTGCGACACTTGTAACGAGGTGCAGCAACGAAGCATGCGAAGAAAGTGCAGAAACCATTCCGCAAAGTTACGCATGCAGGAGCTCTTGCGCAACCTTGCTCCGTCGACCTGTGCACGCGAAATCTTGCCTGTGCTTCATGCAGACTGCAAGGTTGCTGCAAAGTCGCACAATTGAGCGAGATTGCAGTAAGTTTGCCCATGCAGGAACTCTTCAGTAATGTTGCCCCGTCAAACCGTGCACGCGAAATCTTGCACCGTGCTTCACGCAGGCTGCAAGGTTGCTGCAAAATTGCTCCATCGAGCGAGATTGCAGCAACAAACTGTGCACGCGAAATCTTGCACCGTGCTTCATGCAGGCTGCAAGGTTGCTGCAAAATTGCTCCATCGAGCGAGATTGCAGCAACAGTCTGTGCACGTGGAATTTTGCACCGTGTTTCATGCAGACTGCAAAGATTGCTGCAAAATCGCACCATCGGGCGAAATTGCAGCAAGTTTGCAGCATCTCCGTTCCGTTTGGTGCCCGTGAGGTCAGGATCCAAGATAGGTGGCCCGATTCGTTCGGCCTTACCTGTGCATGTTTCTAATGAGTTTGCTCAGGCCATATTTCCACTCGATGTCGGACTGAGCCTGGATGCGTTGATAGGTGTCGCTCATCATGGCGATCAGCAGATTGATTAGCACAACCACCGAGACCAGCATGTAAATGCCGAAAGCCAGCTTGAAGAGTACCGTCGTCCACTCGGGCTGGCCCTTTCCGATCTTGAACTGTTCGTGCGTAGTCTGTCCGAAGATGGCGAAGAAGAGGAGCTCGACGGCCAGCACAGGGTTCATCTTGACTGGAAATACGTGCCAACAAGATTTCGATAAGGGCTCGCTTTTATTCGCCCTAGGGATCGTCATGCCGCAAGCCTTAAGTCATGTCACTATCAACTACAAACATACGATATCACGCCGTTCTCCTCCGTTATCGCTAGGGTACCTTTTAAGGTTCCTTAAGGGTGTACGAACGTGCACCCACGCGATTGCACTAACTAGGATTTTAGACGTTCAACGACGTCATTGGTTTGCTTATTAAACTTGCGGAAAATCTGCAGGTGAAGGTTTCAGGCTTGTGGGCCTTACGGAAGCCCCCTTGGCCAGTCGTGAGGTCTATTTCATGGAACTTTTTAACTCTATACTAAGTATCTATGGTTTGACTGAGACGGGCCATGCATCGTGCGATGGGGTTGGGGTTCGCGAAGACATTGCATCCATGAACCCATAGGGTTGCAGGACTTTGTGGGCGGGACTAAAGTTCTAAGTCGCATCGTGAGGTTGTCTAGGATGTCGGAACTGACCTCTTCCTTTGTGTGTCTTTTGCCTATCTTGAACCGGTCTTGTTTAAGACCTGTATCCGACTCTTGGAACTCGTTCGGAGCAATCTATCGCATTTGAGTATGCATTTTCTAACTTAGTTGTCTATGATTGACCGAGTCAGGTCATGCATCATGCGATGGGACTTGGGTTTGCAGGGACATTTAACTGGGTCCATGGATCCGGGACTATGTGGCCGATTTTGTGGTTGTAAGCTATACTATCGAATTATATGACCGTTCTCCTCCTTCAGATGCTTCATTTTGTCTTTATCTAGGCAATGCAAGACCCGCGTCACGACGTTAGATTCTCCACTCTTTCCCTAAACTATCTATGATGCATCAAACCGATGGGCCATGCATCGCGCCTTGGGAGACGAAGTTCAACGTTGGACGTAAGTAACAACAATCATGTGTCGGACCATCCTTCTTCTGGACGTCCTACCTCCAGCTTGTGTATTTCTCAGAGAACATCAACTCTCGACTCTTCGTGAACACTTGCTCATCCGAGTTCCTCCGCCGTTACATGTACGAATTTCCTACATTAACAGTCAGTGGTTGATGGATCCGGAGGCCATGCACCGTGCGTTAATGCGGATTCGGGTATCGGTCCATGGGTCATGGGATTGTACGAGCAGAACCGAGGCAACAAGCGGCACCATGGACGGATCAAGACAGGTGCACCATTGTCCAGTACTCATCCACCTGGTCGACGTTTTTTCCAGGGACGTGCGGGACTTTTTTCCAGGACTTCGTGGACGTATCCTGGGCTAGGACGATAACAGAGGCACGCATATCAAAGGACTCTCCTACATACTAGCAGTCTATATCCGACCAAATCGGCGAACCATGCATTCGCGTGCGTCAGGGAAGGGGTTTGCAAGGACATTCCAGGGTCCTTGGGATCATATCGGTGGCGTTGAGGCTGTTGGCACCGTGGAGGTGTTGGGGGCGGTCTGCCCGTTCTCCTCCTCGTCGTCTTTGTCGTCATCCTTGTCATCCTTGTCCACGTCCTTTTCGGGCTCGTTGCCGGTCAGCGCGAGGTACTTCTTCCTTATGGAGTCCCAATCGACGACGTTCTCGATCCTGGTCACGCTGTTGAAGGACAACTGACTCCCCAGGGGACTGAGATGCACCACCGACAGGGCCACGCTGTTCTTCGGGCGGACCTGGCCCTTCTTGACCTTGGCCAGCCACTTGGCGCCCATCTTGGACCTGGGGGAAAGACGCCCCGTGTGTTGCAGGCCCATCATCCGGACCAGGGATGGTCTTTTTCTCTTCGCTGCGCGGTGCTTGCACATCTTGATTAGGTAAACTATCCAGGTTGTCAGCAGATTCAGCGGCGAAGGTGCCGTCGTCGTTCTGCAACAGGAAGTGCCGCCACCTTGTCACTCTTTCCGTCGCCCAGTCAGAAAAGGCTTGCCGAAAACGGATCAGCTAAGGACGGACTGAGGGACGAGGTCGCGTCCCGTGCAGCACAAAGGAGATTTTAACTTCTAAATCCTATTTTGATTATCTTTCACCTAACACGGTTACGTAACAACTATACAACCGTTACATAAGCTTTGTAACATGTAGTGTAGCGTACATGTCAAGGAACTCGTAAGGTCGAATGATGAGTTATATATATGTAAAATTTGCATTACCACGTCTTCCACAGTTACATAACACCGTTAAATAGCTAATAATGTAACGTACACGTCGGTACCATGCAGTGTTAATATTATATGATATCAATGTATTTTTTTAATAACTTTATACATGATGTTATTTCTGTGTTACGTAACTGTAACATAGGGTGCTCAGGAGTTTACACCTCAACAAAATACGAGCACAAAAAAATGGAATCTAACCTCAAATCTACATTAATTTCTTCAATCAATCCAACAACTTGTGTCGTATGGATATTAGCAAGTGAAAATCTCTTATTTATTAGAACTCCCTTTTCTTTTATTATATAGAGAGTGATGTTTTTACTCGGTATGTTTTAAATTCTCGTGTTGCCCTCCAGGTAACTAGCTGGTGGGCTTACGAAGATCATAAAAATTGTACGAAATCGAAAATACCGAAGATGTTTAACCAAGCGAAACGAATTCCTTTTCCACTGATTCGTCGCGTATCTAACCTCAAACCGCGATAACGGCGATAAGTGCTGCACGGGATGCATCGGACGATCCTTACCTGTGCATGTTTCTAATAAGCTTGCTCAGTCCGTACTTCCACTCAATATCGGACTGTGCCTGAATCCTCTGGTAGGTGTCGCTCATCATGGCGATGAGGAGATTAATTAACACGACTACCGAGACCAACATGTAAACACCGAAGGCCAGCTTGAAGAGGACCGAGGTCCACTCCGGCTGCATGGTCTCGACCTTGAGCTCGCTGTGGGTGGTTTGGCCGAAGACAGCGAAGAACAAGTACTCGAAGGCGAGTACCGGGTTCATCTTTACTGGAATTCGAGTCAAGGCATATTCATTTCATTCAAGCTCGCTAAACTTTGATCGCACACTACTTGCTGCGGTAACGTACACATGCTCATGCTACGGACAGAGAGATAGAGGGTGGCCATGCTGCGGCTGCATTCTCATCGGGGTGGCCGCGAACATCTCTACAGGCTGGCATGCCATAACGTGAGCGGAGCCAGGTGATTCCCCGGCTCTGTATTCTCTGCATTCGTCTAATCGACGCCTCGATTCCGTTCCTAGGCCACGTCCTGGCCGGATGGCGCACCGACCGGCGAAAGAGCGAGAAAAACGAGCGTGGGTGGCCCAGCCTCGTGGTATTCCGTGCAAACACTCAAGATTCATTCGCTATTGCGGGCAGGGACATTCTTATTTGTTCCTGGGATCACGTCCCTGGCAGTCGTCGATTCAGCCTTGCCGATAGAGCCCCGGTAGTCCCTACTCCGTCCTCGACTTGGCCTCGCTCGTCGGCTTCTCCTTGGTCCACTCATTCGGGCTCCTGCGGCCTCCTCGCTGCAGACTTCAAGACCAATGCAGACCAATGCAGACCAATGCTCGTGACTGTCAAAGATGTCAAAGTGCAGCATGCATACGTCCTCGACCGTGACGTGGTCAGCGTTTCCTCTTCTTTCGTGCCGTTTGCTCTCTCCCCTGAGGACTTGGCGCTAACGTTCGGACAAAATTAGGGCTTGGTTCATGCAGTACACAATGTCTCGTGTGTTGATTTTTCAAACATGGCGGCTCCATTCTCGCGGATATGTCACCGAAGCCTCGAATTATTTTGGGGCAGGGGCTACGCATGGATCTAAGAAAAAAACGGATGGAACGATGACTATATCTCCATTGTACTCTTCAATCCGGGATTTATCGCGTCCGGATTTAGTAAATCGCATGTCTCAATGGGATGAATAATTACGCTTATTCGATCCTGAGCGTCTCGATCGATACTTAACTTCGGATTTACTGGGTTTGAACCTGATAAATCCTGATTTTCGAGCACGATGGAGTCAGTGATTTGTAGTACTGAGTTGGCAGGCCTGAGGGAAATAGTGTCTGGTGTTTCCACTACGGCTGAGAAATACGCGATGGAGTCTAAAGAGGTATGATATACTAGCACAGGAAGAAGGAATTACTTTTAAAATAATTTGCCAATTTATTCTTTCTTTCTGGATTATCGTATATCATGTCCCTTTAGGGAGTGACTCATGTCCTATAGCTCGTAGTAGTAAATCAACACTATTTTTTTCTCAGTTTACGCTCATTGTTGGGTATTGACGATGAGTGAAGCGATAATTTAAGGGAGATATAGACATCTCTAGGACTCTTATTTTGATCTTAAATGCAGGTCTGCTATCTCGTTTTTATTCCGAAACAGAAAGCAAGGATGGGTACTTAGTATTACATGTCAATGGAATGGAATGTAATGTGAGATTTGAAACGAACTTATATTTAACATCCCTTTCTTGTTAGATCCATGGTGCAACGTGCTGATGCAAAATGGGGTACTTGCGATTAAAGGAATCATCTAAATGATATTGACTCTTCAGATTATTTAGACTATTTTCTAGATACCGAAAATGGTCTGTTGAGACCCAGAAATGTCATAAGTGTGGGACGGAAGATGAACGCGGAACGAAGATCCGAATACACGGAATAATCCAAATACCAGCGACCCTTTCAGAATTTTAAAAACATTTAGTCCCTCCAGAGGCCTATACAAGTTTTGGAAGAATTATGTAAAGAGTTTTCGAAATGCCCCTGTCGTACACTGTTAAAAATATCTGTTCGAAATATAGTATACACATAGTCGAAGTTCCTGCAAGATACACTTAAAAATCCCATATACAGGACTAATTCGAAGTTCCGTCGTGTTCAAGATTTCGGTACACAGTTTGAGCAGAACCTATGCCAAATTTCGACAACTTTTCCATACTACTTTTCAATCGCATTCCCATACATAATAGCGCGTACTCTGGAAAAATCGCGTTCTGGTATATATCTATCAGTATTTCCGTCGGTTTAATATCGTACTACCTCATTTTGCCCAGAATTTTGAATACCTTCGCAGCCTTTTTCGCGCTGTTTATCCGCTTTTAGTACGTGAAATTGCATTTGAAACATAGAAACATTTTTAACAGCGTCCGCCATTTTGGATTGTCCCTCTAATTTTCTCACAGGTTCATAAAAACTGCGCTAGGGGAATATCGATAAGTGTTCCGAATGACAAGACATGGGCGTATTACACGCAGTATAAGTTATACAACGCACAGATATGTAGGTATATATGTTATATACTCAAGTAAATTCGTAATATATCAGTCTCTTGGTTTCAGGCAGCAGTCCCAGCTCAACAGGCAGTGCGCACGCGCACGCACGGACACAGACATACACCGGGCAAAATGCATTGCAGACGCAGACGGGACGACACCGAGTAGGAGGGAATTCCGCATTCAGGATTTTCCGACGTGCCAGGCCGTCAAAAGACTTACAATCTCGGGTGTTATCGTCACAACACTCATTCTTTTTCTTGTAGCGCCCGTAGCGACGAGGAGGCGCCGCCGGCGGTGGCGTCTCCATCATCCACTCCGTAACATTGGCCAACAAATCTGTCGCAATTAATGGCGTTACACGCGTGTCCCTTTCGGGGATGGTCCCAGCACCATACAAGTCCCGTATAGAAGCTTATGGCCGTTTTTCGACGTTCGTTTCGAACGCGTACTCGCGGCACTTTAGGGTCGACCTAGGTCGGCCGGATCTGGGAACTAAATCGCGGCTATCTTCTCGAGATCCGGCAATTAGCCTACGGTAGACTCGATCGATCATTCGTGGACGTGAGGACATCGAGATCACTAGGAGACAACGAAAGCGGCTATGTCCGCGACAACGGAAACGGTCGATCAAGGGACTAGTGGCGCTCTAGTGCAGGGCAGATTCTGCGAGGATGGAACGCTTCCTGGGAATATTCTGCAATTTACCATCTAATCGGATTATTCTGCAATTTTAATCTTGGATCTACGATCTAAGATCACTGAACTGCAAACTCGTAAAAGTACTTCAAATCGGGCTTTGTTAGGCGGGTTTGGCCGTATTGCAACTTTTTACCTGGAAATTCCTAAATTACAATTACGGTGTTAAACGCATTGATTAAATCCCGGAATTTCTAGGATATAACCCTAGTAGCACAAAATATTTTTCCTATATTTTCTATATATTTAACGAATACCGTACATTTTGTAAATATTTACCAGACATTTGTACTTTAGAATATTATCCCTATAATATTTATATAATATTAGCTCCACGTGTTTTCATAATATTTTTCCACCAGATATACAAAACATTTCGTTTCATTTTGATACAAGTATTTTTTAAATATTATCCGCCTAATGCATCATAAACGTTTTGAAAATACTTAAAATCAAAATCACACGTTTGCTCCCATAATGAAATAGCGGAACGAAAATATTAGAAAAATTTCTCGTGTTTTTTTGATACCAAATGAAGTGTCCGATAATAGTCGTGAAGTAAAAAATGTATTTTTATTACATGTTCATAAATTAAAAGAATATAATTTCTATATATGTTTATAAATTGTTGAAAGTAAATGTGTCATTGAGATTTTCAACAAATATTTCGGATATCTTCGAATATTTTTATTATCATAAAACAGGATGAAGAGAAGTATCTTCCTGATGATCATCCATAGACTAGGAAGAATATTCCAAGGGCATTTGCATCCCATCCGTGCATTCTCCGCGGGATAAAGTCTACATCTACGATTCGCGATTTTGCAAAAAAGGATGCCGCAGGGTCCCGCAAACGTTTTCCCCGCCATAGCTCCATAGTTAATTACACTGTTAAAAACATCTCTTCGAAATACAATATACATATAGTTGAAGTGTCTTCAAAATACATTTCGAAATTTCGAACACAATTGTGCTCTGGATTTCACTATAACAGTACACGAATTTCAAAGGGTACAACAATATACTAAACTTCGAAATTTTTTGCATACCAATTTTTGAACACATAAATAAAAATCAATAAGCAATTGTAAACGAAGGGGATGAATCGTGAGTGTGCGATTGTCAAAAGACAAACGAAAACACGGATACTTTTGTATACTGATTTCCAATCACGTCCACTTACACAAGTTTCGGTATTTTGAGAAAAAATTGCACTATATGTTAATATAACATTTGTATCGATTTCTTATCTCATCTTTCCGTTCCGTTTAAACTTTCACTACTTTTGTAGGAATTCTCTCATGGTGCTTAGTAATACGTGTTGGTCGCGTTCATTCCGAGTGCCGCTGTTTCCCGGTTTGGTGCACATTTGTATTCGAAATTGTCCGAAACATTTTTAACAGTGTAGTAAGTGCACGTGTAGATGCGACTTCCCGAGTTCATTGGGCCAGATCGGCTCTAGAGCGACGCAGGGAACCTATCGAGAAGCTTAAACCGAACCACGTGGATCCAAAAATGTTCATGACTCACCGTCGGAGAAGGCTTTTTTCCTCTTCCTATCCTCAATCCTGGCCTCCTGGAGAGTTTGGTTTTTGAATGCCTGGTTGAGCGCGACGAAATGCATGGAAAAGCCAAAAACGAAGATGGCGAGGACGGCGAGGAACCGCGCAAGGTCCTTCATGAGGTTGCCGATGATGATGGCCCAAGGTCCAAAGAGATGATGGAAGGAGAGGAAGTCGAGGATCTGCACGCAGGCAAGCAGAAAGCTCAGGGCGAACAATTGGTTCCTCAGGTACAGCAAGGTGGGCCATTGTTGCCTGTGGACGACGACGAATCCCAGAAGATGGAAGGCGACGCCAAAGACGCCAAAAAGGAGAACGGCGAGCTTTATCCAGCCCAAACCGCTCTTATCACTGGGATTGGTCAGCTCGAAGAGCAGCAGACCGGACAGCATCACCAGCAAACACCACTCGTACCAGTAGGGCACCAAGCTGGCTCTGACCACAGGGTAGATCGGCGTGATGCCCACCAGCAGCAGGAACACCATCAGGTATATGTGCGAGGTCAGGTACGACATGAACTTAATGATAGGCACGTTGTTGTACTTGTGTCCCAAAGGCAGGGCGAAGACCACCCATACTGGTGGACACACCAAAAAGGCCACAAACAGCAGAATGGTGCGGAAGGCGTTCCAGTTCAGACTTCCTTGCCAGAGTTCCTGGAGATATCGTTGGACCACCGTGTGCGCTATCACCTCCTTTTGCTCGTTCTCTATCAGCACGTCCAGGAACTCCACGTTTCGCCTGTCCATGGACGTCAAAATTCGCCCTGCCGAGTCCGCTCCGGCTGCCAATGCCAACAATTCCGTCGCCATGGCCTCGCACTGCTTGCCAGCTGCTATCAGGTCTTTTGCTCTCTCCTTCTCCTTCTCCGATAGTTTCACGTAGATGTTGGACAGCTTCGCCGCCGTGTCCACTGGGGCTGGGGATACCAGCACGAACTCCTCGATGGGCTTGTTGTTGTTGTTCTTGCTGCAGACCATCATGTTGTAGACGAACTGGAAGCAAAGGCACCTTGACAGGTATCGGTTACGGTAGATAGGATTGCTTTCGTGTAAAGGGTTGCGACAAGCCTCGTAATGCAGGCTCGCGTGACCCCGGAACGTTACGGGGATATTTATTAGTTTGTATATCGACGACCCGAGGCTCGCGAGCCGGCACAGCTCCTCAAACGACTTGGAGCTGGGGAACTTTCCTTAGGGGAAGAGTTCCTTGAATTTAAAGTTTAGAATGTAAGATTATGGAACGTTAATCGAGCACCGTTCTACTGATTTATCTTCAATGTACTTTTGCATGAAATTTATTTCAAGTACCCGGGGCAGGTTTTGAAACACAAGGTAGCTCACCCTTCTGTCCTCCATCAGGGCATAGGTGTCGTGCTCCTTTTCCATGAGGTACTTTAGAACGTCGTTGTGGCCCTCGGATGCTGCGAACCAAATTGGGGCACTACCAAGATTGGTCTCACTTTTTGGCGAAGCTCCACTTTCCACGAGGAGTCTCACTACGTCGAGGTGTCCCGCTCTCGCGGCACAATGGAGTGGAGTCCAGCCATTTTTATCGGTAGCATTGATCTCCGCCCCTTGGCCCAGGAGTACTTCGACCATTTGATAGTGACCATGTGTTGCAGCTATGTGCAGTCCGGTTTTTCCGTACCGGTCGGCACTGTGCAGCAATTCGGCACTTCTGCTCAGCAACAAACCCACGACCGTGATGTGACCCCCGAAGCAGGCCAGATGTAAAGGGTTGAAACCATTTTCCGTAGTTGCTGCTTCGACCTGTATTGAACATTAATTCATGAATTTTTAGTTCACTCATTCACTTTATTACACCCGTTCCTCAATTTACGCGGAGGATCCAATCCGCGTGGATTCGTCTTAAGCGAATAAAAATCGCGTAAATAAAGTCTGTCAGCACAAAAGAAAATAATATCGGGAATAAGAGCTAATACTTATAAGCATTAGAAATACTTCTTTCCTTTCAAATAGCTCGGCAGAAAAATAATTAAAATAAATAACTGCGCGAAAATTGTGTTATAATTTACCGTCTAAATTGAGGGAGGGGTGTAATTACACGGTTTACATATTTTTGATCTTTTTTTAGGGTATGATTGTGCCAAATTTGGCATTTATAAAAAAAACTGTGTAAAACAAGACGTGGGTACTGCACTGTAAAATTTGATAAAACAGATTATATGTCTTAAGGACGATGCAAGGATGGCAGCGTAACGGACGACGAAGAGAAATATCTCACTCTGTTAGGGACTTTTCGAAACTCACTTGCACCCCCGCAGAGTTGAGCAGCAATCGCACTACGTTCTCATTTCCGGAATAAGCCGCAAGATGTAAAGGTGTCATTCCAGATTCACTTCCTAGTTCTCCAACGAGCGATCCTCCAGTGGGTGGATCCGACTTTACGGTTCCAGGAACATGAGTCAATAACTCTCTCACCGTATCTGAAATCAGTTGGCAATATACATATTAAAATTTTTATTTACACTTAGGACTAAATTGATAAAAATAGTTTATCGTATAGTAACATTACTCCGTTGAAAAAAAAATCCTAACATGAATACACATAACGTTATAATAAAATCTAATGTCTGAATTTATGAAATGAATTTAGCACATATTCCTTATAAATTTCTAGATAAACTTATATAATTTCATAACGTCACGTTATCTTGTAAAGTTGTAGGAAATTGATTACCTTTACGTACTAAATTCATAAAATTCGTTGTTCCTGAGAATATGTTATGAAAAAGTAGTCCACCACGAATGAAGCTTTCATAAAAAATGTTATGGAGTTATAATGTTATTTTTTAACGGTGTAGACCCTTTATATGCATACTGGGCTTCTAATATCAAATTCACACCGATATTTTCGCATGCGAATAGATTTGCGTGGACAAATTTCGCATTGTTGCGAAGTCTAGATTCAAAAGTCGTTTGCGAAACTGTTAATTTCGCATGCAAATGTTAATCGGATGAACTTCGAGAATCGGGTCCCAGAATACGAGTCGTTGCCGAACCTTGGTTGCGAAACATGTGAACACAGATTTTTAGAGTAGGAACATCCGGCATTCGAGGGGGATGGATAAACCGTTTAATTTCTCGCGCAATCACAAAAAAAAATTCGATGCAAATCCTTATATGGGGACCTCGTCCGTGGGTTTTGAGTCGCAAGGTCTTGCAGGTCTTGCAGGTCTTGCAGATCTTGGAGTAGGAACATCCGGCATTTGAGGGGGATGGTTGAAACGTTTAGTTTCTTGCGAAATCATAAAAAAAAAATTCGATGCAAATCCTGATATGGGGACCTCGTCCGTGGGTCTTGAGTCGCAAGGTCTTGCACGAAGGAAACGCGAAACGTTAGGGTCGCTGGTCAATATCTTGACACGCGGTGCCGTTCATGGCCGGGGCAAATCTATCATCTAAGATCTTTACGGAACCAACCACCCTTCCTGGTCGTTACGTATAGAAATCAGGAAAACGAGAGCCCGCTTTAACAACTAAGATATCGGTGTTGCCGCGAAGGTCGCGCACCACGTGGCTATAACGCGACTTGTACGTATTGGGGAAATTTCCTGACAAGTGGAGTAATTTTTAGCATCCCCGTTTCGTGGAACCTCAACTCTGCATACTTTTCCAGGTATCCAAAGAAACATTTTCTTAATTCGTAGAACAATTATTAGCCTCTAATTAATTCTAATAAATAAGATGCAACCTTCCTTCGGAATGATGACAATTCATTTGAGTTTACTTCAGTGGAACAATTATTCTTCGAATTACCCAGATACTTCTTCGGTGCTATTCGAAGATACATTTCTTTGGCTTATTGGATTTCTTTTTTCTCTTAGTGTGGATGATTAACCTACCCGCTTGGCCGAAATACGCGGCAACGTGCAGGGCGGTAACGCCGAGTTTCTTGCTGGAGATCCTGAGGGACTGGGAGGACCTCATGACCTCCAGGACCTGGCCATGGCCGTGTTGGGCTGCGAGATGGACGGCAGTGAAACCCGCCCTGTTCTCGTCCGCACACGAAGCCCCCGCCCTGACCAGGGCTTTGACCACTTCGGCGTGTCCACCTTCGGCAGCCAACTGCAAAGGGGTGGCTTCGGTGAGTTTGTTCCTGGCAGAGATTACGCCCTGACGGTCGAACTTCATCAGCTCCTCGATGACGCGGACGCTGCCCTGCATGGCGGCGATATGGGCGCAGGTGTTGCCATCCTTGGTGCAGGCCATCACCAAGCTAGGATGTCTTTGAAGGAAGAGCTGGGCAACTTCCGCGTAATTGTTCATGGCGGCGGCGTGAATGGGTTTCTGGCCTTGGTCGTCGGTCGCGTCGATGCTGGCTCCCAGTTCCAGCAGGAGTTTGCACACCTCCAGCTGACCAGCTCCCGCCGCCAGGTGAAGAGGAGTCTGCTTCCGCAGGGTCAGGACGTCGATCGCGGCTCCGTGGTCCTGCACCAGGAACCGCACCAGGTGGGTGTAGCCGTTCATAGCTGCCAGGTGGAGTGCCGTTCTGCCCACTCTGGATTTGGAGTTGATGAACGCCTTGTTCGCCAGCAAAGCGTCACAGACCTGCGAGGATGGAGACAATTGATGCGTTGGACCCGAGGGACGTTATTTTAATACAGGTGTTGGACCCCAAATTCAAATTCTTGCATAACAAATGCAACCTCTTGAAAAACAAGCCGCACGATTTGCAGGATTTAAAAATAGAGTGAATCTGATCTGCAAAAAGGGGATCCTGAGTAGTGTGCAGTTCAACTTGGAGCGCTTAAATATTTTTCATTTGACCGTGTTATTTCCTTTTTTTTCGCACTGTGGATCGAAAATTGTCCAAACGTCGGGAAGAAGTTATTCACAATGAAGGAGAATATATCATTGATTAATATTGTCAAAGTTTTCTGTACAAAATACATTTCTTGCGATACAAAAAAAAATAAAGACACGAACTTATCAGGCAAATCAAAATCTTAGTGCCTGAATACGATGCTTATTATATTAACGAAGTAACGTTCGTATATTTACGTTACATTAGAACTATGTTGAAAATAGTAGTTAATGTGTGTCAATGCCTAGAAGCAAAGGGGGTACCTGCAAGTATCCATGTTCTGCCGCCAGGTGCAGAGCAGATCTGCCCTCCAGGTCGAAGACGTCCACCCTGGCATGGTTGGCCAGCAAATTTGTCACCAGTTCCATGTGGCCTCGATGAGCAGCTATTAATAATGGCGTCCATCCCACTGCACTTTGCCTGTTGAGTGCCTTTTGCACCTCCGTCGCCGACATGTGGCTGATCATCTCCGACAGGACCTCGTTGTTCCCTGCTAAGGCACAGTGATGAAATGCAGATTCTTGGGCCTGCTTGGTCTGCAAGGAGACATCGGCTCCGTTTTCAAGGAGTGCTCTGACAACCGCTCGGTCATCTCCTAGAGTCGTCACTTCCGTTGGCTCTATCTGAGCTGCATAATGCAGAGCACTCGCTCCTTCGTTCGTTACACTATTGACGTATGCCGTTGCAACCTCGGGACCCCTTTTCTCCTTCACGAATTCTATCAGCTGCCGGACCACGTCCGCTTTGCATCCTCGACATGCAAGATGCAGCGGCGTCTCTCCGTTCTGAAAAAAAGAAACGAAATTCGTCCTAATTTTGCAGCGTTTCGAACACTTCGAATTTAAGGGAACATACAAAATTAGCGCTTAACACAGAAGAGTGGAGTTTAGAACATTTCAGAGAACATTTCTTAGAACATTTCAAAAGTCTAAAAATATCGCTCTCTTACTTTAGATTTGAACATGGGATCTCCTCCATCCTCTAGGAGCAGCAATAAGGTAGCGAGGTTCCCATTGCTGGCCGCCACGTGAACAGGAGTTTGTCCATCGTCGGTGGCCAGGTTGGGTCCAGCACCTGATTTAAGCAGCATCAACGCGCATCTGTCGCCATCGGGTACCCTGGCAGCTATGTGCAAAGGAGTTTCACGAAGTTTCCCTCCACGGACGTGAACTTCGGCTCCATAACCCAGAAGAGTCTCGACTACTGCAGGCTTGGCACTTTCCACCGCGATGTGCAACGCCGTGTAATTGTCGTTGGTTACTGCGTCCACCTGACGCCGAGGACCAGGAAACCCACAAGGGAGAGTTTACAACAATTCAAAACGTACCATTGAACTCAAAAGTTTGGATCCAAACTAGTAAGGTGCAAACGCAAGAGGAAGGAGAAAATTATGATAGTTTGTCTCAGTCTTGGTCTTACATCCTGACGTCTTGCACGGTCGAATCTTGATCTTTTGTCTTGTAATTATGGTCAGGTCTTATCTTTCTTGCAAGACCAAAATCGAATTTGCTCATCATTAATCGAAACAGGGACCGGTAAGGCTAAAGTCGCGATCAGTGATCAGCAAAATCGGTCCTGGTCTTCTTGCACTGATAAAAATGCTCATGTAAATTTACATACTCAATCATTGATTATTTTGGTATGTCACAATAAATTGCAGTAAAGTTGCATTGTCTCTGTAATATTGCATTCGGCATCTAAGTTAAGTTAAAGAAAATTATAACGTAATGCTACATTTAATTCAAGTAAAAATCCACTGATACGGTAAATATACAATGTCCGTATATTTATACATTTTCGAATGAGCAATTTTTCCGTTTTCTTTCTTTTTTCTTTATGGAAATCTTCGTTTATCAGGTATGTAAAAACGTACATAAATTTCCATCGGTTTTTATCAATGTGCCTTGCAAATAGTGCAAAGCAATTTTGCTTGTCACTACTCGTGGTTTAATTAAGTCAAAGAGAATTAACTTGGCTCTTTGCATCCCTATCTTTACATTGAAATGTTGCAACCTTATCCTTGTTATCCAGCATTTATGTCGGGTTGGTGCACAATGTCACACTTTGTTATTCCGATGTGGAAAAATAAACTGGACATAATTCGGCTCTTTAGAAATTTGCCTGCGAGTTTACGGGACAGCTCGAAATAATTTTAACATTTTATTAACATTCTATAACATTTCATTTTAACATTTACGTTGGTAACTGACCTTTTCACCTCGTTGCAGCAGCGTACTGATGATTCCCACGTGACCGTACCTGGCTGCAGTATGAATGGACCTCGCCCCTCTTTTATTGGGCATGTGCAAGTACACCCCCTTCTTGAAGAGCATGGTGGCGCACTCCGAGTGCCCGTTCAAGGATGCAATGTGCATCAGAGTCGAGCCGTCCTTCGTCCTCTCGAAGATGCTAGCCTTGAATTTATCGGCCAGCAGTTCGATTATCGAGGCGTGTCCATTTTCCGCAGCCAGGTGCATCGGGGTTCGATCTTGATGGTCGGTTATGGAGGCTGATGCGCGAACCCCATAGAAGTACTTGACCAAAGTCTCGTCACCTTCTGCACTCGCGATGTGCAGGGCCGTCTGGCCTTCGCCCTGAAATAACGAATGCAGAGTTTGACGAATATATTAAGGTGGCATGATACCCAATATATGGCGTCAAAGAGCTCTCGTTTATGAAACTTTTCTTTGAACTGGGTGTACCGAATCGATTCAAACTTTACAACGTGAATGTGAAGAGTATAAGAAAGGTACTGACACCGATGAGATTGAAATTAAAAAAAAATATTTGTCTATAGATATTTTAAAAATGGTTTATATAAAATGAAATTTTCTGTCTGTCAGGATCTTCCATAAAACTTCTACATTCAAGTTGTAAAGTTTGAAACAATTCGGTACAGTCAGTTCGGAGTAAAGTTTTATGAACAATTGCTCCCTGAGATGCCGCTTTTACACCCCCTTAAGTGTTGTTCCATGACACATTACGAATCACCATACATTTCGTGTTATTTCATAAGTTAATTCATTACGTATTATCCCAACTTTATCAGCAGACTCACGTTCTGCATGTCGACAGGAGCGCCGTAGTCCACGAGGATCCTGACCATGTCGACGTCCCTTCTCCTGGCGGCGAGGTGCAGCGCGGAGTCCCCAGCAGGAGTGGTGGTCTTGAGTTGGTCCTGGGCCTGCTGGGCTAGGAGCTCTCGACACATGGACTGGTTCCCAGCCTCCACGGCCAGCAGAAGCGGAATCTTGCCCCTCTGCGCAGAGAAACGAGACCCTCTGAGCGGGGCACCGGGATCACGAGAGGATTTCGCAGGGCCCTGCGACGGGCCTTGGGGCGTCACCTCGAGGTCGAGGGCGACTTCGGCCAAGCTTTTGAGAGCATGCCTCCACTCCCTGGGGGCGATGCCAGCTCGGAGTCGGTTTCTGAGGACGAAGTCGGGCACCCTCGCCAGGGAACGATCGGGGGATTTTGTCGGGGACCTGTCCGGCGACTTGTCCGAGCCTTTCTCGTGGCGCTTTTTAGCTCTGGACAGCATCGCGACATAGCGAGACCTTTTAGGGGAAGCGAGGACCCGACTGTCTCAACTCATGGAACTCGAGTCAGGATTGCATCCGATATTCCATGCAACGAATGCGAGGTACCAGCGATTACTCATTCTCGCCCACTGTTTTTCTCTCTTTTTTTTCTTCCTCCTTTTCAGGATCGTCGAGTCCAAGCTCGAGACTTTGGTACTTTCGAGTTTGAGGAACCGGACCTCGATCATGTACGATCAACTGGACACATCACCGCGGTCTAGGGAACCTCTTCGGGCAGCGATCCGGGGACTGTCTGAGATTCGTATCCGCGATTCGAATCCTCAGAGGGGAATCGGAGACCGGGTTAATACCTAAGTAATCGTCATCCCACTTAATGCTGGCGCACGATCATCATCTCGCATAATCAACGGGGCGACCTCCTCGGTGCAACGGTTCCTCGGCGAGGTCGATACCGGCCGGTATCATCTCTCCTCGAGGAAAAAACACCGGCGCAAGCCCGCGGGATGAGAATTACGGCCGGCCCGGTACCAGGCGGCGCCGCGCCGTCACGCGACGCTGCGGTCCCGACCAAAACCGGGACGCGGCCCCTCGAATCGCGGGGAATCTTTATCCCCCAATTCCGAGTTTTATGCCGAGCGAGACACCCACGCGACGACGGACCCCCCGAGGCCTAGTTACGAATCGAGTTTGGGCCAAGAGGTGTCGCGGAGATGCTTCGCCTCTTGCAAACTTTAATTCCTAACTCTTCTTCTGATTGCTATCAACCAGCGACCATTTAAGGCGACGTGAAATCGTTTTACGAAACTTTTCTCAGGACTGGGTACATCGTTTTAAACTTTACAATCGTGAACAGAAAGACTAAGGGGAGGCCTGCAACCCATGAGAATTTTAACACATATATTATTTCCAGACATTTTCAATAGTTTATATAAAGAATCATATTTCATGGGTTTCGGGACTTTCTTTATAGCTTCCGTATTCGCGTTGTAAAGTTTCAACCGATTCGGTACACCCAATTTGGAGAAAATTTCATGAAAAATTAACCCTTCAAATATACTTTCACATCCCCTTAAGGCGACATGAAAATAGAGCCGTGCAATATAATTTCGAGAATCCCGTCTTCCAGATAATTTTTTTCCCGTCCTTTCCTACCTATCCTACAATTAGGAAGCAATATAAATCGTAGTTTATGAAACTGAAATGCTCCTCTATTTTTTCTTCCCCTTTTATTTATTTTTGTTTGGTTTACATCAATGAATAACCAAAGCATGGAAAATTATACTCGTGAGGCCCTAACCGTACGCTTCTTGTATCTGTGCCACTATTATCAACCTACTGTTAAATACACAATAAACAGAGTTGCGGAAACTAACGACCCGTTTATTTTTAAATGCTTCTGTTTCTGCACGCCATGTTTTCTTAAAATTAATGGATAGCAGAAACGTTGGATTATATCAGTGCCCCAAGTAATGGCTTTAGGTGCTCCTACTTTAAAAACATACGCATCGGAACCGGAAGACTTATGTCCCTTTTATTGCATAAAGACCTTTGCGTGTTTATTATGGGCCAACACAGGCAGTGCCTCGTATGCACGCACGTTGTCGCCATTTTGGAGCACGAAGTTAAAATAGAAATTACAAGCATTCTGTGTTTGCAGGCGCGGCTTCTACTGCTCGGTAGTTTGGAAATTGCAAGACATCACGGTTTTTCACTTTGCATATGAAAGTGACATCCGAAGGGTCAATTGTTCATGAAACATATCTCCGAACTGGGTGTACGGAGTCGCTTTAAACTTCATAACATGAATACCAAGGCTATAAGGAAGGTCCCGGCATCCATAACACATCATTTGTTATAAAAAATTTTTTAATTTCTACAAGCTTTTTAAAAATTATCATTTTGGAGGAAGGACCCCATCTTTATAGTCTCCATGTTTACATTGTGAAGTTTGAAACGATTCCCTGGACCCAGTTCGGAGGAAAGTTTCGTAAACGAAACCCCTTTGACTCCACTTTCACATCACCTTAACCGTTTGAGTCCCACGCAGCGCGATCGCGCTGTTCAGATTTTATGTCGAGAAAACCCAGCACATTTCGAGCGTTGTGGACAACTGACGGTGCGTCACCGATTGTCAAAGTCGCGCGCTCAGATTCACTGACCCAAGTACATTACACAGCTCCTTCTTTTAACCTCTTAACTTACAATATCGTGTGAGAGACGTGGTAAATCAATCGGGCCAAACGTGAACAAAACGTGTGAGAGACGTGGTATGTCAATCGGGCCAAATGTAAACAAAACATATGAGAAGTTACGTTCAGCCAAACCGTGAAATGGCCCGATGTATGACCGACACTTTTGTTGTTTATGGCACGCGCTATTGGAATTTAAGTCGTAACGCAAGGGGTTAATGTAAATAATACATCTTACAATTCAAGAAACGCTATCGCGCCCAGTGGGATCCATCGACATAAAATAAACAAAGCGCTATCGCGCTGCTTGGGTCTTCTTGTACTCATTTAGAGAAAGCGCGGTTGCGCTGTTCGGGATTCTTCGACAGTGTTTTTTTATTACCCCCTAGAACTCAAACGGTTAATGGTTAGTCTAGTTTTATGTTACTTTAAGGTACTTACTCCGTCCACTTTTAATCGTATGTCCCTTCCAGCTGCTGCAAGAAGTGCCCGAAGAATGGACGTCGCCGTGCCCGTTTGTCTAGAGGCCACCAGGTGAACTGCTGTCTGTTGTCTGGGCTAAATTAAACGATTTTTCTTATATCTACAAATTGGAGGACACGTTGATTACATAGACCGACCTCAATACAACAATAAAGTCTATATCAAGGCCGATGAACAAATTAACAGTCTCTAGGATATTTAGATTGAAACATTACGAACAGGAAATTCACATTGACTTATTGGAGAGGAAAGAATTTTTCGCCCATCAATTTTCACTTATTTCTAGTCTAATTTAACAGTATTAGATGATATCTCAGAAATAGGAAAAGAATAAGAGAAACAAATATGTTGAATAATCAGCGGTCGACTTAATGAAGATGAATTGCCACCTGCTTATTCTTTCCCCATGAATAAAACATGGTTCCTTTTCCATTCCAGGGCCTTGCTTTTATCGCAAATTAAGCCTTGGGTCGTTAACTTGTAACAATTGATACCCGGCGGCCATTTGTAAGTATAAGTAACAGTCCGGAAGTGCATCTAATCGATGCCTTTTAAATACTTCCCGCAGTATCGCAAAGAGGTGTCTTAAGAAAGCACGAATCTGGTGATTTATTAAGCGAACACCCCTCTTAAAAGGATTCTACAAAAGTCTACATAAATTCCCGAAAACATTAATTTATAATTAAAAGTAAGGTTCTTCCAGTTGAACATATCTATCTACATCGAGTTTAACTCATTCATCATTACTGCTTACTGCTCTATTAATTATTCTCCAATATTTGGAGAGGAAATCGCTCTTACAGGCTCTATTATCCTTTATTAAGGCGATGTTAAAGTGGCATCTAAGGGTGAATCGTTCATGAAATTTTTTTTTGGTCTCACAAATTGGGTGTACCGAATAGCTTCAAACTTCACAACATGAATATGGAGGCTATAAAGACGCTCCTGACACCCATAAAATTTCATTTTTTATAAACAATTTTTAAAACTTTTACAAACGAATTTTTAAGAAATTAAAATTTCAGGACCTTCCTTGTAGCCTCCATGTTTACATTGTCATGCTTGAAACGATTCGGTACACCCACTTCGGAGAAAAGTCTCATAAACGACCACTTCGACGCCGCTTTCGCATCACCTTAAGTTCTTCATTAAAGACCGATTCGAAGTACCAAACCTACCCCTCCTGTGGCATAAGGATCCACTCCCTTCTTGGTGAGCAGAAGTTTGACGACGTCCTCCCTCGAATACATGGCCGATATGTGGAGGGCATTGTAATTATCCTGCAGCAATAAGAACCTTACGTTACTTCATTTACAAGAGTAAGTATCGGGGCGCGCCCGCCATGAATTCCACGTATACAAAGTACATGAGCACGTGGATCGAGCAATAAGGTAATAAGGCTGTAAATTGCATTTGGCCGCACCCAGTCGGCCCGTTTCCGCGGTTCCAATCACGGCTTATTAAGGTGCAATTTGAAAATCATACATATCGGGGTTGGTCGAGGGTGCGGTGGCGGTTCGGTCGATAAGTTCTTCTGGGCACCCCAGAAGAGGTCGGGGCACCCCCGAAGAATAGAGAAGCCATTTCGTCGACGTTCGCACGCATCGCGAGAAACTTACCCGGCCCTCGACACACCCCTAGATGCCATTAATATTAATGCCCTATACACGCTCGCCCTCGCCTCTGGTCTCGGCCCGTTTATCGCCCTCGAGAAATCGCGCCACTTTTTAGCCCCACTGACTGACCGCCCTACTTATGCCCTAGCCGACCACCTCGACTCCTTGGCCTTGGCCCTCCTTCACGCAATCCCGCCTCCACCGAGAACAGGATCACGAGTGGATCATTAACTCAATTTACCAAATGATAATGCAAGGGACACGGGTTTTGTCAGTGGGGTTTGGTAATCCACAGGTCTTGGGAGAGGTACCAAGATTTGGGATCCAAATGTCTTGTTGATCCGTCAATGCCCGATTTTTTCACCTACGAATCAGACCTGACAAAGTTATTCAGAAGATATCTGAGAGATATCTTTTGCTTCGGTTCTTTTCACTTCCTGTTAAGAGTTACCCGCCTGATAGAGTTATCCGGTAGTTTGAGTAGCAGATATCTGGTTGATATCTACTGCAGCGCCCTCGGCGGGAGCACTTGGAACTACTTTGTATAACCTATAGACCACGAACGGGTATAACCTCACAAATTGGTTGCGTGGTCCTTGCACAGTTACCAAATATATAATAACTTGGCATTCAACGTTAAATTTACAATAGTCTAATAAAAGTGTAGAGGTTTTCAATTTTCCTTCCTGATCTTTCGTTTCATGCCGAACTGCAGTGACGAATTTTTAAAGTCTTTCGGTTTCTTGTATGAAACGAGAGAGTAACGCCATTTGGGAATGCTTAAGAAATATGAAAAATAAATGTATTAAAAGTGTCGAGTGGTTCACCGATGTTTATGAATCCTCAGAATTAATTCACCTAATCTGCATGCTTAAGAATCGACCGAAGGGTCATCCTATTCATGACAACATGCAACCCGCCATTCCCGGATATATATTCAAATTCCACTAATCGTTTGTAGTCTCAAGCTCTGTATACCTTGAAAAAGATATTCCAACGGGTTTTCAACGTTCTAAAAATAGTCAATAAGATGCGCGTACGTTCTACGAATGTGCAGGTAACATGCAAGTAGAATTCCAAAAATTCCCGCAAGTCTGGGAATATTCCGCAGGAAGAAGGTTTCACATTTCTTTATCTCCTTAATCAGAATGTCCATTATATATTTTGCGAAATTAATAGTTTAGGAGAATGCACGTTACCGTTCTAATTTTTCGGAATTTGCACTTTCAATTTACCGTTTGATCATCCTGACCATTAATCCTCTTTAGGCTAATCTTATGGAAAGAGATAAGAAATAAAAAGCAATCTAGATCATTTCAAATTTCTGTCGTTTACTTGTTTACTGGTCAATATCCAAGGCTGTTCTTGTCATGTTAATTCAAAGTTCACCCATAAAATCGATACAAGATTTAGAATGACAACTTCGCCAATTAATTGCCTCGTTTGAATTGCATCTGCTTCAACTTCGTCTAGAACGTTAAAATGCAAAATAGAAAATTTTCAAGTGCACTTACATTATTGCGGGCTCCAACATCAGCTCCAAGATCAATCATCCTGTCTAGAAATGCGGTTCTGTTGTCTTTAACAGCATACATTAACGGCGTCATCCCCGTGGCCTGAAATAAATTTAATATCCTTCAGAATATAATTTGATGATCTTATTCCAAAAAACAACCATTTCGGATTTTTCCTGCGTCTCCAATACGCGATGTTTTAGGACGACATATTTATTTATTACGAGTAACGTGATAAATCGAACATTCTATAGAATGGACTTTATTTTATATGATAATGTTATTACACTGTCCGTAACATACCCAGATAGACCAAGTGATGAAAAATTTTCTGTTTAGTTTTACAAGCTGGTTTAAATAAATTCCGACAATGTAATGGCACTCAGAACTTCTTCACGTGTTTACAAACATTGCATACTAATTAAAGTCGTTAGTTAAACATTTGTAACGTTAGTCCAATTTCGTATACTTAAATTGTCAGAATATTACAAACTATTTTAATGGGGTGACTCCTATTATTTTTGTCTCCAGGTGAAATTCTTCCTCCTTTTATGCCGATGGAAAGTATGGAGTACTTGATTTGCGAAAGTATTAGTTATGGATAAATAGATGTTCAACAGTGCTTTTTTACACCTCATCCGTAACATGAAGAAAAAGTGTATTACTTTCATGATATCAGGAAACTCGATACAGTTTCACGTCAAATACATAAAGACAGGGTACATATTTCGTCGCATACTGGCATTATAATTACACTACAGAACAAATTTATGTGCTTGTTATGATTAGGAAATATTATGGAATTGCATGTTCACGAATACCTTGTAGGCATTCTGCGCAATACTCGAGTGTTTCGAAAAATGTAAATATGTTTATGACATTGTACATGACATATTGAGTGCACGGAATAACTTGAAATTTCAACACATGATTACGAAAGCTTTAAGGCCGATTGCATACATATCAGTAAAACCGGCACTGACTTTTCTGTCAAAAACAATGTAACTATCATTTATTTACGTTATTACCATCGAAAAAATCGGTACCGGCACCGTATTCTTGGTTGTAGTCTGGGATAAAAGAAACAAATTTTTCATCAAAAATTAAATTTCACGAGCTGCACGTTTTTCCTTAGAGCCTCCTTAATCACGTGCTAAAGTTTCAAATGATTCGGTATACCAGTTTGGAGAAAAGTTTAATAAATATTTTGATTTTTTATATATATAGAATGACCCTTTCATATCACTTTAAATAGACGAAAAAGAAATTCTGGAGTACCAACCGGGTCCATGAGGCCCGCCAGGGAGGCCGGGGTGCCATCTTCAGCCGCGCCCTGGTTGGCCTTCTCCAGGGACTTGAGCACCTGGTCAACGGGGGCCCATTCGCCACGAGCAGCAAGTCCCAGCAATCGCTGAGCAGCTTCTCTGACGTTGGCCCCCGCGGACCCAGGTTTGCTTCCCGGCTGCGAGGGTTCTCCACTTCCTGGGGCGCCATTGCTTCCGGTCGAGGCCGAGGCCGCGTCCTCCTTGTTGGCCGGACTCTCCTCCTTGCTGGCGGGGTTCTTCCTGTCGTCCTTGCCTGCTGGCGCCTTCTTGTTGTTGCTGCTCATGTTACTTCAGCACCTCCGGAGACCCCCGCTTCAGTGGATGGACCATTAGCCAGTCATCGGCGAGTTCTCTCGAGGACTCTTCATGGACACGATGACTCCAACTCGCGAATCCAAGATGGACACCCCCAGAAGGGACCAAAGTTACGTTGCAGCTATCCACGATGAATGGCGACCCCCTGGCCCGTTCCGAGAGTTCACCGATGGACAATAGTCGGGTACTTCTGCACGACCTGGGGTCACCCATGAGATTCCTCCCAAGAAAGGGTGAACCATCACCCTTTGGGGTGGTCGGTCGTTTAGCTGCTGATCATTCCGGTCTCCGGATCGGCGGAGACTTTCAGGGACACCAAGGATTTTTATGGGTGGACAAAGGTTTGGGTTATATCGGAAACTCGCATGATCACGGTAGATGTAGTCTCATGGACCAAGCCATGTCTACTCATCCCTGGAATGTGGAATGGTATCGGGGTCTTCAATCCGGACCCACGCGGATCTTCGCTTATGGCGGCGTTCAGACCCCAAGTGGAAGACCAAACTGATGACCTGCACGGTAGAAAGTTCCATGCATCGTTACAAGTTCTATCCAAACTGCCACAAAAAAATTATCCGCCTGGTCCGGGATGGATGATTGAAATTCAAAGAGCAGTCGGACGCCCGCAAACGTGGCGGATGGTATCAAAGCGTTGCACTTCTGGCTCCCAAAATCCGCAGGTCGGACGAAGACATCCGTTGCTCCGTTGCTTCTTTCTTGTTCCCTTCCAGTCAGGGTTTTTCTGCGTCGACTACCTTGTCTGATCAAATGTCAGCTGTTTTAACGGAGGGACTTTGCGAGCGTTTCACTTTTCCGACGCCATGTCTCAAGTTCTTGCACTGGGTCCAACACGCATCCGGTGGATCCAAATCCAATGGCCAGTCGAAAACTATCGAGATGATTAGAAATGTACTATTGTGATGCGGCTATCAGGTAGTACAGGTGTCGCCCAGGGAGGTCCCTTCAGGGGTACCGCGTGTGTTGCTCGCGAGCACGGGTATCCGAAGACCAGCCCGAAGACGTGGGTACACGCCGGAAGAGGGTGGCCTACCCTAGTGGGGGATCGACCAATCACTGCTCGGCCACGGGGGTTCGCTGGAGTAGACGGTACCAAGACCAAGGAGAGGTTGCCGGTGTTAGTCCGCCGACTCGTAGGTAGAAGGCGAATGCAAAGACGCCGGTGGGTGGAGGCGTCACGCGACTTCCGGCACAGCTCTGGCGAACGCACGCCACCCTGCCATTCGGGGACCCTCCGACCTGGTCCCCGATTTTCCAGCTCCACACTTTTCGCCGGAACTCCCGCGACGATCGTGCCAGCGAGTCAAGTTCATGCGTTTTTTTCATCGCCCCCGGAAAACGACGTCCTTTTCCGCGACAGCATCGCCCGGGACGCTCCAAGATCTACGCACTTTGTTCAAAGAAATATTTTAGTTTCGTAAATTATTTTTCCAAGATTTCTTCAAACATGATATACGAATTTTATAACATATTTTCAAATGAAACTCATGACATTTTTAAAAGATTTATGTATTAAGTATTAAATTCATCGCCATGAGAGACGGCGTCCTTCTTCGCGGCAGTATCGCCCGGGACGCTTCAAGATCTACGCACATCGTTAAAAGAAATACTGTAATTTTGTAACATTTTTGTTGGAAGTTCCTTTCAGAGATGATAGACTGATTTCATAACACATTCTCAAGGAAAATATACAACATACGCCATGATTTTATACATTCATAAATATACCATCGCGTTGTAATTTTTCTATCTCGTGTAGGAGGCACCATGGATTTATTATTTGAAAATTAATTTCATACATATCTGTATATACGGTACGAATTATTCCCAAAATGTATACTAACTCACTTTTGGTACGTCAAACATTGTCTACAAGTTTAAGTTCTAAAGGCGATTTAATTATAAGAATATCTTTAACAGTTCAGTCTTTCCACCTTAACAACCCAGAATTCCGCGAAAGGACTCTGAGTCACGTTCTTCCAAGGATTAGTCACAAGGAACGGTTTCATTATCGCGATGGTATCACCTGATTTCAGATCGATTTTTAGGAAAGGGCACTTCTCATAATCTCACGTCATAAAAGAAGTTGTAGTTCGTCGTAGTTTGAGATTAATAAGATGTATGGCTCCTTTTACAGGAACCATGGCTTCATTTTAAACGGGACGAGGAGAATACAGACAAAATTCTGTGTTCCCTACTGCCTGCCAAATCCCAAATCGTTACAGAGGTTGCGCCATTCTCAAAGTCGTTCCTGCGTGTCTGGAACACATTTTGCAGAATCGTCGCAAGACATTTCCGAGACTGTTACATGATAACCCGTACGTGTGTACATACAGGGTATACATGCAGAATCGATTGTTCAGGTGCAGGCGACGTATGTTCCTCAAATCCACGAGGAGAGTCGACCGTCGAGGCGATTTAACCCTGTGAGGACGGAGCTCTTTTGACATATGGGCGAAACTCATGAATACGTTCAGGCAATATTGGACCAAATGTCGGACGCATATATGCGGCGGTAGTCCGCAAAGGGTTAACGGGTGCTGATGCGTCCACCTGGCAAACCTGCGGAATTTATTACCATGGACTGTATTAACAGGCGCTAACGAGGTCATGCAGTATTTATGTACTATTGTTAAGCTGTCCTCACATTGTATGCCTTGTTTTGTACCCTAAACCCTTCTGGGCTAAATCCTCAGGACGTTCATCCGCAATGCGGTTAACCGGTGAAACATCGTCTTCGCATGTCCTCATTGTGGTAACAGTGACTATGTACACGTGCATATATATATACTTGGCAGAAGATGACGTAGAGATCGGGTACAGTTGCAACAATTTCGAATAGAGAAGTTTTTTTTTAATACTTGCCCAAAAATATCCGAACGATGGAAATATCACGCTACACTGACAAAAGCAAATTTACATACATCTTTATATACCTTATCGTTAGTACACTTTTACTTTAATTAGGTGTAATATTATATTATCATTTTCATTAACTGATCTTGGATGCTGAATGTTATATTACAGAGGCAATGTGATTTTGCTCTGATTTATTGTAGCATCAAAATAATCAATGATTATCTAAATTTACACGGGCAATTTTATCAGGGTATAGATGGAACTTTCGCAATAAGATTTGATCACTGATCTGCATTTATTTTCGTTACATGTATATAGAAAAAATTATTTAAATTGGAGTTGCCATATGTTACAACTGTACTCGTTGAGGTAAGTATTGTAACAGGTAAGGGGTTTGTAACAAAAGCTGAAATAATGAAAATAATGCGAATTATTGAATATAAGATCAGAAATAAATTTTTATTTATCTATAAGTCTTTGCTATTTATGCATACAAGTTAAATCCCTTAATTTATGGGTACACGGTTCACGAGCTCACTTTTAACAAATTAAATTTAAATAAATGGCAATATCGGTAATGACAACTAATCAAGCTTACTTTTTTTCTGAACTTGCAATATTTGTTTTCCTTTTTTAAATACGTAAAATTAATAATTTTACAATATATACTGGTTTCTTTATGAGATACCTTCTTTTCGAATTAATGGACTTCAAGCGATTTTTAGCCACGTAAAAAGGGCCTACCCAAAATATATTATCCATGCAAATCAAAGAGATATGCTTTATAACTGCACTTATAAACAGTTGCTCCTTCTTCGATTTATTACTTCTACTTCTACGATTAATTATAAAAGACTCGTCTATCTCCATGTACTTAGTATTCCGTCTTATCTTCCACGACGGGCTCTGAAAGAGATAACATAAATTGTCAGTTTGCCTTGGCGGTCCTTTTTGACATTATCATTTTTCTTTACGCATACTACTGATATACATGTATTATCACTTTCGGAATGCATCACAACTCTCCAGTTGTTCAGAAACTCTGAAGCGCTGAACTATCGTTTTTTAACGCCCGAGTCCAAAAGAGAGAAATTAACAGTCAGCTATTTCTTACACAGTGCGACAAAGAAGACTTCCATTCGTCTCTCGAAGGTCAAAATGAGTTACAAACGATTACTAATGTAAGTGATGAAAAATTACGTGTATACATTTATGCACCAAGTGCATAAAGTAGCCATTTGTCGCAGGTAGACCATAAACAAACTGCAACAAAAAAAAAACAAAGAATAAATTCGGCTCATTTTCCAAGTTAAATATGGTGAACTCAATAAGCGAGTTGATTCAACTCCAAAATGTGATTTTGCTCCAAATCTAAGTTGACCCAACTCGCTTATTGAGTTCGCCACATTTAACTCAAAAAATGATTTGAATTTACAATTTTTTTTTCCCTCAGTACGTTGGATTCTGCACAAAATGCATACGACGTTTTTCTTGCGCTCCCCGTTACTAGATGGTCCAAATTATTACGTTATCGTTAATTCTCGTGAGTAATGGATTTATGAAACCTCAATGAGGTCATATATATCGTTCTAGTGCAGAAAAACATCCTTTGCGCGTGCGCTTGTTCAAAGTAGTTATCTTGTGCCCAGGTGTAGGAAAATGATTTGAGTTGAGTTTGAGATGAGTCAAATAATCTTCTCCAGAAGACCCTGTTAAGTAATCCCTGCATATTCCTCTGAAAATATTTTCTTGTTTCCGTGAATTCTTGATAGAAAACCGCAAAATTCGAATTCTTTCGCAGTGCCTCTTCCAGACCAAGTGGACTGTCCAGGATCAGTCATTGCTTCCTTTTCCAAAGAAATGAATCCACGGTTAGTATAAAAAGCGAAGAAGATCGAAGGAGTCCAGGAAGTGCGTCGAAAGGACCTTCGCATCTTTATCATCCCGGGTCGACACCGATTCTCGAGCAGACCATTGGTGATCTATTAAAACAGGCGGCTTACAAATGGCCAGACCGCGAATGCATAGTTTCTCTTCATCAGAACGTGCGGTTGACCTTTTCGGAGGTCCTGAAACGTGCTGATAAACTGGCAGCAGGTTTGAAAAAATTAGGACTAAACCAAGGCGACAGAATCGGTCTTTGGGGTCCCAACGACGTCGAATGGTTTCTGACATTTATGGCCACGGCCAGAGCAGGACTCATCCTTGTGGCGATTAATCCAGCATATAGGCGCGATGAACTCGTATATGCCTTGACAACGACAAACGTCAAAGTCCTGGTTTGCCCAGAAAGTTACAGATCTCAAGACTATGCTCAAATGGTTCTACAGGTCAAAGATCGCTGCCCCGCGCTGGAGCACTGCATAGTCTACTCGGAAAATCGTGTCGCGTGAGTGTCATTGATACTAAATAATTGTGTTAAAACTAGGATTACCTTTAAGAACAATTATTCATACTTAACAATGGCTAAAAGATCACGTTTAACGTAGAAACTTTCGGTAACGCCCTAACAACTCGATAAACACGAAATAGTGGAATGCAGGTTTTATATACGTATCATTTGCGTCATGTTCTCGTACTATTTTATTTCTTTTAATTTATCTTTCGGTTCATGTATCGTTTTATTCCGCCGTAGCGTTTTATTCTTATATTTATTTATTCTCGTAGTGCTATATTTTCCGTGGGATTATTTTCTTATTTATTCTTTTAAGTTTGTTTCTGTATTTGTCTCGGTCTCTTTTTATTTCATTTATAATTTTCGTATCTTTTAATTTTATTAATTTATTTACTTTTATTTGCTCAATATAGAAACCTTTTAGACTCCTTCGTTTATTCTAATTTATTTGTGTCCTCGTTTCTAAAGTTCATTTCCCTGGATAATATCAAACCGATACAATACGTAAACCTTGTGAAAGTATGGTGTACGTGTTTTTTGTTTACATATTGACTGTAACGCTCGTAAGACGTTTACGAATTTAGTTTATTCCACGTATTCTATAAACGCGTTCAATATGCGCTCCCTTATAACAAAAATCACTGAATGTTTAAACGACGTTCATGTTGCGCAATTTGTAAGGGTAGTTTAAACGCAAAATAGACGCAACACCAGCGTCGAATTTGGCATGGAAAGACGGATATTAGAATGTGTTAAATACTTTACACTACTTTTAATCATACATTACACTATTTCGTGTACACTCTAAAAGTGTGCCGGTACGAAAGTTCTTCATATTTTTAAAACGCAATACTTCATTCTGTGTCAGCGAGGTGTAATTTACGGGGTTTCGCGTTTTGTAGTTGCCTCGTAAAAACGCGCCCTGGAAGAATCATAAAATCATGGTTATCTATGAACTGAATTGCTCCCTGGAGAGATTACGTTCAACGGTGGAGGGTCTTGTCTAGGCCGCACGAACGCGGCCCGGTCAAGTACGACTCGCCTTGATTTAACGCACAGCTCTAAAGCGAAATGGCAACGAGCAACAGATTAACGACGTGTACGTGAGCATCGATCGTCTCTCCACCATTTTCTGAGGTTACTCGGCGTCGGTCGATCCGAGGAATGATTTTGGGGACGACGAGAGAGAATCACTTCGAGCTCCGCGAAACTAGCGCCGCCATATTGGTTTCACGAGTATCGCGTGCTCGATCGCACCTCCGCTTTATTCGGCTCCAGAAATGGGTTAAGTACACACGAGTCGTAATTTAGCCATTGATCGGGACGCGTTGAGATCATTGCATGGTCGACGCTTCGATTTTGGCACTTACTCATCACCCAAAATAGATTAATTAACGACCCGCTGGTAGCCGCGTGCAAGATAACAGGAGACGCCATTTTGCTGGCCATGCGGCATCAGCGTTGATTTTATTATCATTTCTATTAGTTATTTTACCATGTTATATTAAAAGAAAAATAGATTCAGGGTTCGATTTAGTGCAAAGAACGTTAGTTTGTGAGTCAGTAATACCTTAAACCTTTGGCTGATCTTCCTTTTGACGCCATTTTTCTGTCTGTGCGCCGTTAGCGTCCATCCTAATGTCACCTCGGTGAGTTTCTTTTTCACGTCGTTACATTTGAAAACAAGATTTAGGATTCGACTTAGTGCGATAAATGTTGGTCAGTGGGTCAGTAATACAATTTCCGGATGGCTTTTCACCCGATGCATTAACCATTGGCCTTCGTTCTCCATGCGAAGCCGCGTCCTTGGGTGAGGCGACTTCATTGTTATCACTCGACTTGACTGAGCTCCGTTAACCCTGGTTAAGCCTGAAACGAATAACGCCTTCTTTTAGGAAATCACCTACGCGACCTTTGGTTCGCTTCGCAAGCTCGGCAGCTAGAATAGGTCTCGTAATTAGGTTAATGACTCACGGTGCGGAGTCATCATAGATCCACCCCTGGTACTCGCTCCCACCGCCCACTTCTTCTTTGTGGGGTCGATTGTTACACCCGGCCATTTAAACGTCTGTCCTAAAGACAAAGTAATCGCTCGTCAACACCCTTCCCTGGAAGTGTCGATAAAGCGAGAGGCTTAATGTTTCACTCCCAGGGCATCTTTAAACAATATTAAATGATAAGAATTACCTAGGATACACAAAGTCACGAGAAAATCTTACCTAGATCACACCATTTTTGCGGCAATGATTTTGAAAATGAGAATAATTCCGTATAACCAAATATTAACCGTTTCATATTCTTTAACATCTGCAGAGGTACGCGTCATTTTTCCGATATCGAGACCCTAGCTGGTAAAGCAGAAGTGCAGGCCATTGCAGAGCAACAAGGGGAGATTTCACCCTACGAGGGATGCAATATACAGTTCACATCCGGCACCACCGGAAAGCCCAAAGCCGCCCTTATTTCGCACAGGTCCTTCGTGAATAACTCCAGGCAGGTGAGGCATGAACGGTCAATACCTGAAAAGTAAACCCAACGGATATATTCCGTCCTATATTTCCATTGACCACCGCCACTCTTATTTCATGCAAGAAATTCTCAAATGGGGTCAATCGATCAGCAAAAATGATCTCGCCGATTTCGTGAATTCGACATTGTACATTCGATTTCGATTATTGTCCAGTGCTCGGAAAGGAACGAGTTGACGGGTAAACACGACAAGATCTGCTTGAACGTTCCGTTTTTCCACGTCTTCGGCCTCGTAATGGCGGAAATCTTGTGTCTGCACGCCGGCACCACAATCGTGCTCGAGGGCCCCACCTTCAACCCCAAGAATTCCCTGCACGCTGTTGCAAAGGAAAAATGCACCGTTATGTACGGAACCCCGACGATGTGGGTACGTATTTAAATAGAAAAAAAAAATTAGGATTTAATTCATTGACTAAAAATCCTTTTGTTACTTCCAGATTAACATAGTAGACGCGCAGAGTCGCATCGGCGCGCCGGTGGAGTCTCTTTCTCGAGGGGCGACCGGAGGCTCTCCAGCATCCCCAGAACTCTTCAAGAGGATTCGCGAGTTCCTTAAGATTGATAACATGAAGGTAAGAAGGGCTGAAGAGAGTTCAAGCATGATAGTTTAGTTTAAGTTTGAATTTTTTGGTGTTTAAAGGGTTGTTCATATCGAGTGTAAGAGAATTCGTGTCCACGGTCCCTATTCTTACTGAAATTGGAGTCGAAAAGTCCTGCACTATTTTTTCTTTTTTTTTCTTTTTTCTACGGTACGTAGTTTATCTGTAATAATTGATTCAAAAACAAGCTCTCTGCTAATCGACGCGAATGGTTAGTTGTTCTTCAATGAATTATTACAAGCAAACCGTGCACCGTAAAAAAAAATTTCACAAGACTTTTCAACTCCATCTTCAATAAGGATAGTAATTGTAAACCATGGGCACGAATTCTGTTACATTTAGTATAAATACCACGTTTGAAATGACCCGTTATCAAAATTGGGTTCCTTGTAAACGCACTTTGGGAAGTCTAGGTATCCTAAAATTTATTGTACCTCTTTACGTTATCTAACTTTTAGCTAGAAATCGGCCAATGAATGTGCAATTCAAATTTCCCTTGGTTTTAAACAAGGTCCGTCGTTATTATGCAATCATGTCGCAGTTCGGTATAAAAAGCGTCTCCGATAAGCTGCCGGCCCGTGAACCCATTACCTCGATGGCTCGTCCTTATCACGGCGAATGGAAGGACTAAAAATTCAAGATAAACTCATACTACCGAATTCGGAGAAGATACGTCCCCGTAATTAAGAAAAATGGCCTAGGTAGAAAAATCTAAAAACGATGAATTAATCTCATATTTTCTTCCACATACATTTAAGTTACAATAACGTGAGCTTAGCATGTAAAAGAAAGATGATTTACGACCACTTTCATAATTCCGGCTACACGTTCGTGGCAGAATTTGTCATTAGGAATATTTTCGGTCGCTGGATCCAGATTTGAAGATAACTTTTCGAGACGAGATAATGGTTTCGCTATAAACAATTTCCGGGAACGTGCGAGGAGGGTCGATGCCTCGGCCATTTTTGTCTATCTATGCAGGAATCTTTTAACAGACCATGGTCTCGTATGCATAAGTACCGTTGCAATGAGGAATATCCTTGTACATACTCTTCGGATCGATATGCCGGACTTTCTTGAGGAAATACCTTCGAGGGATACCTCCTGGAGAACGGAAAACCGAACCGAGTTCGCCGACCACGTCGAAAATAAGTCGACTTACGACCCCTTCTAATGGCTCTTTCATGTTCCCTCCATGTTTTCGGAGATTAGGCACCATTTGAAATCTATAAGAAGCCGAGATACCGAATACCAAATACCATTTTAAATGGCTCCTTCTCGTGCGACCTTACCGACGTAATCGCTTCCCGATATTTCTGGAGATTAGGCGCCATTTGAAATCTGCAAAACCAGAAATTCGTGCAAGTTAGGACGAAAGGGATTCCGCGCATCGACTAAACAGATTATTTAACGTTTATGTATTTTTGTAAAAAAGGTCACCTTTGGGCGCTCTTTAATGTTCCCTTTCTTTTTCCCTTTTTTTACAGTCCTTGTACGGATTGACGGAAACCACGGCGGCAATTTTTCAATCAATGCCTGGAGATTCGAGGGAACTTCAAGAAACCACTGTCGGACATTTATCCGACCATGTTGAAGCTATGGTAAGAGGTAATCCGGATTATATCACAGATTTTTTATTCCTTTCATTTCATTCATTTTATTTCTTTTTCATCTTTTATTTGAGGTCGTCGATGAAAAGTGTTTTCCAGTTCCGTTTGGTACAGCTGGCGAACTTTGGACCCGGGGGTACACCAATATGATGAAATATTGGGAAGACCAGGAGAACACAGCGAAAACAATTACCAAGGATGGATGGGTGAAAACCGGAGATCTATTCATCCTACACGAAAACGGTTACGGCCAAATCGTTGGCAGGTTAAAGGACATCGTTATTCGAGGCGGTGAAAATATATTTCCAAAGGTGAATGTGACATTTTGCAAATTAACCCTTTTGATGTAGCTATGCTTTTCCCGAGTATGAAAATTCCGAGGGGTATTCGCTCGAAATCACGTGGAAATTGCAAACAGAAGTCGCTGGAAATCGTTAGAAATCACCGAAACATTATCACAATTTTAAGGCCAAACGTCCCTTGTTACCGAATCGTATTGTTGTTTATCATATGAAATCAAAGGTAATCGGTTCTCAAAGAAGGAAATAGGAAATCATTTTTACTGACATCCCAGTGAGTAGCCCCTCGGGAAATTCGAATCGCGAATACAATGCTAGAGTTGAAAACAGTTACGACTAAAATTAATTTTCAATCAAAAGTGGAGTAAAAAAAAGAAAAAAAAACAGTCCAGAAATTCGACTGAAATTGTGAACCAATGCACAATTTGAACGGATAACTGTAGTCATGCATAGATTACGAGTATATGCGATGATAATAATGATGATGATGGATGACCCGTAGTAGCGAAAGGGTTAACTTAATCTCAATTACGATAAAGGCTGAAATGTGAAAACCGTATTCTGTTTTTATATTTTTCAGGAGGTCGAAGACTTTCTCGAATCTCATCCAGCAGTATTGGAGGTACATGCATTTGGCGTTCATGACGACGTGTACGGAGAAGAGCTTTGTGCTTGCGTTCGACTCCAAAAAGGCGCCAATATTACCGCAGAAGAGCTTAAATCATACGCACTCGGAAAGATCGCTCGTTTCAAGATACCGAAATACATCGTCTTCGTAAATGAATTTCCAAGGACGACTAGTGGGAAGATTCAAAAGTTCAAACTAAAAGATGATATGGAAAAACAGGGAGCCGTTCCGACTGCTCCGCAGAAATAAAAGAGACGTGGTAGTAAGAGATAATTAGGAAACGTGAAAAGGCCTGTAATGAATTTCTATTTAATTTCGCAGGGAGAGCATGACTCTCGATCGTTAGACAAAGATCGGTTAAAATGGCCTTGACCGAGATTTTCTTGTCTGATGTTATGGTAACGAAGCCCGGGACGATTTCTCGACAATATAACTAGATCTAGAGCGATCTCTTGACGTTGCACTTGGAGAGTAATCAGTATTTCAAAGGAGCCGGCATTTGATAGTATCAAAGTTGGTCAATTATACTTAACAGAAAAAAAGAAAAACACACGTAACGCTTAAGCTACGCGTTAAATAAATTACTGATAAGCTATTTATTAATGTGGCATTAAAAAAATGGGTGCCATGCGTATTAGAAGTGAAACTCTGCCTTCATTTTTATGTCACTTTAAATGACAATGATTAACCTGAGAACAACGCACTAACGTTAACGAAAGCGATCGCGGGAATTGTCTCGGTACTAACACACAAAGGTGAATGTAAATAACTATTAACGGTACATAAATTCAATACATGTTTCACTTTTCGTTACGCTCCCACTTCTTAAGGTGTGATCATACACTATACTGTTATAAGAAGTTTCACTTCAAACTTGGCGGAAAATATTAAAATTGAATGTCGAATATGAACTCTCGGATACTCGCGGAATTGTCCCACGTATTATCCAAGTATGAATGGAATGTACACTGTAAAATAATTCCGGCCATTTTTTTATAATTCTACCATCTAATCTATTAATCGTATGTATATATTGCAATTAAACAGAGGGCGTGGATAATGGAAACGAGCAGAGACTTGAAGTATCTTATAAAAGTGATTTCGTATATTCTCTAAAATTTTCGGTGCACAAACGATAGGATCAAGTTTTACAGGATATCACAGAATTTATAACGACAACAGGTTCGTCAATTACTTAATACATGATTAACATGGGCTAGAACGAGTTCCTACTTGAAGTCCACTTAAGGGGATGTGAAAGTGACATCTGAATCATCAATCGTTCATGAAATTTTTCACCGAACTGGGTGTGCTGAATCGTATTAAACTTGACAACGTGAACGTGGAGGCTATAAGGAAAGTCCTGACACTCATGAAATTTCATTTTTTTATAACAAATTTTNAGGCCCTAAGGTAGGTCCTAAAACTCATGAAATTTCATTTTTTTATAACAAATTTTAAAAATATCTATGAACAAATTTAAAAAAAATATAGAAATTTCATTAGTTTCAGGACCTTCTTTATACCTTTCATATTTATACTGCAAAGTTTGAATCGATTCAGTACACTCAGTTTGGAGAAAAGTTACATGAACGAGAACTGTTCGACGCCACTTTCACATCACGATTGTTCATTTAACGATTGTTCAATTGCTTGTGTTGACTAGCCTTAGAGCTAAGTATAAGTCAGCTAGATTCCCGAATAGAAACTCTTGCTATACTTCGATCAAGCCCTTTATGCGTAGAGATCTCGCACGCCTTGAATTACCGGGTATAAACACCTAAATACGTATCTATCGGAGTTATCGAGGCACTGTGATTACAAAGAACAATCATTTCATTGACACGTTTAAGGCCAAAGGAAAGAAAAGAAGTGCACTTTAAGAGAACTCGCCAAGTTCGTTTCGGCGTGAGGAACTAATTTCTATTGAGAGTATAGGAGAATATGGCTTCTAGTATTGAGGAGAACCAGCGAGTTCTATCAAAACACGCCTTAAACGTTGCAGGAAGTCCTGGATTGGCAAAACATGTCACTCCGTTTCTTAGTATAAACGGAATTTGACGATATCCATCCACGATTGCGCTCTTAAGAACAAGAACTGCTCTTATAAGTGTACGGATGATCATCCGTCGGAATTAATGGTATTGTTACTTCCTTTATTAGAAAGTAACCTCTGAGACTCTTTATTACGGCATCTTCTGTTTATGCAGATCGTTAGTCCGATGAATACCAATAAAAGTCCTATCCCGGCAATACCGAAGAACGTGACCTGCCCTAACATCGGGATTATGAGCAAGAACTTGACCTTTTCCGCTAATTCCTCTGTTAATTTAGCTTCTTGTGTAAACCACAACATAGGGACAAACGTTCTTGGTATATTTTTAAATAGTCTGGAAAAAAACAATGCAGAGATCAACAAAACGTGAAAACTGGCTCAGGATCATTGCGATCGACATGATTAGACTGATACGATTTAATTACGATGATAATTACATTAAATATCTTTTATTGAGGGAGGACATTACTTACGACATTGCACTATCTGGTTGTACCAATAAATTTATTTGCAGCTGCGCTTGGATTTCCATTGGTATACCCGTCGACTGCGAATGGAAATTTAACGTTAAAGGATTGGAACGATAAATATATAGAGTTTTTGTTCATGTTATTTGCTATATATTACCGGTTCTACGACGATCGCAAATTCATATTTGTCGGTATCGGGGCTCAGCCCGGATACGGCATTTTTATAACTCTCGTCAGCTAGGTAAAAATGCGGTAGACTAACAAATGCTGGAGCTCCGAATTTGCAGAGTGAAACATTCCTTACCCCGTTAGGTACACACTCTGTATTGTGACAGTAACAACTTAAGGATGGTACATTTGTACCATTATCAAACATGTATTTGTCAGAAACAAATCGTTTTCCTGTCAGACCTAGGTACTCAGTATCATTTTCATATGTTAGAGAGAGTGATCTGAAAATTAATTCCGATTAATACATGCTTTGTTATTTGATTTCATCACATTGACGAGGTCGTACATGTACTCACGAGCATAAATCGGAAGCAAATATTGAAACTGATTCATTGTTCTTTAGTGGAGGCCACAAATCTCCAGTTGTTCCAGTTATGGCTCCGCAGGAACCATCGTAAGACTTGCTTTGATTGCTATAATTCCACTCCTTGATCATCCCTAATGAAAATACATTGTCCTTGCCAGTTAACATATTAAAGGTTCCATCGTAAGTCTCAGATTCGTTTCGCTGAAAAATAGGAAGACAAAGATGTACAATATTTGTCTACAAAATGTTGAGTTATTATACCAGAAATACTCACAGCATAAAACCAACCGAATTTTTTCATAGGTATTCCAGTCATGTTCAACTTTGCAGCAATTCTCAATAATTTATCATCGTATCCATCGAACAGAAGCTCTCTTACAGTTTTTGTGATAACTAACCTCTCTCCAAGTGATGTCATCACTTTGTCGAGGACAGATCGCACAAATGGTTTCTGATGTCTGATGGTGTACGCAAACGTCTAAAAATTATTAACCATTTAAAAATAAGAACCTAACAAAGTAGTTATAGATATATACTTGGTATTAAATATTAACATATTTACCGACACAATAACATTCAAGTTTGTTACATTATCGGACAGACTGCCATTAGATAAGGATTCCTCAAAGTGAAATGACCTCTTTTGTTGGAAAGTTATAGTCCCATTCTCGTTCCATTGTTCATTTACTTTGTAAACGATCTCCCTAAGATGTAATAATTTGTTGAAAATAGATCCTTTAATACATTACAAACTTCCTTACAATAGTATCTTGAATATATACACTGTTATAATAATTACAATGAGAATTAATGATTACTTGTTCTTACCTAAAAGTATACGGACCCATTTGAACAAAATGAGGTTTGGTCTTGACAGCAGAATTAAAATCGTGGGGATTTGTCCAATTAAAGAGGTATAATTGTAAGTACATAGGAATCGGTGTTTTTTCCCACATTTTGTAGGATTCAGATGTTGTCGTCAATTCTAATTGCTACAACAGATATAACTTTTTTAGTAAACTCAACAATCATGCGCAGCGATTTGTCTGTGATTATTCAACGAATACTTACTTCATGCATCATACTATTAAAGATAGGTGCCCATATAGCGCCTATAACTGCTCCTACTATGATGGCAATTATTCCTACTATTATGACAATTATTAACTTCTTCTGGGTAGAACCCATTTTTGCTTGAACACTGGGACTGAAAGAAAGCGGCATATTTAATAACAATAGAAACTAATACAACATCGAAATAATACAAATGTATTATATTAAGTAATGTTAAGTAAGCAAATGTAATACAAATGTTAAGAAATATATTCCTAACTTTAAATTCTTGTTTATCTAAAGTGAAAACACACATTGCTTTCAAATATAAAATTGGTCGTATGCTAAATCAAGAAGCATGATAAAACAGTAATTATACAAAAGACATAATGTCACATTTCCAGTGATCCTTACTTCCAGTCATTGCCACGTATGCGTAAATCTGCCGCCATCAAAGGGTCGGTCGACATCCTTGCTTTTTCCAAATATCACTTAACACGTAAGATTTTTGTTGTTCAAGGAGTTGCAAACATTTAAATGTACCATTAAACATAATGTTCAATGTAAAAAGTTGTATTACTACTCCGTATTGTTTCAAGACTCAAAACAATAAAGAACGTTCTATACTCAAGTTTCACGATGTGATGTAAATCGAGTGCCACACAATGGTATAATACATACCAAATTGACGTAAGCTCAGATTATGTGAACTAATCAGACGTTGATTGAAAATGAATATACAATTAATAAAATCTATCAAAATACTGGCATGGATTTCGTCAATACATCCAATAAAATCGAATTGCAAATTTATGCGTCATCAAGGAGATTATTACTCCTTACTCGATGACAAAGGAACTGTTCGGTAATGCTACGAAATAAAATGAATTTCGATGTCTGCACCTTATTTGCAGACACTACTTAAATTCAGTGATATTTAAGTTCATTCAGTGACAGTAACTCTCTATTGGTAGATCAAGAACAAACCCAGGCAGTCAACAATAACAGACCGTAACTAATGTTTCACTACTGTCATTACTATACGGCTATAAAATTTTTGTTCAATGTCACCGATTACAGCGCCACCATCGGTTGATATCGAAAATATTTGATACCCTATCAATCGGTAACAGCAGACAAGATCATACAGAAAATGTATATAGATAAGTAACTACATAGAGAATATTCGAAACTCGAAACTCAAATCCGGTGTTAGTTCGCACTCCGGCTACAAGATGGCAATGCAAGCACGTCGATATACAAGAATTACCCATTGGCCAAACTGATTACCTCCACAAGATAAAAACTAAAGAAAATTGATAAATACGAAAAGTTAACAATAAATTAAGTGCTTTGGAACTAAAATGAAAGAAAATTCATCAAGGGAACTTAATCACTTTGGCCTGGGAACGGCCATATTAAACAAAAACACGATAGAGTTTCGCGCCAAATTACAAATGCATAAAAACGTATGTATCGAGTACCTTAATAACAAATTCAGTATCGGCTAGGGTAACTGTATTCATGTCTCAGTTATTAGAACTCAAAACGATTAGAAATCATATCTGCATACGAAATGTTTGCGAAAATATCAGTTTCATGTGGAACGCGATTCCTTTTAAAATAATAACATCCGCAAGAGTATTCGTTTCACGTGAGTGTATTATTAAGTATACATCCTTCTAAAGAACGTATTATTGTCTGCAGATTGCAGCAGCGAGGCGGCATTACATGCAAGACGAATTGAGCAAGAAGTTCAAGAGCAAGTCGTAAATTTAATTTTCTATTTTTCTCTGACGTGTTCTTAACATTCAAATGCAACGCTACCTTGAATAACGAGATATGTTTGATTTTCTCTCATTCCAATACTCGTTACAGTTGGACTCTTAAATGACCTTGTATTCTCTCTTAAGACCATTCTTGCTGCTCAATGAATACGGCGCAAGATTTGAAAAAGGAAGCAAATATTCAAGCAGAAAATTTCAGGTAAAAGAGATGTAGGAGAACAATATCCTTATCAAAGTTCATTCAATGCATCTTTTTAGGTAAGAAATTATCCTCCTGACCCAAGTATGCACGACTTAAGATTCCAGCAAGTGCTTTTGCACTTAAGAGAATGATGTCAATAAACTCATGATACAGTGTCGATAGCACGACCCATCTGGTAAGACATTTTTCATCTTCCTTGTTATCACTTTCGCGATCGATCTTACCGGTCCTCAGTTGATGGGACCGCATCACGGGCATCCTTCTTTGTAGAATGTAAATTAACACTTTTTTTCACCATTATCACAGGTAGATGTCAACGAAACAATGTACAAACTACACGAGATCTTTATATGGAGGTATGCGCGGTGGTAATCTCAATCGACACGCGATATGTGACGGATTAAGGCCTTCGAACCCGATTTCGAAGTCTACGAGGATAAGTACCTGTCGCAGACACTTTATCTCGCGATAACGCACCCGTTAAAAAGCACAATATGTATGGAGGTCCAGCAATTATTACGCAATAATTCCTTTTAGGAAGACGACGTTCTTCAGGAACCTCCGCGTCGGAGTCTACGCGGGATCGCCGGTACTACGCATCTGAAATCCGGCCATTTTGCGGATGAGATACACAGGAAACGCTTAAAAAAAGCAAAACAAACGATACTCTAAAATGGCACGACCTTGACTCGACTGATAACGATAAGCCCGGGAGGGCAATATAGCGTAATATAATTCTGGATTGTCGATGAGTGATTTAAGGGACCATACATGACTCTTTTGCACGTTGCTCACCGATACTGCAGTTTTTCAACATTTTTCGAGATCAGTGCATGGACGTTTATGAAACTTTGCCACGTGAGTATGTAATATAAAGAAAACGTTCCTCGACTGAGGAAATAGAATTTTGTTTAATGAAATTCAATATCGAAACGAATTTGCTGGTAATTACTCGAGTGAAACACTTTTCTCTCAAATAAGTCTCGTGATAGCAGACGAAGATTTGAAGTATGACAAGAAAAGAGATAGGAAGTTTTAATGAAATCGGTTTCATTTAAGTCTTAAATACAAACTTGTATCCGTTTTTGTTGGATTAAGGTACAAATGAGCTTTCGATAAAGACTCGGCACAACTTCGGAAATCTGTTTACAAATACTAATTGAGCTTCACTTCATTCTTGTCCCTAGGCACAGAGTTTTGTATAAACTGTTAATGTTAATTGCAATGTTAGATTATATACAAGTAAGATTCTACTCTCAATGAATGCAATAATGCAATGAACTTGTATTTTTAATATATTTCTCATTTTTTCGCCAGTGACTTGAAGATTTTCTGGTCTAATTTGTATAAAATGGACTGACCATTCTATTTTGAGATTTTTAAGCTTGTATTCAATTGGAACGTGAGAATTCGAAGACTAACGAGACAAATGAATTCGAGGGTTCTTCAAACGAATTAAACTGAAGTGAAAATTCTGTCGGACGGAGAGAGATGTATTTAACGGGACATCGCTTTTTATTTTTATGCAGAGATGGAGGAGGTCTTTTTCAAGACATATTCAAGTAAAATTGTTTTTCCGGATTTTTTGAACTTCTGCTAACATGTCACGTCTTCAATGCACTAGCTTAATCTGAATATGCGTCACGAGCTGACTGCAACCTTGGCGAAATACCATCCCGAGTGGTACTTTGTCCCTCCCGTCGATGACGCATATCACGAACATTGAAAATTTAAAAGTTAACTTAAAGAAATGATTCACATGGACTTTATTCAACGAAAATATCTTCCCAGCGATGGTGGTTTCCCCGAGGAAGCTGGATTTATTTAAATCAGAGTTTCGGCCGGAACGTTCTGCGCCTTTACTTTCGAGGTGGCCTGGTATCCACAAGACATCCAAACCGCCATTTTATTTTTTCGTGAAAGGCGTTCTACCGGGTCGCTCCATAAATTCGCGGACTGTGTAAAATTTCAAAAATGCACCTTCTACAATAATATGAACTACGTATCAATGAATGAAATGTTCTCTGCCATTGGTAATAAGTACATTAACATGTAAAATATACCTTTGTGACAATTTTACTTAAAGATGCAATGATCTCCACCGCCATTTTGTTTTTTTTTTTCGTCAAAGGCGTTCTACTGGAACGCTTCATAAATATTAATTATAAATAACGTATTAATTAATAATTCTCTGGCACTGTTGATTACTTATTACAATTTTCTCTGTAATTTTAATTAAGTACTGAACCTCCAAGAAAAATTCGCTGCAAACAGAAGCTGTCCGCAAATTCATGTAACGACCCATATACTCTTATCATTCTACGTTTTTAATATCGAATATTACGAGGTGAAACATCTTCGAGAAACTGTATCTTGACGGTCAGCTGAAGAATACATATGCGTATTGCTAATTACGCGATTTCTCCGGGCATTTAACAGCACCTTTCGCCGGCAAGATTCCATGTACTCGTTCGCCGCTTTCGATTTCACGAGATAGCGAGATGAAACTCCATTTATTTCCGAATGAGAACGCTAAGAGAACCTGTCTTCACTTGGCGGAGCTGACGCGGTTCAGATAATAGGGGTAATAAGGCTATTTACCGTTTAACAATTAACGAGCGTCGTTTTGGTTACGAAACATTATAGCTTGAAGACTCATTGTCACGGAGAGAGAAAGAGAAAGAGAGAGAGAAGGAGTGAAAGTACGGAAGAGGCTTGCAGGTAAATAGCGCGTAAGCCGCTAAAAAAAACAGGGTCAAATCGCTGTCACTCGGTAAGGAGGATTGAAAGTGAAACTCTGTACTGTGAAATTGCAGTTTCTTGCTAATCTTCTGAAATAGTGTAAAAAAAGAAATGTCTGTAAAAAATATACTAACCGTAGATTTAATCTAATGTAGCCGAGATGGGTTTGTAAATGTTTCAGGAAATGAAGATCTTAATTATCATTCGAAGATAGCGTTATCCAACCCTACGGCAACATTCTGGAAGATTTCACATTCGGGTAGGAAGATCCTCGATATGTAATGATTATACAGAAATGGCTCAACAAACTTTGAACCAATTGATATACGCAGTGATAATGGCTTTCTTCAGGAGTTCCAAATATGACTTTGAACCAATTGATACAAGACATCAGTTCCCATCAATGATCGATCGGCACTATTTAACCTGCATATTGGTTTATCGATATCTCTAATCAATTATCTTGGTATTTGGTATTCCAATGATTGTGCAATTCAAGTTAAATATAGTTAGTGTACTGAAATCTCAATTGTACATATAGAAATATGTACATCGTAGCACCATCTACATTTTTAAGCCGTACATACTAGTTTATGCATACATTATTGTACAGATTACATATAAGAAGCGTACAGCAATACAGCATCATTTTTTTTTTCCAGACAATCGTTCACCGAATATTTCAGATGGACAGCTTTTAAGATACATTCTGCATGATTCAAGAAAACAAAGAAATAATTGTCGCTTTGGTTGAATGGAAGAGATATCTAGGTAGTTGAGCGAGATAACGGAGCGATGATTCACTATCAAGAAAGTGGAGCAAACGAACATTTGCCAGTAAAGCAGCTTTGCTGCCGATTCTTTAAAAAGCATCGCATTAATGCAACAGAAGTATTGTTCAATTTTTGTGAAATACTATGGATATAATAATTTCCGTCACACGTTAGAGCGAGGTTTTGCGCAGAGTCGACCTTATCCGATGCAGTGTCTTATCAGTGCATGCCAAAATCAAGTAGGGCATTCGTCTTACTTCCTATCGGAGCGTTGAAGTCTCCAGTATCTCGCCTTCGTGAGTTGGTCGCTTCCTCTGTTCTTAAATCGCTAGTTCGCCGATCTTCCGTTTTTAAATCGCTGATTTGCCGATGCAAGGAATGCTTGCGCTCATTTACTACAATCAGTCTGTAATTCGAGACTCAGTGCGTTGGCGCGGTTGCAACGCGACACTTGCACTGTACCGGCCCATTAACCGAGACCCACAATTTGTGCGAACGAGCTCTGCGAAGTTCACATGCCGAATGTTAAAACTGCGAGTCAATGCAACGACTGACGACCGTCAGTTGCGAACTTCTATACTCTCTCGAAAGCTGCCTTCCCCAAGGACCTCGGTGGGGACCGGCGAATGTGATATACTCTAGCCTCGGTGCACTTGTGTACTTCAGGGGCTTCGAAATTGGCTTAATTCTGAAAAATTGTATGAAACAGAATGGTTTAGGTGATGGAAAGTGCAACGGAAAATGCAATAGAAAATCCATGGAAAAGTATCCAAAGAAGTACTCTAAGAAATGAATAGGCGAATGTGATATACTCTATCCTCGGTGCACTTGTGTACTTCAGGGGCTTCGAAATTGGCTTAATTCTGAAAAATTGTATGAAACAGAATGGTTTAGGTGATGGAAAGTGCAACGGAAAATGCGATAGAAAATCCATGAAAAAATATCCGAAGATACTCTAAGAAATAGCTGATTTATAGAGATCCTTGAAAATCTGGAATGAGATAAAGCGGTCTCCATTTTGAATGTTCTTCCCTAGTGTCTTCGTCAGAGCGTGTAATTCAAAAGCGGGAGGGATTTATGACGATGTTATAATAATTAAAATAAGGAATGATAACGGACTTATTCGGTGCAGTTTCGATGAAACTGTTCCGCGAGTTCTGCGAGTATTTCTGTACGAATCACTGCACTTATTCATGTTCTTTTTTTTTTTAATGATTTGTTTATATATAGAATTATTGTGAATTAGGATTCTTTTTGTATCATTAACGACTTATTTGGATCCGTGTTATTCCTGAAATGTTTTCGCGTTTTATAAGATTGTAGCGACTGACGATTAGTGATACTTCAGTTTCTTTTCAGGTGTTGATATGTACTTCCAACTTGAGTACCTGTTGAGTAATTGAGTTGAGAACTCTTCCGTTTCTGCATTACTGCACGCTTTGCGTTGCGAATCGGAAGGGTCGACGCTCGACTCGATTTTCTCCGACTCGTAACGTGCGGAAGTCAGAGCGGAAGTGGGACGAACAATTATAACAATTGTTTCACTGACGTGGACATGATTTCAATTTGTAATGCTGCTTACTTATGAAGTGCACTTACAACTTTCCTTAGCCATTTAAGTCGGGTTTTATGTTATCAGGAGAATTAATTGGATCACCGCGAATCACTCTGTGTAGTATGTACGGAAACGTGATATTAATTATCTTTTGGGGCAAATATACACATTGAACATTATTTCGGATAATATATTCAAAGATTCTAATTTGAACCCCGAATCTACAAAGTGTATATCTTTACGTACATTTAGTGCCTCAGTTTCTGACAATAGTGACTGGTTTTTACTTGAGCTTAAATTATTAAATAAACGAAATTCAGTTAGGCTGCAATTAAATATTTCTATGTAATGACTAGTTTTATACATTTGTACTTTCTTTGTAGATATGAGAATCTCAAAGAGTTTAAGTGATGGTTTATATTTTATACGAGTACCGTACTACTTGTGCTGTTCATTTCTTCTTGTAATTGAGTACGGTCTCTTAGTCTTGCACACATCAAACTGTACTCTAGTACTCCTATACGGACATTCATTTCAGATATTTCTCCTTTCATTCTTGTAATCGTTTTCTTGACATTTATAAGAGGAGCTGAAATAGTAAAATAAATGTAGAAACGACAATGGAATAATCGCATCACATCTTTGCTTTTGATAAAATTATCACAAGTTTTCTATCATGTATTTCTAATTGTTCAATAGATAAATTAGGGAATATCCTTATCACGATTTCAAGATAAGCAATCTAGAATTAGGGCTGATACCAAGAATATGTATCATATTGAAGATATTGGATTGTATTCTTTTTATCTTTATAGTGTTACTATGTGACATCCTTGAGGGAAACAAAACAACTCACTTCCATCCGTCATGCTGGAACCTCGCTCGTCCATTTCTCTTTTAGTTGTTTCTAATTCATCATTCAATTTGTTTAGGACTCTTGTCCGTTCCGTAACCCCTCCACTAACATCTCTGTACTGTTCTTTAACTTTCGATAATTCTTCCTAAAAGTAGAAATATGATTCTTTCTTCATCGATGTAGCTTTAAAATATTTACGTTTTGTAAAAAGTTCCTCAGCAGATATTAATAAGGTAAATAAAATTAAATAACAATAACCTGGAGGCTTCTGAAGTTGGTAAGAACAGGTTCCAGTTGTCTATTTAAATGCAATTCTCTATTCTTAATTTTTTCGAATGTATTGCTAATATCAGTGTGAAGTCTTTCTAATTGAGTTTTGGTCCCAGCAAGATGAGTTGCAATATTTGCATGATGTTGTTTCATTTGATTAAGATGAGCCCTCCAGTCGCGTGGATCTGATACCAAGAATGACATAAATTAAGATAACGAATGAATATTGATCATGTAATGAAGTTTATTATTGAAATCATCGTACCGGTTTTTACCGTGACTTTTAATCGTGGCAAGACTCTTTCCAATTCCAGCTTCCACTCCTCTGTATCTGTTTTGGATTCTAGAATATTATCTGGCTTGACCAAATCGACCTGAAAGAAAGTGATATTTTTCCAACAAACGTAAAATTAAAGTTAAACATCAAAATGTCTGAAATATATTCAGAATTTCATACTGCATTCTGCCGATAAAGCCTTGTGATATCATCAATGTGTAAAACGTCTTCTTCGTCCTCTTGTTCAGCAATGATCTCCTCTTCAACTCTTTCTAAAATCAATTCTGCATCGTCATCGTCAATCTCCGGTTCTGGAGTTGGTTCATCAGGAGGAATCTGTATCCTGAGATTAAAAGTTACATTTAAATACACTGATTACTACACAAACTTGATGAAAACACTAAAATAAATAAATAATTGTTAAAGCTACAGAATGTTATTTTCTTACTTCTTCCATTTAAATTTAACAGCTTTCAAAGCTTCATCCGCCAAATAGTCTAACACATAAATTGCATGTTCTCCAGCTCCCTGTTTTAGTTTATTAGGAGGAAATTCCACCGGTACAGATAATTCTCTCAAGTGATCCAAAATAAAAGCTATCGTTGAATTAGGATCGTCATACTCTTGAGGAGGATCAAAACTTTTTCCTGCCTTTCTGACAAGCCAGGCAGCCAAAGAGGTGAACACGTAAAACTGTTCCCCAGGATTTGTTGACGAAACAAAATAGTGCCTAATTAACACATCCCAAATACTGTTATTAAATAATACTGGAATAATTTCAATTTACACTAAATAAAATATAATCACCTATTGATTGGTTTCATCTTTAATTCTTGGACAAATTCGATATCATAGTTGAGTAATTTCAGTTTCTCTAGCAAGTCTTCCATACGAAGATTCACAACATGAGTAGCTGATGGAGCACTTCCATCCTCAATGGAAATTCTTGCCGTCTCTCGAAACATGGCTGTGCGTTTATCTAACTTTACGGACTAACTTACAAATAAAAATATTAAATCTCACGGAACAACATCATTTTCAAATAATGTAACCACGGTACGTATATTCCTATTTTGTATAAACAAGGAACACAATTCTCAATGTTTTGATCCTTGATGAATTGAGTTCCCTTAACCTTAAATTATAAGAGATTGTGTACATTCGAAACATTTAACGCGAACTTGTGTGCTGCACTCTTGCGGATGCTATAAAATTACATATACTTCTTGTGTCCCTACCACAGATGAGTTGGGAGATTGCTCACGGGTAGGATCGTGCGATCGCATCCTGTGCTGCCCGCTAGTTTCGTATGTTAGCTTTCACCGTTTTTTACCCCCAAGGGCGGCGCAACGAATTTCTGATAGGAGCTCGCGCACTCGCGATGGCGGTACCATCTACCAGTCGCCGTTGGCGGATCACGTACTCGTGATGGTAATACCATGCGGCAGTTGACGGTGGTGGCTTACCTACGCTTACCAGCACTGCTCGCTTTTGATGGTAAGGGAAGAACACTCGTGACGCTCCATTTGACTTTATCTACTTATCTACTACTATGTACTTAATAGTAATTAAGTACATTGTTGCCTCGAAGTCGACGTGATGCGGAACTTTGGGGCACGCGTCGGTGTCGCGTACGGAACTCTCGTGCAGCGAATCTGTGTGAGTCCGATAGCTCCTAGAAATCTTCGCTTGTCCCAACCAGGCAATCGCCAAGCTACGGGTCGAGACGTTGAGTATGTGTGCATTCGGTGCTACCCTGGACAAGTATGCGTGAGACTCGAAAACTGCGAAAAATCCTCCCGAGGCTTACCTAANGAGAAACGCTCGAAAACGTTCAAAAACGGTCGAAAAACGCTCGATAATGCGTGAAAACGCTCAAAACCGCTCTGAAAATGATCGAGAAACGCTCGAAAACGCTCGATAACGCTCGAAAACGTTCGAAGACGTTCACAAACGTTCTAGAAACGTCTAAAAACGCTCGATAATGCTAGTAGGTAAATGTAAAAAGCATGCGCGAAATGACTCGCCTTATATCCACACTTAGGTAAGCCTCGGGAGGATTTTTCGCAGTTTTCGAGTCTCACGCATACTTGTCCAGTGTAGCGCCGAATGCACACATACTCAACGTCTCGACCCGTAGCTTGGCGATTGGCTGGTTGGGACGCGCGAAGATTTCTAGGAGCTATCGCACTCACACAGATTCGCTGCACGAGAGTTCCGTACGCGACACCGATGCGTGCCTCAAAGCTCCGCATCACGTCGACTTCGAGGCAACAATGTACTTAATATTAGTAGGTAAGTAGATAAAGTCAAATGGAGCGTTACGAGTGTTCTTCCCTTACCATCAAAAGCGAGCAGTGCCGGTAAGCGTAGGTAAGCCACCACCGTCAACTGCTGCATGGTATTACCATCACGAATACGTCAGCCGCCAACGGCGACTGGTAGATGGTACCGCCATCGCGAGTACGCGAGCTCCTATCAGAAATTCGTTGAGCCGCCCTTGGGGACAAAAAACGGTGAAAGCTAACATACGAAACCAGCGGGCAGCACAGGATTCGATCGCACGATCCTGCCCGTGAGCAATTTCCCAACTCATCTCTGGTCACAACTATGTTGGAAAAGGATATAAAAAAAATCTTCTCTTTTCATTCTTCTTCAAATAGAATTTAAGCAGTTTCCCTTCTCAGACTTTTGTGTTCATTTCATAAATCAAAACGATTTTGTTTACAGGTAGCACGTGTTATTCAAGGAATAGGTTACATTGAACAAATGTTATAATGCCGGCTCAAATGAAGCATAATACTTTAATTTATGAAGGTTGCAATCATTTAAGATATCGCTTGCTACTTTCAACACTATCTGGCAAGTCTGTTAAAATCACTGACATCAGAAGTGACAATGATGATCCAGGACTTAGAGGTCAATAATCGAAAATTATTACTCTGATTACATATGTTCACATGTATAAACGTCCATTCTTTTTAGAATTTGAGATAAGCTTTGTTCGTTTACTGGATAAATTGACTAATGGCAGCAGAATTCACATTAACGCAACGGGTACTGATTTGCATTATATTCCTGGTCTACTCGTTGGAGACAGCGTGGAACATGAATGCAGTACGCAGCGTGGTATTAGTTACTATCTTGAAGCAGTCATGGCGTTGGCTCCGTTTTGTAAAAAGCCTGTTGAAATTACTCTTAAAGGAGTCACGAATAATACACTTGGTACGAACTGACAAACTAATTCATGTTTATTTCATTATTTAGATTAGACGGATAATTTCTCCATTTATGTATTATCTAGATCCATCAATAGACCGAGTGAAAGCATCTGGTATTCCCATACTGAAAAGATTTTTACTTGGCGATGATGATATACAATTGACAATCAAGAAGAGGGGAGCGCCTCCGTTAGGTGGCGGAGAAATTCATTTCAAATGTCCAGTTAACAAAGCTCTTAAAAGTGTTCAAGTTAGTTTTGAAAACATTACTGAATTCTGATTAATGTGTAATATGTTATATAACAGCGTTATTAAAAAAAATCATTAGTTTCTAGATAATGGAATGGTGTCACGTATCAGAGGTACAGCGTGCAGCATACGTGTATCCCCTGCAATTGCTAATAGAATGGTAGATTCAGCAAAAGGCATTGTTTTAAATTTTATACCAGATATTTATATTCATACCGATCAAAGTCGAGGAGCAGCAAGTGGAAAGTCTCCAGGTATGAAGGCAATTCTAATCTCTCCGTTACTGTTGAAATGTTATCTTCTAATCGTCTAATAATGCACTAGGTTTTGGAATAACATTAACAGCAGAAAGTACGACAGGAGTATTTCTAAGCGGTGAAGCATGTTCTCTATTAATGACCACAGGATCATTACCCTGTGTACCAGAAGACATTGGCAAGGAAGCCGCTATGAAGCTTCTTGATGAGATTTATCGGTACGCATGACATATTATTTGATCTTCAAGATTAATATTATTGATTTATATTTTTGCAGAGGTGGTTGTGTAGATTCTGTATTCCAAAGTATGACAGCATTATTTATGGCACTGGGAAAAAAGGATGTTTGTAAAATATGCGTTGGACCTTTATCGCAAACAATGTAAGTAAAATTATTAAAGCAATCGTAAGCAATGCCTGATCAAAGTTAATCCTCAAAATTTTGTTTCAAAGGATACAGTTTCTACGTGACTTGAAAGACTTCTTTGGAATCACATTTAAAATAGAAAATGTTAAAGAAGATGATGATTCTATCGTTGCTATCCAGGATCAAGTGATTTTAACCTGTGTAGGCATAGGTTACACGAATTTGAGTCGACGAACACTGTGATTATTGTATATTATGATGCAAGTATTATTTTTACTGTTAATAAAATATGATTTATCTTGTATAAAGGTATTTTTATTGCGATAACAAAAATAAATGCAAAATTATAATGTAAAGTCTAGTAAATCTAATGACTTAAATGGCCAAGTGGGAAATAAATTTGATCGCAATTCCTTCCACATATACTGGTATGAGTAATTCCATTGTTTGAAATGAAAATAAGTCAGTTTCTTTGGATGGGTTGGATATTTGCTAAAACTTGGATATTTTTCAGCAAGTTTGATAAACGTCTTCAGAAGTTCTTTTCTGGATACACATAATCCTCGACCACGTTTTTTCTTCGTCGTCCCATGTTTTCTGCCTTCTACAGCAACTTCTAATTGTCTATAAATCATTCATTTTTGTTTAATTTTACTATTTAAGAATGTATGAGCGCTTAAGTATAAGAATTTACTTAATAAATAGGAATTGTAGTTTTCATAGGCTTTCGATGCAAACAAAACTTACTGTTCTTTCGTCGCACACCATATAATACTTGTTGAACAAGGCTGCATCCTTCTAAGACCTTTTCTATGCTCAAAACTTAGAGTGGCTTGTGTTATTTTTGGACCTTTTGTATCTTCGCCAAATCGCTTGTGTATACCACGTTCCATAGCTTCCAATGAAAATGGACATCCTCCACCAATTGTAACAGTTTCAAAATATATCGATGGTATAAAATTTGACAACAATGATCCTTGTACTCCGATTACATTCCACCTGTGATAAACTTATTTATTAATGTAATTTCTATTGGATGCTAATATACTTTCAATATATGTAGCTACTTTGCTTGTTTATACTAACTTTGCCATTTTGTCCGAGCATGATAAACTTAAAGTTGGATTTCCCCTTCCAGGTTTGGTCCGCAATGGTCCAACGACATGATAATTTATGCCAGGTCGATAAAGATCTTGTTTTTCCTTTGTTGCTATACATTTTGCTCCTGTTCTGTGTAAGTCATGGAATATGACCGATTCAACAGGGACTGTTTTATCACGATCCATAGAGTTAATCTCATTTGTAGAAATATCTGTTTTCCTCCTTTTTGTCAATGGATTATTTGTTACATTTTCGTATTTAGGCAATATAGAACAATCACCGCAAGGAGTATGACTGGAGAAAAAGTGAAATGACACATGAGGCTTGACTTTGATCTTTCTATTTGCATTTAATAAAAAGATATTACTTTGTTGACAAGATATTAACATTTCTAATTGATCATACAGATAACGCAGGAAAGCACGTCTGGCTAGAACTTCTGCGTGAGAATCACTTAATCTAGTACCCTTCTCCCATATTTCTGTATTTTTCAACTCCAAATGACCAAGGCACTTCGTACCAGTAGATAATGATACTACATCAGCGGTTCCTTCTCCATTTCTTACAAGAACAGCGGATAATACTGTCCATTCATTATCACAAGGTTTTCCAGTTTTCTTAAGGCTAGAGTATTTCTCAAAACACAATTTCGCTATTTCGTTTGGTTCAAACATTCTCCGAATGTATGCACCAAATATTTATATTAAACATTTAAAATTATTTAGATGCAATTGTTTTAATCACAGGCAATCATTCGAGAGGTTTCATTCAAAAAACATTTTCTGGATTCCATGTATATTTCTCTTGAGGTAAATTTGATAAAATATTCATGTGCCCGTCACTGATCATGAAATCCAGCTGAATATTTTCTATAATATGTTCTTTTTTTGTTGCCTTAGGTATTACCCCTATAACATAAAATTTCCACATTCATATGCTTTATTTTAAATAAAGTCACTTCTGATTGTCATAACGTACCGATTCCTTGTTGTAAAGCCCATTTCAACAAAAGTTGTGCACTAGTAACTCCAATTTCAGAAGCAATTATATTAACTATTGGATCGTTTAATAAACCAATGCCGCCAGTAGTTCCTAACGAGGAATATGCTTGGACATGTATATTTGCCTTATTACAGAATTCTCTTAATTCTTGTTGGCGATAATGCGGATGACATTCAACCTATAATTTGAAAAATTTAGAAGTTGCTATAGACACATATTATGTAACATTTTCAAATATAATAAATTAAAAAAGAAATTAAGAAATCTATAGTTTATTTAACTGTTTTATTAGACTTTTTAATGAGTTTAAATCTCAATATAATCTTACTTGATTGACAGCAGGCACTACAGACCCTGGATTTTTCATCAATTCTGAAAGATGATTAATCGTATAATTTGAGACTCCAATGGATTTAATAATGCCTCGATCTTGGAGTTGCATCAACACATCCCAAGTCAATTTTCTAAATTCTGTATTCTGAGTTGAACCTTCCGGTATACCAGCTGCACCTGGCCAATGAATCAAATACAAATCTAGATACGATGTACCAAGTGATCTGAGAGTTGTTTGAATAGCCTGATTTATCCTTTTAGGATAACCATTATTACTGGGAGCTATAAAAGTAAGACGTGGAAATATTAAAACTAAGATATCATTGGAATCGTTTCGTAATTGTTTTAAGTACATACAAAGTTTACTAGTAATAAAAATATCTCCTCTAGTTAGACCATACTTTGGTAGAAGGTCCCTTAATGCAATTCCAATGAATGCTTCATTTCCATATACTTCTGCTGTATCTATGGACACAAAATTTAAAATAAATTATACACAAATATTTTAAGCAGCAATAATTAATAACTTATTTTGTAACCCACCGATTAATCGGAACCCAACTCTGAAGCTTTCATCGAGGACTTGATATATCGTATCCCTGTCTCGTATTTTAAATGTCCCAACTAAAATAATTAAACGATTGTTAACAATGTTTGTTAATGCAAATAAATTGTATATAACAATATATATTGTTGTCATACTTCCAATGAGAGGCATAGAATAACCACTTGTTAGATGAACAGAACTATTTGCAGTACTCATTTTTAATCTAAAACTTGCTCTCCGTGAACTCTTTAAATAGTCTTTAAATCGATTGAGTATTTAACGCTATGTAAGAGGAAAATAAATAAAAATAAATGGAATGTTCCTTTTTCGTATAAAATAGTTTGATCACGTGTTTACTTCATTACAATTTTAAGGCGCCTTAAGTCAGTTTTCATTTATTTCATATCTTTTCATCTATATATTAATTTACGTCACTGTTTTAAAGAATTCACACGAATTCTATAAATTCCCCTACGTGTTACTTGATCCAGTTCACGATTACCAAATAATCATCCAGTGAGCAAACAGATGTTATCCAGTGTTTATCTGTTCACAGCCTGCACAGGGTTGAATAAGTATAATACGTCGTGTAATATAAGTAGTTTTCTACGTGTATGTTATGACTATTATGTTTCTAGTTTTTTACGCGAGTGTAAAGTATATTACGCCTCTCATTGGCTATTGATGATATTGCGCATGCGCTTTGCACATTTAGTTTGGGGTAATATACTTCATGCCTGCGTAGAAAACTAGGGACATATTATACGTTGTAATATACATGTAGAAAACCACGTATATTACTTCAGGTATTATACTTACCAGAGATGAGCAGGCTCATCTGCCTCATCACCTGCTCATCTCTGTACTTACCCAACCTTGCTGGCTCTACGTGGAGAATGCGGGCGGGTTACGCACTTGCTGTGTGATACCTCCCAGTGGCGGCTCAACTCAGGGATCCTCTTCATCTTTGCTCTCAACTCATCTCTGTGATAACATCCTTTACATTTCTACCAAATCCAGCAAGCTCTGCGGCGATCAAGTACCCATGATGACTTGAAACAAAAAAAAATGAATACTGTTAAGTGATTTACTTAAACCTAGAAAGGGGCACAAAATAACCGACAAAAAGAGTCATTGAAAAAATACCAGGAAGTCGCTAGATTCTTTGAATTGGTCCACCTAAAGCTAAAAGGGAACACAAAAGCACAATCGAAACCACTGGGAAAGCCAGAAAGAGATGTTGATAAAAGAGCTGATAACTTACTGAAATTACTAAAAGCCAAGAATATCTCGCAGTACATCAATCTCGTAGAATTTACCCAGTAAAAATATATTCAATTATGTATATATTACTTGGCGTGACATTAGCGATTTTATTATAGGACGATTTTATGGACTTCATTTTTTATCCCTGTAATTGATTTTATGAGAGCCCTGATTTGGCAACATCTAGCGGAAAAGTGGCGACTTCTAGGAAAATCTGGGCACTCTTACTTTTAGCTGTAGAGGGTCGAATACCATTTAAAGGTAAGATAGTGAGGTTAGTCATCGACCGATCACAACTTTTCGCCATGTCTGCAGTAGAGGGCGCAACCATCAACGAATCGTGCACCGTTGAGGAGGTTACGAGAGGAGTGCGGGAGGAGCGGCTCGACTGCCGAGGACGGGTTGCATCTGGCTTGGTACCGTCTGCTGCGCTCCGCTCAGCTCTGCACGGCAAAGCTGTCGGATCTGGTGACGAGGTGGACCCTGCTTCTCCCGGCCGTTGGCTCGCATCGAAGGACCAGCTCGACTAGCCGGTATGTGTCGTCGGCGTCTACCGCGAGCATTCCGCACCGCTCGTCGGCTCGCGTCAGTCCATTGACGGCCCGGCGGCATCTTCGAGGAGAAGACGTTACGGGACGTCGGAGACGTCGAGAGCCGACATCTCGCAGGGGAGTCCTAGCGATCAGGTAAATCCTGCCCAGTCTTGTCAACGTCGTCGTCGAGGGAGTCGACCCTCCATTCGACATCCGCTCATGACAGGAGGGCCAGCGTCGTCTTAAGGAGCTTGGCGGCGGCTCGTAGCGCTGCGCAGCGCTTCGACTAGGTCATCCGGAGAGCACGATTCTTCTCTCCTGGACCTCTGGTTGGCTCGCCCACCGGCTCGTCGTAGCTGCCACCGAAGGAAGGCTTTTCTTCGATACTTCCTCCTGGTCTGGCACCTCCGAGGAACCAGAGATGGCGAGTGCAAAGGCCAATGCCGTGCAGACCAAGCCCGTCGAGGTGTCCAAGCAGCTGCAGGAAGGACAGAAGTTCGTCAAGTGGGATGAGGTGAGGCCTACGTCTTGAATTATTTTCGCGTCGTTTCCGTCGTTGGTTTACTTAACGATTTACTCAGGGATTTGTTGAGCAATCGTAAAGAAGTATCTCTCGTCTGTTTATACGCTCGAGGTCTTGTATGTAATTATTAACGTTAGCACGAGTGGTTTTAACTCTGCACTGGGTAAATGTTAGTTACTTCGGTTTATTGTTGTTTGAATGGCCTGCATATTGTACATTACATGAACCGGCAGTGTTATTCGAGCCTTAGACTCTGCCACTACATGCATTAACAGGGTTACTTTGTGTGGTATCTTTTCAACGTTTGGAACTCGTTACTCCATGGAAGTTTGTCTCTTTCTGAGATAAGGCTGGCAGTGATGACTCGTAGTTCGTAATTATCTTTATGGGCTACATGTTTTCAGTGGAGTTACAATGATTCAAATCAGCGGAACGGAACGTAACAAGCGCTGATGCATCTATCATTCTGGCATGTATTATATTACACGTCTGTTTGAATAGTGAAAGACTTCGCGTTGCCATTGAAGAGATCGTAGAAAATAAATGATTATTTAGATTTACATTGTACCACAAAGGTCTCAATTATGTTTTTATTGTCAGGTTTTTGGTACACCGATGTTTAACATTATTGCTTCCACAGTAGATTCTGAATTCGATATAAAATTGTATAATATTTTGATGCTATTAAAATTGATAAATGAAAATTGTAATCTTTTCAGGATTCCGGAGTGGCAACACCGGTAACTCTGCGGGTGGACAAGTTCGGCTTCTATCTACACTGGGTGGATCAAAACAACGAAATGGACATGCTCGACATAGCCGTAATTCGCGACGCTCGAACCGGAAAATACGCCAAAGTACCCAAGGTATTGTTTTCCTTACATTCATTTTCAAAGTTCGCGTCCAATGGAAGTTTGTTCCTTCCCTAACAATTCTTTCAACATTCGTGTGACCGAGGTTTGTAGCTTTGTCCTTTTTATGAATGCTTTTTCGTAATCCGTTCTCTTGATTATTCGATCAATAATCTATGTATTACGGTACCTTACATTACATACGTCGAATATGAATTAAAAAATCTCGCATGTGAATCCCGCAAATAGAGGAACCAAATGGCAAATCTACAGGTTTTCCCATTTAATTCTAAATTCTAAACTTCGGTCATACCGTTTCACCCGCGAATGGAGATTCACTTCTCATGGTATTGTGTATTATCTTTTTTTGGAAAAGGGTCTTTTTGAGTGCGACATGCGCGAGTGTCTAGCTCGAGACATTACAGGATGGTAAGACTACCATTATTAACCGGCAAAGGGTATATTTGCTGAATTGATGCGATCTTGGGCATTGTCCGAAGGTATCTGGGATCTCTATAATTATAGCATGCCTTTGCGTAGATGCTAATGACGCACAGAAGCACCACCACATAATAATTATTGACAAAATTATAAATAGAATATTACCCACTTTGAGCCCTATACATAGACATCTTTTTTCCGCAGTCTCGCCCGGAGAAGTACGCTCATGGCGGGGAATAACGAGGGTGAACATGGGAGGAGAAGCGTTTACCAACAGATAAAAAATTCTTTCCCATAAATCAATAGACCGCCGAGAGCTCTCTTAGTGATCCACGGCATTACCTCCCTGGGATCTGTAATTACAATGTCGTATGAATGACGCGCAGGCACAATGTACTCCCATTTTCCACTCCCATGATAGTCGCTAGAAGTTAGGACCGGAATGTCTATTCAAAGTGTCCGAGTAGTTCGCTCGATGTCCGTTTTTCCCGACGCGGGATAGGAACTTCGACGTTGTATAATGTACTTTGCCTTTCAATGTTCCCCATTGTTCGTTGTATTTATTATTACTTCTAAAGAGTACGCCGGGTTTAGCGTATTTTATTTTTCTCCGCTGGGTCAGAGGAATAATTTATGTTAAATTTGTATTAAGGTGACAGGAAAGTGGCGTCTAAGAGGTCTCGTCGGTGAAGCTTTTCTCTGAACTGGGTGCACCGAATCGTTTCAAACTTGACAATGTTAATATGGAGACTATAAGGAAGGTTTTGACACCCATGAAATTTCAATTTTTTTTTTAAATTTGCAGATATTTTTAAAAGTTTTTATAGAAAATAAAATCTTATGGGTGTTAGGACCTCATAGCCTCCATGTTCACGTTGTGATGTTTGAAACGATTCGGTACACCTAGTTCGTAGAAAAGCTTCATGAACGATTGATATTTCGGATGAGACTTTCACATCCGCTTAAAATGGTTTATATCAATTGTTTGTACAGCCTTTATGCTGGGTCATGTTTTACGGGGACGAGATCAGAGGGATTATCTTAAATTATTGTAGTAAAACACGCAGACAAACAAATCGGATTTATTATGGATAATTCGTTAGAAGAGAGAAATCCTTTTATGAAATGTTCTTTCTCGGCCAGCTCCACTGTATGCTGAATTTTTTCATCGATCGCCATGGCGACGGCTCTGACATTTACCAGCCAGAGCAGCCATAATGCTATTTTGTTATCAACGTAACGCGATTATGTTTAATTGATTTAACCCCATACTATATTGTGCAATATATCCGATCGCTAATCCCGTGCACTGACCTCGAAGAATAGTGAGAATCTAGTTTCGTCGGTTAACTTTTTATAGCAAAAAGTTAGTTGTTAATTCCCTTGAAGACCATACCGTTAAAAGTGGACCGGTAAATTAAAATAATAATTCAAATGATCCGAGTCTGAATGATACAAATATAAATTGTTGGTCATCGATCGCGGAAGATTCTCTGGACTCGCTATATACGTTCTTGTTTTGCATCATTGAATTATTAACGCGATATGGAAGGGTCATTCTATATATAACGTAAAAATATTTATAAAACTTCTCTCCAAACTGGGTGTCCCGAATCATTTGAAACTTCACCACGTGATGATGAAAGCTGTAAGGAAGAACGTGGTGCTCGTGAAATTTCATTAAAAAAAAAAGTAATTTGTAATCTTGGGTCAAATCTGGGATAAATAAAAAAATTTGTATTAAAAAGGAAATTTCAGGAGCACCTTGTTCTTCTTTAGAGCCTCCATGATCACATGCTGAAGTTTTCAACGATTGGGTGTATTCAATTTGGAGAAAAGTTTTATAAATATTTTGACGTTTTATACATATATATAGAATGACCCTTTCATATCACCTTTTTTCTAGATGTTGGAATTTCATGGACTTTTGACGTAAAAAGGGGATAATAAAAAATTAGATTGAACAGTCTTGGAATATCGTCGAGTCTTATAAATGGGGTCGGGTACTCTGTACAAGTCTGTAATAGTCCCTGCATCGTGACAATAGAACGCGTCGTGTATATATACATGAATGAGAATCTGTAAATATGAAGAGGAAGTATCTCTAGGCCCTCTCTAGACCGAGGGATCGTTGTTGGACTTGTGAATATAAATTAATTGAAACTCGGCAGGACCCCAAGCTGAGATCATGCGTCACGATGGGATCCCAAGAAGAATCCCTGGAAGAGAAAACGGTGACGATCTGCTATGGGTCCGACTTCGTCAACATGACGTTCATCAACTTCTGCACGAGCAGGGCCGAGATCGCGAGACATTGGACGGATCAGCTTCTTCAACTGGCGTACAACCTGACGCAACTAAACACCAGCACGATTATGTTCTTACAAAAGGCCCACACCAAACTCACGCTCACGGCTGACAAGTCTGGGAAAATAGCCGTCAAGAAGTGAGTAAAGTCGGCTCGTTCGAGAGACGCTGATGAGACACGTGACAAGGGAGCAGCTTTGGCCTTTATTAGTCGGGCACCTGTCTATTCATCTCGGGTTCTCTTGTGCTCGTCATTTAGTCTTACCTATGTAAAGACATCCTCGTTGGCAACGGAAATTGCCGAAGAATTATCTAAATGATGAATGGCTAAAAGAAATCCCTCGCAGCCTCTGCAATTATTTTCTCATCGTCTTTTCCGTCTTCTTGAAAATGGAGAACACTTTTATTTCATTATACTTTAATCCTCATCTCGCGATACCTCGAGTTTTGCGCACAAATGTATTTCGCTCGGAACCCTATCCGAGTTCTTTTCATTTGTATGGATATTTAATGCAAACAAAGGAAGAGCTTTCGCTTTCGTTACTTGGGCACGTGTCTATTTATCTCTCGTTATCTTTTGCTCGTAATTTTAGTCTCACCTATATAAAAATATTCTCGTTGGGAATGATCATTGCCGAAGAATGATCTAGCGCGACAAGGAAGGTAATGACTAAAAGAAATCGCTTGCAACCTCTGCAATTATTCTCTCAAGTTTTTTCAGACTTCTGCAAAATGGAGATTATTTTGTTTTAATTATACCTTAACTTTCGCGAATAATGATACATTGCAAATACTGCCTGCGGAATTAGCCTCGCATGTTTTCCTAACACAACATCATTTTGTTGATGTTCGGCGAATTAATTAACGAAAATCTGCCTGGGAATAACAGCTCGTCTTAATGGCCTACTGTGATTTTTCCGAAATAATCACTATGTAATAAATACTACTCCGATGCCATTCTAGTTATTATAAAGTTCGTTGCAATGCTGATCAGAGATGGATAGGAAGATCGTTAATTGATTTTGTAAGATTGGAGAAAAATTTATTACATCCAAGTTTAATCCGCGCTTTGTTTTTAATTCTTCCGGTTTTGTGCATTCTTTAATTATTTCCCGCTTAGTTTCATAAACTCAATTGAAATTACGTTCATCAAAGATTTATTGCCGGTAAAAATCATTATCTCACATGAAAAAAAGAAAAAAAAAAAGATTAATTAAAGCGAGTGCGGCATTGGGCATTCTTATTGTTTTTTCCTTTTTCTCTGTTCATCTCCGTGTACATAATTTACGTGAAGTTAAAAATTCTTTTGCCATTTTTTGAACACTTTTACAACTTCATAGTCATTTGTTATTTAATGTTACTTCGATTAATCGATTTAAGTTGTTTGAAAATGATTTAATGTAAAGCTTATTAATATTAGTTGCGTCAAAGTTCCGCTACTCCAGAAAAGTACGGTATACAGTCCTTGATTAACTTTGTATCAAGATTTTTGTTTACAGCGTTAGCTAGGGGGAGGACGTTATTAAGTAAACGTTGTTTCTTTTTGCAGTATAATAAAGATGTTCGCGCAAAATAAGGAAGATCGCAAGCGCGTTGAGAAAGCACTCGATATTTCAAGCCTACCGTCTGGTAAGGTGAGTTTCGTCGTTTCGTTCCTCCAAGAAGTCGTTTGCAGGAACCACCGTCGTTGGTTTCCTAGCATAATGTGAGAATTCTATGTTGCCCTAACTTTTGACTTGGCAGCGGACCAAGAGTTAAATCTCGAGTCGGAGTAGTAAAGCTTTTTTCCGCCGTTATTGTTTGAACGAGGCCTTGGCAGAATACTAAATTCGTCGCGGCACTTAATGTATTTTCTAAAGCATTCCCTAATGGCTTTGTAAATAGTTATCCGATACTCTCTACGAATGAAACTTTTGGCGAGCTTCGTAACATCGCTTGCATCCTGTTCTATTAATTACATTACACATTTCTATTAGCTGCGGTTGGAGACGTTGTACCTCACAAAGGCTTTAATACCCTCTTGATTCCATTGCTCAATTACTCTGTTCATTTCACGTATGCACACCGCAATTGGGATTACTGCCTCGTATAAAGGCCGTATCGATTTTCCTTTGTTATTTTCCTCTTCCTTATTTGTTGATTTTTTTTTGTTTTTTTTTTCTCTCGTGGGGGCTTTTGTAACTAAACGAGGTTTTTATGAGGGTCCTCGTACTCTTTCCGTTACGTGTAATTTCCTTCGTTGAGTCCTCTAAGCGCACGTGAAATAATTTCGGCTTGCACGATAAAGAGTACTCGTTGTCTGGCAGAACAGATATTACAGTGAGATTCAACGGAAAGAGGTTGGATTAAACATTTCAATCGCGTACGAGGAACGGTTACTATTATAAGCCAGTTTAGGTAGAGAGGAATGGTTTTCTTAAAATAGTTACGCTCTGGGAAATTCTGCAGCTCATAAAACGTGTGCACGAAGAAAGCTTTTTACACCCTCGGGAGGTTACGCAGCGGTTTCGGCGGAATCGTCTACAGGAGTTTGTTCTGCTTTCAGAGTGATAGCGTTGCCTTGCAGAAGTTCGAGTTCGAGGATTTTTTCAACTTCTACAAATCCTTGACCCAGCGATCGGAGGTCGAGAAGGTGTTCGAAGAGATCGTCGGCAATACCAAGCGAAGGCTGATGTCCGTGAACCAACTGGTCGAGTTTCTGAACATGACCCAGAGGGATCCTCGGCTCAATGAAATATTGTATCCATACGCGAACGCAGTCAGAGCAAAGGACCTCATTAACCAGTACGAACCTAACAAGTACAATGTCAGCAAAGGCCAGTTGAGCTTCGACGGATTTTTGAGGTATCTGATGAGCGAAGACAATCCAATCGTGGCCGTCTCGAAATTCGAATTGTCCGACGATATGGATCAGCCTCTTGCCCATTATTTCATCAATTCTAGTCATAACACGTATTTAACAGGTAATCAACTAATTTTAAGGGAAAAAGCGAGGGGCTATTCACTCGGAAGTCAGGGAAAACGATTTCCTTCGAGCCGATTGTTTTTGATTTCATATGCTAAACAACAATGCGATTCGGTAACAAGCGGCGTTCGGCCTTAAAATTGTGATAGTGATTCTCAACGATTTCCAGCTGAATTTCATATAATTTCAAGCGTTAAAATCCATGATTCCCTGAGTGAATACCCTGATTCGGAAGAAAGTCTGGAATTTAAAGACGGAATGTCCGGTCATTCTATTTAGATCGAGGCATTCTAGATCATGCATGTGAATTTACGACGATAAATGTGCATGGTTCATTTTTTAGGACACCAACTAACCGGCAAGAGCTCCGTAGAGATTTATCGTCAGTGTTTACTCGCCGGTTGCCGATGCGTCGAGCTGGATTTTTGGAACGGGAAATTCGACGAGCCCGTTATAGTACACGGGTAATGATAATTGGCAATAACCAAGTGTCTCTCGATGGCTCCATAAGGAACGATGAGTACTTTTGTTTCCGGCTAAAATTCCGCGCAAGGATCTCGTTTGCCTGGAATCGCTGTGAACTTTAATGTCTAGCTCGATAGTTGATCGTCGGGTGGTGACGTAGTATATGTTAAAGCACTAGCTTAAATTCGCTCACCCGCAATTTGTAATCCCGTTAGTACGCTCATTCCGCGTTTAATGCGACACTATTAGCGATAGCAATTACATTATGCCCCGCTGATGAGAGTGTCTCTCGATCACGTTAATTCCTTATACAAGTTTAGCTTAGGAATCGGCCGATAGAAGGTAAGTTTATCGTTTCATGGAGCCATCGGTTAATTTGTACGATTAGTGTAATGCTAAGTACCGTTAGAGCGTAAAGTATTCCGCTAGATTAGACTAATCATTCTGTACTGTAATCCGCTAGATATACGTTTGTGCCTGAAATCTGTGCTCGAGATGTGATAGAGGCGATAGCTGAGAGTGCCTTCAAAACCTCGGAATTCCCAGTGATCCTCAGTTTCGAAAACCACTGCAACCCAAGGCAGCAAGCTAAGATCGCTCAGTATTGTAGAGAGTATTTCGGTGAGATGCTATTAGACGCCCCCCTCGAGTCTCACAAGGTAATGGGCTTCGGTAAGACCGGGATCGGTTTACGAATCTCGGCCCTTTCGTCTATCTTTCGACCAGTAGACAATTACTTTCATTGCTCAGCTGGAGCCGGGCCAAGAGCTACCGCCGCCCTCGTTCCTGAAACGCAAGATCATTATCAAGAACAAGAAGAAACACCATCACCATCATAATAAGAAACACCACAAGAAGCAGCAGGCATCTATTCAGGACGCTGGAGACGGTGCCCAGGTGACGGAAGACAATGGCGTGGTCAATCAAGGAGCCGAGGGTGAGGATAGAGATGTAAAAATACCTTAATTGTGTTCGTACTTACAAAATCTGCATAATTTCCACGGTGAATATTGTATTTGCAATTCTTTTTCTTGATATGGCAGCATTTATACATGGAAATGATGTTTCAGTGTAGAACGTTATTGGCGATTATTGATCATTATCATGTCCGTATGAACAGTAACAAGTTGAAGACTAAGATATCGATTCATAGCAGAACATTATTCATAAAATACGTAGTTACGTCATGGTAATGTAAGGTATTGATTGTTGCGAATCTAGTCGCTTTGCATCCCTAGGTGAGAATGGACCACCACCAGATATCATTCCACAAAATGAAGTCGATGGACACGGTACCGATAACATCGAAGAGACGCAAATCGGAAACGACGAGGTTTCGCATGCTCCTATGCTTCAACAACGACAGGGTAGCAGAGATAGTACTCAGGAAGACGAAGGTTGGTACTGTGATATATAGGATGAGTTTATAGATGCTATTCTAGTTACCTATTGTTTTCTGTATGTGATATCTCTCCGGTGTTCAAGTCCTTCATGTTAAGTCAATAATCATGCTTCCATAGATGACGACAATGAGTCCAGTACAGAGGAGGATGAATCGAACGTGGAAGACATGAAACTACGAATGGGTGATAAAGTGCCGGCACCTGATAAGGCAGCTTCCACCGCTAAAGAAACCGAAGCGGGAGCTGAAATTTCAGCTCTCGTAAATTACGTACAACCAGTGCACTTTAATAGCTTCGAGTCCGCTGAAAGTAAGTAACGTTATGACATGAAAGTTTCCCAACACTGGAGAAGTTCAATACTTCGGACAGTCGGGGGAAAACTTGGCATCTAATGCTCGTTTTTCGTTTCCCCGAAGCTTCCGTTATTTACATAGTTGCCCGACATTTTCGATTTACGTCAATTAACTGACCCGTGTTATCACGCTGATTGCTCAATTTCGTTCCCCAGAGAAAAATCGTATGTACGAAATGTCTTCGTTCGATGAGAAACAGGCGACGACGTTGTTGAAGGAGCGACCGCTGGAGTTCGTTAACTACAACAAGCATCAGTTGTCAAGAGTGTATCCTGCGGGCACGCGATTTGATTCGAGCAATTTCATGCCTCAGGTATTTTGGAATGCTGGCTGCCAACTCGTCGCCTTGAATTATCAGACCCTTGGTAAGATTTTTTATTCCGTTTTCGGTATGGCTTTCACTACTCAAAAACACATCATTCGCTTCTTCTATATGAATAAGTCGTAGTTAATTAATTAAAATATCGTTATTAACGATTTTCCAATAATAATTGCAGATCTAGCGATGCAATTAAACGTGGGCATCTTCGAATACAACAAGCGCTGCGGTTACATATTAAAGCCGGAATTCATGAGGCGCAAAGATCGCCGTCTGGATCCGTTCGCGGAATCCACCGTTGATGGCATCATTGCCGGAACAGTTCATATTCACGTTATATCTGCTCAATTCCTGACGGATAAACGTGTGGGCACTTACGTCGAAGTGGATATGTACGGATTGCCAGCCGACACAGTGAGGAAGAAGTTTCGGACAAAGATCGTGCCGAACAATGGAATTAACCCTGTCTACGACGAGGATCCGTTCGTCTTCAAGAAGGTAACGAGAGCTCTTGTTTTCCATTTTATCCATCGGCGTTATAGACCTTTGAGATACCAATAGGAACTAATTGGACTCTTCAAATCTATTCCGCTTGAAATCGAATTGGAGTTTTGTCAACTTCTGAATATCCAACGGGCGTTTAACTTCATCTTAAATTTATCGATGCTGCATCGAGTCTTGAATTTGCGTAGGTCGTGCTACCAGAATTAGCATCTATTCGCATAGCTGCATACGAGGAATCTGGACGTTTGATCGGTCATCGAGTCTTGCCAGTAGTTGGTCTGTGTCCTGGATATAGGCACGTAGCTCTGAGAACTGAATGCGGCCAGCCTCTGCCATTGGCAAGTCTTTTCTTACACGTCATCGTCAAGGACTACGTGCCCGATGGCCTTAGCGAGCTCGCCGAGGCATTGGCAAATCCTATTAAATACCAAAGCGAATTGGAAAGGAGGGCCGAACAATTGGCAGTTTTGACTGACGATTTGGACGAGCCAAGCGAAGGCGAGAACGATGTGAGTATGCAGGATGGTTCAGAATTCCCGAGTTCCCTTTTGCCAGCGTATAATGCCTGCGAGGATTCATTGCGGTGCGATGCGCTGATGAACGGGAAATTCGGAATTTTTTATCTGCCTGTTGAATTTTGTCCGTGTCTTTTAACGTGCGACCTTAATCCCATCCCTTACGCTGTTGGTGTTCTCCTATTAACATTCTAAAGTCTCTACTAACACATTTTAGGATAAGGACAAGGATAAAGATAAAGAGAAAGATAAGGATAAGGATAAGGATAAGGATAAGGATAAGGATAAGGATAAAGATAAGGATAAGGATAAGGATAAAGATAAGGATAAGGATAAAGATAAAGATAAGGATAGAGACAAGGAAAAGGTTAGCGTTGGACCGAGCTCCTTCAAGCCCATTGTAAGTTGCTCCGTGACGTCAGTTGTACCTTCGTGTGCATGCTTGAGATCGAGTTTAAGAGAGGATATTTTTGCTGCAGGATGAGACCGTTAAAACCAAACGAATGCAATCATCCGGAGAATTACCAGGATTGATACCTACTGTGGGAAGTCCTCATGGAAGACCATCCGTGGCTGAAATTAATATCTCCGAGACCCCGGAAGGAGAAGATGGAATAACTGGCTCCTCGGTTCAGCTATTAGACAGCTCTGCGAACAAGAGCCCGGTGAATGTGAACTACAGTGAGTACGGTTCAGTTTGAAATGAGAATTTCCTGCTGTTTTGTCATACGATTTTATAACAACGTAAATACCAAATCGTTTCAGTGAACAACGACATAGTGGCCGAGTCGTTCGAAAAACTCATGGAAACCAAATTAGTCAGAGAGAAGAAGATGGAGCTGGAGAAGAAGTTGGAGTCTCTTAGAAAGAAGCAGGAGAAGGTGTTTAACATATGCTTTTAGTTCGATTAAGGGGATGTGAAAGTGGCATCCGAAAGGTCAGTCGTTCGTGAAACTTTTCTACGACAGAGGGCGTACCGACTAGTTTCAAACATTATAACGTGAACATGGAGGCTATAAGGAAGGTCCTAACACTCGTGAAATTTCATTTTATATGACATTTGAAAATATCTATAAACATATTAAAAAGAAAATTGAAATTTTATGGGTGTTAGGACCTTCCTTGTATCCTTCATATTCACATTGTCAAGTTTTAAACGATTTGGTACGCCCAGTTTGAAGAAATGGTTCAAAAACGAGACATCTTTGACGGCACTTTCATATCACCTTAAGACTGTATGAGTTGTTAATCCTAAATATAGTTCCAACAATTCTTAATGCAATTACCGTTTCTGTCGTCAGGAAAAGATCCGAGTGCAGTCCCAGAAGGGTTCCCTCGACGGGGAGAAGCACAAGACCAAGTTCTACATGGGCAATAAGCTGGTGAAAAGGCTATCTAACAAAAACATGTAAGTGATGACTTGCCGGTGAGAGAACGCTCGAGTACACCGAATCGATCTGACAGTTTTTCGCGCAGTTTCTCGAGCGAGGCCGGCCTAAGTAGTATCGCTCTGGTGGAGACGACAGAGTGCACGGAGACGGAGAATCGCGAGGGCGCCGAAGGAGCCCCCAAGGGTCTACCTAGGAGTCAGAGCGAGAGGTTGCTGGCGGTCTGCAAGGAGCACGTCCTGCAGGAACGCGAGCTCCTGGAGAAGTACCACGAGAGTGTCTTCACGACCGTCGAGAAGGTGATGAAGGCGTCTCAGTCGAATCAGCTGAAGACCCTGAGGGTCCTCCTGGAGAGAGAAACGGCAGACGTCATGCGCAAACTACAGGCAGTCAGGCACGGAGAGGTGCGTCGCTACTTGAAGAGTTTCTTTCATCGGTAGTTTTTGTTATTTAACCTTTTTCACGTCAGCCAACTAGAACTCTCGGAACTGAGCGGTGAACGAATGCTCGAGGGTACTTTGAGTACAGTATCAAGAGTACTTAGGAGAAGGACCTGTATTTTATAGCGTTTATAATATTTACACAATGGCTTTGTTCCTAGGCATTGTTGAATATGCTGCATATCAGAGTGCTTGACAAGACACATGCTTGACGCTATCAATCGCGATTGCAAGAAGTATATTTAGACGCCGAGCATGTTGAGCTTTGTCGAGAACGTCTGATGATACTGAGCGTGCTCGATACTGGATTTAATGAAGGAGGAAATTATCGGGTAAATTATTTTGTAATCTTCAGGTAAAACAATTAGCCAAAGTGCACAAGGACAAGGCGGAGCTAGACCGGATGAAACGCGAAGTGGCCAAATCGACCGTCGAGAAAGGCGTTAACGAATGCACGAGACTGACTAAGATTTACGAGAAGAAGCGAGCGGAGCTGGAGAGGCAACACGAGGAGGTCAGGCACAGGCTAGAGGAGGAAAGGACCAAGGTTTGTGTTCTTAAACATATCTCAGTATGTTCTAATTTTGTTTGAACGTTTCGTTGGATTCCCAAAACATGAGAATATCTCTTTAAGAATTGTAGCCGTTTTTAATAGCGATCGTTACCGAACAGGTGAAGCTGTCACTGCAAGCGGAGTACAGCAGCCGGTACAGCAAGTTCGAGAGCGGGGAATTCCCTCTGTCCCCGTCAGGGGGAACCAGCATTCCCGAGTCACTGAGCGGCAACACTTACTAACATCGCAGGAGGTCCTTCTTCCCGTGGTCGTTGTCATTTGCGTTCGGCAGTGATCGCAGAGCGCCCAAGCCCATCTTCGACGATCCGCCACCGCATCCGATCGAGTGAAGACTCGCTCGTTCCACGTCGATTCTACGTCCACCCGATTAACGTGGGCGTGCGAGATCAGGCAGCTTTCAAGTTTGACAAGTTATCGCGAAGATGGAGGTAAGAGTAACCCTCCTAGGGAGGCTTCTTCGGCGAGGACACACCCTGCGACCTGTGTGCGGCAAGATCGTCGAAGTACAGACCGAGGTATATCTTCATGCGAGTCCAGAATCGCCGGGAGTGACTTCCCCAAAGGTCCTGGACCCTCACATGTACATAAGACGAAGGCGGAACAAGTCACAACCTTCGTTGCGACTTGAGCAAGAGGAGTCACCACGTACATGACCACCTATACGGTCACTAAGACGTAATTCATGACCTGTATATACGTATGAAAGCACGTATTATCATCGACGAAGCACTTGTCGCGCTTTGGAGCGAACGCGGTCCTAATCGCGGACTAGTTGATGCGTCTCCGATCCATTGAACTATTCTATTCGTGGACACAAGATGCGTAACCTTAGGTTTTACTCCCCTCGCACAGTATTAGACGGGCGCGATGTGGTATCCACCCTGAAGAGGTGGATCGGCGCCCCGCGAGTCACTGCGAGGAGGGTACGCGCACCTATATTCGGAGGGTCATTCTAAATAAGTGTAACCTTTTTCAAGAGGATACTCGTATTCACCTTGTTGTTATATACATAAGACGTTATTCACTCGGCAGACTAACTGATTGATTTCGTTAACGGGTCTGCCCTGGCGAGCTCGCCTCGCCGGCGATGTCAATAGTCTCCGATCATCCCGACCATTTGGGGGGTGCGCGACGTATTAGGTTGATGCATAAGTAATGGCGCTTTCTTTACACGTAACGTAACGTAAGATAAACGCCATTACTTATGCATCAAACCAATAGAAACATCCACCCGTGGAGGAATCTCTTTGGCCTAGGTCAAACGCATTTTCGAAGGGACGATGGGGGGTTCGCGGAAGCGCGTTACAATGCGATTTCATATATTTTTGACTGAAAGTAATCCGCATATTAAAGACATTTCTTCCAGGGTCGCCTTGAGCGGGAACTCCGGGCGCCGCCATTTGCTCGTCCTTGGTCTTCAGGGTGTCCTTGAAGACGCAGACGAGGTGACGAGGACTCCCACCGCGGTCGAACGGTCCGGATAAGACCTTCACGAGCTAGGGGAGAAACTGTGTAAATATATTTTCTATAAGACGTATCGGGGAAGGGGTCCCCGGTCGACCTGGTGGACACTTTCCGCGGGATTTTTCTCCAGTCTAGGCAATAATGTACGCGGAAAACGCGCCGTAAGGTCGATCGGGATGGTATCTCGGGGGTCCAGGAGTTCCCGAAGGCTGCCCCAGAAAAATCGTGGAAAATAAAAAAGAGAGATGAATATCGACTGGGCCCGGGATGGACCCGATCGGACGACCTCTTTGAGGAAGACAATCAAAAATGTTACACAGAACACGTAAACGGTAACATTTTCCTTGTTGTTTCTAAACGTACGATATATACATATATACATGTACCTAAGAAGGGAATCTTATTACTTATAACGAATGTCTATATAGGGTAAACGTTTATGTATTGTAAAGTCCTCTCGTAAGCGGTTGCATTATTATTTATTATTGTTTACAACGATTACAGAGAGATCGGCGGGGACCAGCCTCTTTGCTCGAAGGCGGTTTCGATTTCTACACGAGGACTGGCCGACTCAGGACTCGAGTTGCGACTTCAGTGAGCCATTGTTTAAACAATTTAGTCAAATGATAATGGCATCGCGGCCATCTGGTCGTATCTTAAAACGTCCAGCTCGGTTTCTTTCCGTTTTTTTTTTCTTTCTCCGTGCGCGGTCCGCCCATTATCATTTTTCCTCCGTTCGGTCTTTTTGTTTCTTCTTTTCTTTTTCTCTTCAAGCCTTCAGGGAAGTGCCATCGGCCGACTCTGATGGAGGTCGGAAATTTCCTTCTCTTTTATCTTCCGTTCGTCCAACGACGAGTAATGTATACATATAGCGGGACGAGTTGTGATATTAATGGATCTCAAAGCAATCGTAGGATCGCGAATAAATGTCGGGGGTGGCGGGGGGGAGAGTGCACCGCGGTTTCCGGAAAAGCGAGATGAGAACGAATACGAATGATTTAAAAACGAAATCGCGAAACGAGGTATCATCGATGGCCGGTTGCGAAATCGTGTAGAGATTAATCTAGAGACTCCTGTAGAGGTACATGTCCCCTTCGCGCAGCACAGAATTTCTCAATTGTGCGGTTTTGCAATGTTTTTTTTTTTTTAATCCGAAGATCCTTTGGGCGATTATGGCCAGGGTGCACTTGTCCAGTAAATTCTGCACGGTAAAGAAAAGTGTGTGAATTTTTCTAAATAAACTCTTATTATAATCACTAATTTTTGGAGAGAGAAATGAAATATCGCGCATGGAAAGTTGGTGTATAAAATTTTGTACAACGTTATGCAGAGGCTTCGGAAAGGTCAAAGGACTTGGAGATATAATTATATATATATATTTTTTTTTCTGTAGAAATTGTCCAATTTTGGAGAATCATTGCAATACCGTAAATTGGCACGACATGTTTTTCAGCAATTTTGCAAACATTTTTGCACGTGTGCTGAAACGCTTTGAACCGTAAATTGGTACGACACGTTCTTCAGCAAATTTGCAACCTTTTGCAGACGTGCTGCAAAATCTTTTGAACCTTACATTGGCACGACATGTTCTTCAGCAATTTTGTAGCACTTTTGCAGATGTGCTGCAATGTTTTGAAGGTATTGAAGTACTGTAGGATTTTGTGCTGCGTGGGAATTTACGAATAGATCCCCCGGGAATGGCATTTAGTAGAATTCCGGTAGGTGTCATTAACATTGCCACAAAGGTACGAAACACGATAGATTGCGACTGATTACAACCGTATATTCCACTGCAATAAAATTCGTCATTTACAGCCGAAAGGGCAGATCAAGATCCATATTTCCACGCATCCGAAAGCTCGATCAATGATCCAGAGCTCGAGGAATTTGATTCGTGATTTAGTACCCTTCTTGCACCTGGAAGAAATATTCTCTTAATAATCGGGGACGATTAAACTGTTCTGATTAGCGCAAGGAAAAACTTAGTTACAAGTATACCAATAATGATGAGGAGGGAGGTTCTGTTGTTAATAGAGTAAACGAAAATATAAGCAGTTTCATATTTAGCAAATAATTTAGAATGCAATGGTGAATGTTAAATTTATCTTGCATTTCTTTTCCACGAGAAGTGGCGAGGAGAGATTGTTCTTTAGGTGAACAGGAATTAAAGGAGAAGTTGAACAAATTATTGTTTAGATTATTTCTCATTTTTAATAATCAGTTCTTGCCATTATGCTGTATACGTAATGTGATAACTTTAATATTATACATATAAAATGTGATTAAAGATATTAACGCGGAGGGTGTATTCTCGTGTACAATAGCGGTGGTTAAATCAGTATTTTGCGACTACCAAATTAAGTTAAATTTTGGGAAACGGGGAAAATGAAGGATCTTCTGGAGCAATGGTCGTTAAATATTGTTAGGTGACTTGTCGCATGCACGAGATGAGTGCCACGGTACATTTTCAATGAGTTATCTTATTAATATCATCTTTTAATCCATGTTAATCGATGTTTTCAACAGGTGATTTATTATATAAATTTGTGGCAGGTGTTTTAAATACGCTTTTAAGGACCCAAGACCAAAGAATTGGCCAAGCAGTCTCACTGTTGTCCTACCTTAAGTTATATGTGATCGTTAATCTTAATTTGTAGATATGTCGAGGTCAGGAGATCAATTTTTTTCAATTGAAAAAAAAATACTAGGAGAAATCTGCAGTTGTACTTCGCAGTTTCTGTTTTAATAATATATGTATATATTTTTTTCCCACGTACGTAAATTGAAATTATTTCAATAGAACATACAAGGGGAGCATTTTATTCCTGCGTTGTCGGACAGTTTACGTTCCTAAAAAATGTTTACATATTGGTATAATATTTTTTCCAAGGTGACGAAAAAAAAAAAAAAAAATGACCCGAAGAAAACTGCCCGTACTCCCCATCAGCGTTATTCCAGAGTGGAGATCGAATTGAAAAGTTCCTTCGCGAAAACGCGCCTGCCAAGGGTTCTTTTTTTTATCCCTTGAAAATTTGTGCGAGAAAATCCCGGAGGAATTAGCGACATTTCTTCCTTTTTTGTTTTTTTCTTTTTTTTTTCCTTTTAAATATCGTGTGTGTCAGCTGCCGAATCGACCGGAAGCTTTTGGGAATGGGAGCTTTCGCGCGGTTTGTCGGACTCGCGATTTTACGGGGAAAGGTGATCGAGAAGTGGAGCTTAAAGCCGATTTAACTGTCTCTGGTGTAAGTAGGTGTTAAACTTAAGGGAGAGTTGCATTTTTAAGTATCCGTACTGAACACTGAAGTGGGAAAGAAGACGGCGGGCCGGGTGGAGGAACGCGAGTACTTCCATATGCAGTTAGTATTAGGATGCATAAGTAATGCCGTTTTTTACACCTTACGTTACGCGTTAGAAAGGCCATTACTTATGCATCAACTTAATACCTTGGCGCGAAATTCTACCGAATTTCCAGACTTCTTTTCGGACATTATGGCCCTGGACTTCCCGGAATTTTGCATTTATCGTGGAAATTAAACGTAAATAAACGAAATTAAACGAAAGGTGTCCGTCCACCTTGCATCTCGTATAATTAAAATCACAATTTTTCGACTAAATTCTAAAATAATTCATTGAGTGGCTTTTCCCATTAAAAGCAACATTCCTAGAAGAGGGTCGGAAGCGAACGAAATTTGTTCCTTTTTTCTTTTCTTTGTTTTTTAAGTGTGCTTTGACATGCAAGTTTTTACAATTGAGTGCACCAGTCGAGGTCTTAAGATTAATAATTAGTTACCATTTATAATATTACATCGTCAGAGTGCAAAATAATTATTATTTATCTGTACTTCTTGTTTGAGATCTTTCAAGGAATTTTCTAATTTTTGATTTTTCAATTCGCTAGGAATTGCTTCTCTCGGGTGATGATTTATTTTTGGCGGATTTTCCTTTCGCCTTTTTTAATGGAGATAGGAGTTTGTATAATGCAATGGGAAGTCATTTTGTTCAGAAAAACAATAAACAAGGAAAAGCGCAGGTTGCACGCTGGATCACTTGGACTTTACGTGCGCGTTAATTGAAACGCGCGTGCATCGCTAATTACCCTTGGTAATGTTAATGTTATTGATTATCTAGTTATACATTGTGTAATGATAATTTAAGAAGCACGCACAGCGTGTCGCACACACTAGTCTTTTTTTAAGTCGCACATGTTCGTTTTTTATGCTCTAAGCTCGGGTCGAGGTGATGTCTTCCATTGAATATTTAATTGTTGATTAGGACAATTTTTAATTGTACAAATTTTCATTTTGCTTAAAACAAGGTTTAATACATCTAACGTGTATGTTAAACAAGTTTAAGTACTTGTTATTTAAAGGAATAATTTATGACAGCTTTTTGCCGAGGCGTATTAATGAGATTATTTAAAATTATTGACAATATTTATTACTTCTGGGTAAAGGCGATTTCATAGATTTTTTTTTTCTTTTTTGATAAATTGTTATATTATTAAAGATATACTTCGACATTTTTACTGTAAAACTGTTCCCGTTTATTAGAATTTTGGGAATTTTAACGAAATTGTAAATAGGATGAATTTCGTGAATTCTGACTGTCTTCGAATTTTCCTAATTAGAATGTTTAACTTGAGCAATTATTTAAAATTCTTTTAATTATTAAGATGTTCAGATAAATAATGGGGTATTCCTGGATGATTTCCGGAGTTAAGTGGACTTTAAATTGTGCACATTTTACTTATAAACAAATTTAACTATTACGATCTAATCTTCCGTCATTTTTACGATACTTTTCTTTTTTTCTCCTTCATATATATCTCGACAAATCTCTGTACAGTAAACCTCGCAGCATTTCGTGATCCGCGATGCACACGTGTTGTCATTCGCCATTTGTAAATTTTTGCATTTTGCAAAGAAGCCTCGAGATGGGTTAGAAAAATCGGAGCAAAAAAATCGAATCGAAGGAAGGTTAAATCTTTCCGGAGGAAGGCATCAATGGTATCTCGAATTTGTATAAATTAATAATTATGATTTGTCGAAATTCGAGATATCATTTCGACTTCTTCGAGAGGTCGTCGAGTTTACCCTCCACCCTCCTCGCGTCATTCGAAACTCCCCTCACTCTATANTAAATATGAATTATATATATATACACAATAAGGATACCAGATATTATATTCGCGTTGAAATATTATGTGTTGTTGCTGTTGATGTTGTTAATCTTAACGTTTAGTGACACGTAGTACCTATTGTAATCGCTGTTCGTAGATGCGTAGTAGTTCGGAGGTGCAGCCTCGATTTAGTAAGGTGTAGATATGTCGATAGACTCGATGCGACTAAAAATGAGGGGTTATGTATAATTATGTATAATTATGTATACACTGCTATTGCTGGTGATCGCTTACACCGGTTCTGGCGTGCGCACTTTTCGATACCACGAATGGGTATCATTAATCAATCTCGTCGTTTAATTAATGGATCATTATTCTTTGCCGAACTCTTAATTGTAACTGAAGCGGTAATTAATCGTTTACGATTAGAGCTAGGAGAATAGTCTCGCCCTCGATTTTTAATGATTTTTTTGTAATTATTCCTTACCCTTTCGTGCTTCGAATTCACGGTATCGTTTCACTATTAGTAACCGTTATCACAATCAGTGGCAACAATGTGGTCTTACACTCGACTTAAACAGATTTGTTATCCTTTATCAATTGTTCCGTGCTTCGAGTTCACTGTACTCGATTTTTCAAAATTAGTCTTTCATTATTGTGTACTTTGAGATCAGACATTATCGGTTTTGGGCATTGTTAACCCTTATCGGTTGTAAGGCATCTCTGAGGCGACATTATTGCATACTATCCATACATTCTTATCATAATTCGTGATAAGTACAGAATGACCGTTCTTTTATAATTAATAATGTAATTGTTCATTGATTAAGCGACGAATATCACAATGTTGCCCATTCCTGGTCGAGACGAGGTCGCAGGTCCGAGCTTTTTCGGGGCCGTCGAAATTAGGTGGCGTCTTATCGAGCTTACTCGCACTTTCCGTAGCCAATCGATCGATGAGGATCATCGATCACACCACAAGTCCCTGATAAAAGCTCCTCCCTTGTCGCCTCGTTAGGACATAAGCGATCTTCACGTAGTCTTCCTACCGACGAGAGCGCGAGATACTCGTCGGTGTTCCGTTATTTGTATACGCGAAAACAATTGTTTGTCCCCGGCCCGCACACCAGGGCAAAGTTTGTTAGCATTTCGAGCCAGACATTCATGTCTGGTTGATTCCTAATTAACAGAATTCCTCGAGAAAGGCGATCAGGAGTCGGCGAACGAGGACGTCGCGCTTCAGTATTTCTAGACTCGTAGAACGTCCATTCCATCCTCGAGATCTTTTCCTACTTCAAGTTCTCGAAGGGCTTTAGCTCTTTCATTAGCGTCGTACGCAATTCTTGGCGAGGACCCATTATTCCCTTTTTTAATAATTAGTTCATCCTCGTTCGCTGACTCCTCACCGATGCACATAAGACTGTTTGCCATGAAAACTTGGCCAACATTGTTTCATCTCAATGGCCTCTAAACGAGATTAATTGACAATTGATGTAATTTGAATAAGAATTCCTGCACACATTGTGATTAGAAAAGCACTATTTACCGTTCTACTGTATACGTGTCCTGCGTAAAGAACAAAAGTTATGTAAGTGTCGTCTTTCTGAATTTAGTTAAGGCCAAGATTTTATAGTACATACTCTTATGTGCGATGGCGCCACTAGTCGGAGTACGAATTAAAATTCTTTTCTTTGCCGATTTTTCGCGACTTCCCAGGGGAGGTTTCTTCGGGAAATTGTTCTTCATGCGAGCCCCGAGATATGTTCGCGTTGATTTGCGATGAGATCAGGATAGGAATGGCTTTAGGTGCTGTAGAATGTGGAGACGCGAATGTTGAGGGGCGAGCCGCGATGTGGTTCCATGCCGATTAGTTGAGCCGAGTCCCTGAAGAGGGAGATTCGGTATCCCTCGGAGTTACCGAGTTAGGGAAGGGCGGAGTGGAATCTATTTAATAAGTGTAATTGTAGTCGAAACGGCCTGCATGTGACAAGTAGCTACCTGGCCCTGAGACAATTATGAGACCTGTAATTCGACAGAACTGTAATTCCTTCCGCTAATTCTGCTCGTAGTGGACATTTACTAGATAGAAGATCTTCTCCACGGCGAAGTACACTTGAGAAAGGAAGGGTTAATTAAACGATGTTCATTTACAAAATCCTTGAAATTCATCGATGCGTCTTTCTTTTTTGCACATATTCTCGATTAATGAACATTTAATTTCATTTTCATTCATTATACGTTTAGATGAATTAAGGGGTTAGTTAATTATTATCGAATTTATGGTAGATTTAGGGGTATTTTGTGGGGTTTTTCAGATATTTATTTCGTGGATAATGATCGCAATTATTTGTTGGAGGAAGAGTTTTTGCTCTTCCATCCCTTCCTTTCTTAACGAGGTCTCTATTCTTACAACGATACGCGGTACCTGATTGATTCTGTCGAAATCAGCTGATTACTTTGTATACGAATGATTCGAATCTCACTGTACTCTTAGGAAACCGATCAGCCAGTCTGTCTCTCTCTTCTGAAAGTATATTACTCTAGATGACGCCTTGTGATACTCGGAAACGATCTGAAAATTATTAAACGAGCCGTCGCCATTTAAAGGGCAACATGGAACGACTTTATACACACGTTTAGAAATTCTCAATTTGGTCGAATTTTAATTTTCATTACATTTAGTATCACAAATCTCACGATAAAGACAAATATACCGCAATCGATATGTATATATGATATATTTCACAATTTTAATTACGATGATATTACCATTTACTTTTTTTTATAAAAGAAATCTTCCTTAAGGAAATGTTCGTTATCAGGCGCTGTTAACGAAGCAGAAAAATCAGTTGTCGAGTAACTTTGATGTTATCATTTTTTTGGATAAAGATGTTTTCAAGGGAAATTCAGAAAATTTCCGAAGTAGGATACATTGTCAAGTGTTAAAGGAGAAAATTGAGTTGTTGATCTCTGTTGTTCTTCGAATGACTTTCGGATTCGTTTTTATTGCTACTTTAAACTGCGACACTGCTAAGCAGCCATTGTTGTTGCGATTGCTTTCGACTGTTAAGATTAAGATGTATTTTGGAGAAATCCGTAGACATTCGAGTACCGTCATGGGCCAGGGAATCGTTTGTATAAGAACGGCTTTCGGCTTGTTATGCCGAAATTAATCGTAAGCGTAGTCATTAACGAAGTAGATCTAGCAAATGTAGAACAGCATACGTAGAGAGTGGAGTTCAAAATGGGAGGGAATGATCTTCCGAGTCTCGTCTTAGAGCTCGATAAGATACCTTTGTCATACTTAATTTAAAACTAACGAAACTACGTCTTCGTTCCAGGCGTGCGTCTTTTAAAGTGATCGCAATCGTCAATTCCTCAACAACCATATCGCCTGTAAATTCACAGTATTTCACAGTATTCTTGATTTCATTCAAACTCAAATGTATATCAATGATCTACACACCGAGGAAAAAGAAGTTTGTCAAATTGTAATCAGTGTTGAATTTCATAAGAATTACTCTAATATCTTGGGCCCATAATCACATCCTTAATTTCATTGATTCGATTTATAATCGGTGACATTAACAGAATTATACACAATGCATTTTTTTAACGAGTAGAATTCTAATCGCGATTTCCCCGATGACAAAATATTTTTTAAGGCAGATTTTCGGGCGCAATTTAATAACTGGTGGGAATTTCTAGGAGTCATGTTTGTCGAGGCATTGATTTCAGATCACTTTCGCACGCGTAGATAAAGAGAAATAGAGAGTGAGAGAGAAACTGATTACGTGTACATTGATAACGATAAAACTGTGTACATTGCGTAAAGTGCGATTATGTGTTTGCTCTGTTGCCACGTAATGAGCGGTATTTTGCCATTAGTTCAAAAGATTTCGTCTTCCCGTCTAGCTGTAGGCTTTTATTGCCATCGGAGCTCGAGGTTTATCTGTTTTATAATGGATTGGTCTTGCATTAGTTTAGGACCAGTTTTGGATCAATCTTGGACAAGTTCACGGTTAGTTCTGGACCTATCTTGAACCAGTTCGCAAGTAGTTCTGGACAAATGGTGAACAAGAATAAATTCAGGATTATTGTTGAACAAGAGTCCGAAATAGGTTCAGGACTAGTTCTAGATCTCTTCGGGACTTATTACGAACCAGTCCTGAACCAGTTTTGAATAAAAATCAAAGTTCAATCGGTTCAACTGAGATCTTATCGAATAGAGAAATCCCGAGGCTACGTCGCGTTTAATCATTGTTATGTTTAGTACTGATGGCCGTCATGTAACGGCGTGTAACTATATATATATACATCTCGTTATTAACTTATTCTGTCGCCATTTTAATTTAATCAAAGGGATCCGATGGTCGACTAACAGGAACGTCTGTGTGTCGTCAATACTCAAGCGTGGTTTTATCGATCCTTCACCGTTTACCTCCTTCCAGCTTTATTTTGTATGTCAATAATAATCAGTTGTACTTGTTGTGTTCAGTTCTGCGTGTTATCTTGGTTGTCCCCTTTCCTCCAATTTAAAACGGCGTCGTTAATTGTCTTGCTTCCATTTTCCGGTGCCCTAAACTACATATCTATGTTAGTAAAAATTCCAGATCTAATTTTTCATTTAACCTCCGATCCTTATAATCGATACCATATACGTACAGTTATATACAAAGGTTCAATACATTGTTGCAATTGTTGGTATAGGCATTTTGCAGGCACGAGTAACTAAGCTAGCTTCAGATCTTACCGAGATATTGCATTCTTTCCTCTTTTCAAGGCAATAACATTTCTTTCGCTCGTCTCACTTCGAGAAATCAATCATCTCGTCCGTTTCTATGTCGACAATAAATTATATTACATTAAATTATAGTAAATTATCTCCTGCTTCCGTGTACGGCTTGTTTGCGCCTTTTTAAACGAATATGTTTTGCCGCCGAGTGCGTGCGCACTTTGTAACCAGAAAGTACTTAAATGTCGTTCTTAAACTGTAATTATCGTCGTTATGACTTACTGTCTTGCGCCCTTACTCTTAATCGTGGTGTACGTATTTATAAGTATTTCACGAGTACAATTGTCTCGAATCTTGGGACGAACGGGGAGAAGCCGCCATCTTGGAATCGTTGGCGACCATCAGGATTTCCATTCGAATTAATTCTTTAACGTTGATACGACTCAAAATATCCACACAAGAAAATTCGGAAATAAAAAGATTCATATTCGAGTTCGAAATATAACTCGTAACTATCTCCAGTAATATATAATTTTAAGTAAAGAGGTGTAGTGTACAGCCATGAACTTGCTTAAGGCGCCGTCACTTTTTTTTTCTTTTTAAATGTTATCTGCTGAAAAATTCGGAAATTAAGGTAAAGCGATAAATTGAATCGCTAACGCTGAAAACAAATTCTCCTGATATACCATCGGAAACAGCGTGTTACGTTACCGATTTTTACAATTCCGACAATACATTTATAATTCTTTTTAATGAAATTGCTCAGCGCCTTTCGTATCACTTTAATAGATCAGATTTCAACGAAACCAATTATTAGATTAGATTTTTTGTAGCAATGTTGCACCGCACCCAATGCCTCTGGTCGTACTTTAGCGACAATATTGCACTGCACCTTCCCGAATCTCCATAGCAGCGGGAAGTAAGTGCTCTTTTGAGTGCAGGGCACTTACGCCCTTATGGCTATGGTGTATGACCGAGATATGACAGGGTTGCTGCCAAAGTGCGATGTGTCGTTAAAATGAGCCGTTAAAGTGAGATCTACGAACACCTTGAAGACTACTGAAAGGTACTTTCTTAAAAAAAAAGGAAAAAAAAGAAAAAAAAAGTTGAAAAGAAGGAGAAAAAAAATTAGTCCCTTCCGAGATTCGAACACGGTACCCCTAGGCCATTCCAAGACTCGAGACACTCGTCAGGTGTGATAAGGTGAACGATTAAAACTCATTAACGAAGGGTAGGGGTGACTAACGAAGTAATTAGGGTTCATCCAATGATTTCCTCTCTGACTCACGTGTGCCTTGCTCCTCGATTACCCTTTACTGTTATGCACGCGGTCCTCGGTTTACATATGTTTTTCTTTATTAGTAAATGTCTTCGATGTTCGATGTCGCTTCTAGAAGTAAGCCCAGGAGTAGAGTGGGATGTAAGGGGTGAGAAAAAGGGTTTAATTGTAAGCCACGGGTCTTAAAGTGTAAAATGCCGGTCGTAATGCTGGTACCTGGGAAGTGAAGGAGGGAGAAGGAATGGAGGAAATGTCTTTTGACGTTTCACTTACTGATATCATTTATTAAGGTGGTTGGTAGACTGTGAAATGCGTTTCAATCAATTTATTATAATTAATTTCAGTTTAATAGGCTGCGAGGATGCGTAGATAACTGCGATGGGGCTGTTTCGTGGAGAATTTAAGATAAAGGCTTCAAAATGTTTTCAAATGGCGGACAAGTGGGGTCCCGATATTTTTTTTTTATTTTCTATCACGAAAGAAAAAGTTAAGGTCTTTTTTAAGGGCTTAGTAAATGGAGAAGAGTAGTTAACAATCGATGGCACGAGTTTTCAATGAAAATAAATTCAGATTCTAGTAAAAAAAGGAACTAATCGAAATCGGATACGCATTGCTTTTTATCCTCTTCCTTCTGAAGGTATTTTGAAGAGAAGCTTTCGCCAGAAATCCGCGATTCTTAAATCCGATTTTCTAGTTTCTAAAGCCACCTTAACGTTAGTATCTTGTTTCAGACTCGTCGTTCTCTCTTACTTTAAATTCTCTGCAAGTTAAATGAAACAGTCGTGTAAGTGACTATTTCCTAGACCTTTTCATCCCCTTTTAAACTAACTTCGATTAAAACGCATTTCATAGCCTACTGACCCCCTTAAAGGTTACGGTGCTGCTTAAGGTGTTTTAACGCACGCAGGAGCGAAATCGAGTATCAACGACATTATTGATTTAGTATCGATTCCGGTACCGGCATTAAGACTTGTAACGAGAAACGACGGTGTGTGAAGTTTAGGAAAGTATCGAAACTGGCAGGACAAGAGATTCCAGCTGATCGGATCGATCGAGATCGAGCGTTCGATCACTCGCATTTCGGGAGATTTTGCGATTCGTCGGGAGGCTATTGATAGATGACTTTTGACCGGGTCAAATGTTGAAATTTATAGCGAAAGTGGTGCCTCTTCGTCTTATCGCGAGATCCCCCGATAATTGCACCCTTTCGGATGCGCAGGTTTACGCAAACGTCGTCTCTTCCACTTTCGCAAAGTCCGACATGCCGCGAACGAAAATCGGAGGTCTGTGTTAAGACTTAAGGTAGACCGTAAACCTGAGTGTGACTTTTTTAGAAACTAGACTAGACGAATTGTTACACCCGCTGTTTAAGGAAGCCATCTCACCAACAAGTACACGCGGAAACTCGCGTACCGTAGGTATGTCCGTATGACTTGCGAGTAATAACGACATTCTCTTAAATGGCTATACTGCACTGTAAATCCAAGGAGAAGGTCAAATAAAACTTAATGTCATAGGAGTACGACCGGCGACTTTCGAGTTTCCTTTTAATATATATATATTTTTTTTTTATACATCGTTCCAGGGTCTTCGAGAGAAAATTTCCATCTTTTGCAAGAGAACTCCCCCGAATTAATTTCCAATGCTTTTCTTATAATCTCAAGTATTGCAATTATTTCCTTGCTTCTAATCATTCTTTTATCCCAAACAGTAGGAGGTAAAATAAAGAAAATGCCAGTTATTTTTTTGTATATTTTGCTTCTAGATATTTCTATGTTTTATAGAAAATATCTCTCCGAATGATTATTTTGTTATCAGTTCTTCTTGAATTGTTAGATTGAACTTCCTTATGATTTAAAATGTTAGAGGATCAAGAGAATCCTTCCTCTTTTATTTCATGCTCCTTTTTTATACTTTATATCTTACTTAGTAAACCCGTATATTTTTATCTCATGAAGTACCTTAAAATTATTATTAAAAATAAATAAGCCCTTCTCGAGAGGTTCCATTGATTTCATGTTCTGTCATTACTGCTTCTAGGCTTTCCAAAGTACGCAACTAGTGCGTGGTAACGATCCAATATGCTATAATCGTTCTCGTTATTTCCATTAGTGATTACGATTTTTCGTTTAGTCACTTCTCTCAGTAAGTCTGTTCGGAAGTCCTCCTTCAGTTCTGCAGGAAGTCGCTCTAAGAAGGGATTGACGGCGTCCGCATGTTCTAAAAAAGTGATGTAAAATAATTAAGCAAATCACTTAAGGCGATATGAAAGTGATAATCTCTCTGCATAAAGCATCGAGATATTTATAAAACTGTTTTTTAAACAAGATGCACCGAATCGTCGGAGACTTCAGCAGGTGAATATGGAGGCCCTAAGGAAGAACGTGGTGTTCATGAAATTTCATTTTATAATATAAATTTTTTGATGCTTATCCCAGACAAAAAATCTATATTAAACAATGAAATTTCATGAACACCGCGTTCTTCCTTAGGGCTTTCATAATCACGTGCTGAAATTTCAAGAGGTCTTGTTTATGAAACTTTTGACCGAATCGAGCGTATCAAATCGTTTCAAACTTTACACTGTGAATATGGAGGCTATGTAAAAAGGCCTGACACTCATGAAATTTAAATTAAAAAAAAATATCTTTATAGATATTTTAAGAATTGTTTATAAAGAATTAAATTTCACGGGTGTCAGGACCTTCCTTACAGTCTTCGCGTTCGCGTTGTAAAGTTTGATATGATTCGTTACACCCAGTTTGGAGAAAAGTTTCATAAACTATTGACTCTTCAGATGCCACTTTGACGTCCCCTTAATATACATTATTTAACTCACTCTTCAGGATTTCTGGACTCTGGAAGACGAAGGTCCTTTCTCTGTTGCTGCAGTGGAGGACCTCGAAGCCGATCTCCGTCAAAATGGCCCTCAATTTCTCCCTTGGATTGGAAGCTTTCTGAAAAACTGGCATGCACTTCCGCACGTCCTGAAACGGGGATAACTATCCAGTAGCATTGCACAAATTTTGGCGTTTCGTGTACAAGTCATCACCTTCATATAAGGTTGGTACCGAGGATCCTTGTAGAGTTCCTCGAAGGCTTCGAATCCTGACTGGTGAGACAACAGGATGATCAGACATTTCCCTCCTGGTCGCAGGAGTTTGTAAATGTTGCCAAGGGCGACCCTAATTTAATTATTGTTTGACCATGAATTTCTAATGGAAAAGGGTGTATGAAATTGTGGAGCATGTAACCGCTTGGCACTTCATTTAAATTACCTGATTTCCTGGCACCAGTGCAGGCAATAAAAGGACACGGCGTTATCAAATCCCTCAATCAGCTCGTTGGGTAAATTCAACGTCTCTATGTCTAACTCAAAGAAGGACAAACGTCCTTCTTCGTGGTATCTCTTCGAGGCAAACTCAACAATCGTCTTCGACTTGTCGACACCTGGAAAAATCGACCGGATGATTTGTCAAGTACGGGGAGCTTTTAAATAATATTATGAAAATATTCAACAGGTTGACGGAATGATTAAATAATACTTGGAATTATTTACGAAGTCGGGTAATCGGTGGATTCTACACTAAAAGTAGCAGTTTCAGATTGGAAGATAATACTCAAGGTGGAAATTAAACGGGAATTAATTTAACGCGGAATAAATTATCACGTTCTTTATGGTTTATATTGAAAGGGTGAAAACCAGATTGGACGAACCTTCGAAAAGGATCTAATTTAGCCATCGAAACCTGATAGCAATTACGCGTCGACAAATTACGCTCGTTTTATTCTGTTAATGGGTTGACATGAATCGCCAATGTCAGCGCAATAAATGTAAAAATACAGAGAGCTTAGCTAAACAGTATGGCAGTAACTTGCGGAAGGCACGAAGGCATACGGTCAGCAAGTCGTGGCTTCTCGATGTCCAGAAAGAAAAATCGGCATATCGGCGGCATTTCCAGAATAGAAATGGCGTAAGCCTCGATTAAATGTCGACTCAAGTCACGCTTAGAGCAGCATAATGCACAGAACTCGAAGGAATGGCAATTTTTAATAATTTCTCAAAGGTTTACTCCCACGTAAAATGCGAATAGTGTTAATGAACCGTGCGGGGCATTCGAATACGTCCGCCATCTTGAAATCGCAGAGGGAGTATCTAGCGAATTGCTCTGTATCCATTTTCGCAGCGTGCACATCTTTCCGAATGTAAGTCGATATCTGGAGATGGTAGAAATGTATTTACATGCGTCAGTGCATGAGTAAAATTGTCACTCAATATCGCGACTTTAAATATAGACCACATTTCATTCCTAGTAAAAGAACTCTCGTAAGGATTTTCAAGATGGCGGCGTCCTAGAGAGATTAAATCTTCTAAGATAGACTTTTTCTCCGAGGATTTTTCCTCCCTCCTCCGGAAATGGATCTTTTCATAGAATTTCAGGATAAATCTCGGAAAGCTTGAAGAAATTATACTTGTTAATGAGCTCATTTTTAGTCCCTAAGAAATAGTACTTTGTTTTACGTCGTTATTTTTTGCAGGCTTCTTCAGGGCCTCTTTGCATATCAAGTGTTCTTTATCGAAATGCCTCTTTCATGATCTTCATCCCCCCGAAAACTAGTGTTCCCTTTTATATCATTATCTTTTGCGTGGACTTCATCAAGGTCTCTATATCTCGGTGACATCGGAAGGGTAATTACCAACAATGACGGCGTCTTTTTTCAGCCTCGGGAGGACCAGATCAGCAGTTACATCTCCAGGACCAGCTCCAATGTCGACGCATTTCCCTCCCATTTTTGAAATCTCCTTTGCAAATTCCTCTATCAGGTCCGTAGCATCCCGACGCTGAAGATCATGGGCTTTTGCGTAGGCGATGCAGTCCAGCACTGGGTCCATCTTTGGGGCGCCACTAAAAAGGTTTGATTAGTTTAAAATCTACCGAAAAATCGGGCAAATTGGAACCGATGCATCCTTTCGTCAATCGTGACGGTAGAATTGATCTTTCTTATTAAGAACTATTTTACCAAAAATTAAGGTTGACTGAAATTCGTCAAGAAGAGACGCACTGCTGGTTCCTACTGAGAACTTCCTAGCCCGGGCTTTGTACTTATAGAGCCAAGAGTTCCACCTCCCCTGACGTGTGATTCGTGGTACCAGAAACATCTTTAAGGAGAGGAAGGTCTTCTCTTAATAATGCCCCAAACTGCTTCTCATTGGTGGCTTTACGTCGCTTCTTTCCACGTCGTCAGTGTGGCTTCCGTTTCCATTTTCTAATAAGTCGCCTTCCGTCTGAAAGAGGTTGGATCAACGATTTTTATGGCGACTTTTTTTTTTTACATAACTCTATATATGCATGCAGAACAGTTCACACACTTTATGATTTCATTGTCGAATCTTGTCATTAAAATGCCGAGTCCTGCGTTAAGTATTCGGTCCTGGTCGCGCAGGCTTTTAAATGTATTTGGCGCGAAACTCTACCGAGTGTCCGTGCCAGCCACGAGGGCTTAACAAAGTAGGGTATACGTTGATAAATTACCGAATAAACGAAACAGAAAATAATGGATGAAGTGGTAAAATCTGTTATCGTCGTCTCATGTAGTTAAAGTGCTTCGTCCCAAAATATGTGAGCGGTATATATTATATATTTAAATCTTACTGCTGTATCATTCTTTATAAGTGTGAATAAAAATTTAACAAATGGTTCAGCTTCGTGAGGTGTATTGTGTGAGGAAAGTGAAATATTTAAAAACTATATACATATAGTCCTGTTTAGAGGAGATTATTTTCCCCTTTTCGGATCGCAAGAATCGGCTCAGCCGTTCCCGTAATTGAATTTATCTAAAGCTTAAAGCAGGCTCCCATAAGTGACCCACTTTTCATGAAATCTCCCATATACCTTCCCCGTGAACCACTTTCTGAAAGAGTTATCGCCGTAAACATAAAATGGCCGAGTCTGAGTTTAGAGGAGGTGTCGGTTTCTCGGGGCGGCATCTTTTCGAAAAGCCGATGAAAACTTGGAGAAGCTTCTGCTATTTGGGGACCCTATTAAAACCAAGAATCTGGAGTTCCCAAGATCTCTCTCCTTCTCTCTCCAGTGCGAAAAGGGAAATCATTCGGCAAATTGGCGGAAATACCTTCTCCGGAAGTTTCTGGACCAGCGATGGCGGAGTTTCGATCCGTCTCCTTCGAGGAATTAATTAAAGTTCCTTTCGGTGAATCCCACGGGAGGGGATTGGTCAGTATTAGATATGGGGGAGGTAAATAAGTTTATTTGAAGTTTCTGTTAGGTGCACGGTTTCGTTACAAGTTTATTCTTTCATTACAATTGGCTTGTACGATGCGGTCCCTTTCTGTGATGTGCAAATTTACCCTGCGCAAAAAAGTCACTTTGTAGAAAAAAAATTAATTCTTTGGTCGAATGGATCTTTACTGACTACTATCAGCAAACTAAGATTAAAAAGAATTAAGGAGAATTAGAAACAACATTCATCTTTATTAAACTCCAAGGCTGATTGTCTCATTATTGTTACATTTTCTAGACATAAGCGTATTGAAAATGTAAATGGATTCACTTTAAAGAATGAAAGACTTTCAAAGAATTAATAATATTCTTGTAATAAACAAGAACTTAATATAATTATCGGGGTGTCCGAGGGTTTTTCTCTGATTCGCTAACGGTTATCAGTAAACTTATTCTTGCATCAACTTCAAACCACAAAGCTATATTATTTCATAATTTTTCCTAGAAAGTAAATTTTGGCTCATCGACAAAACTGTTCATTGAACCAAAGAAATATTCAGCCAATTAAAAGAAAAATGCTTCGACTGAAAATCGAAAAAAAAATGGTGACCACTTATTCGAGCCAATTATTCATTGAATAAAAAATACATTTCTTTGGTATTATTAAAAGAAATAATTCTTTAGTGCAATGAGTGTTTTTTTTTCTGAGTGACTATCAAGGAGTAGTTACTTTAAATGTTCTAAATAGGCTCTGGCAACGCTCTTAACAGCTGGTCTTCCATATATTATAATTCAACAGTCAAACTAGATTTTCCGGCTGCCTAAGAATGGGGGAGACTCTTGGGCTAGGTCAGGGTCTTTGTCCCGTTAAAGGGTCGTCAACCTCTTCGCCCTAGCATGGGGCGACCGGATGTTGGGCACTTGTCCTTCGAGTTTTCTTTTTTTATCTCCCGGATGGGAGCCGGGAATGAGAGAAAAAGAGACGAGTCGGAAAGAATTCGAAAAAGGGACGCGTTACCTCTTTATGACCGACCCGGGCTGCTTTGTGTGTCCGGTACTATCTCGAACGTCATCTGTGACTATTCTTCTCTAGAGGCAGTAAAAAAGCAAGATGGCCGCTCCTAGGAATAGAAAAGCTACTCGACTAGTTTTACTGACCCACTTTTCCGCTGTATCGGGATTTTACCTTCCGAACCTGCCTGACCTACGCCATGTTGGATCTTCACGATCCCCTCGAATTTACTTAATTCGAATAAATTGGGAATAAATTAAACCCTCCACGAGAAACGGAAGTCCCTAAAACGTGGAAAAAAAGCAGTTATTTAGATTATGTCATTTGTAGTTGTTTGTAAATATATAGTATACAATTTTACCTTCCGAACCTGCCTGACCTATGCCGTGTTGGATCTTCACGATCCCTTCGAATATACTTAACCCGAATAAATTGGGAATAAATTAAATCCTCTGCCAGAAACGTCAGTCCCTGAAACGTGTAAAAAAAGACACTTATTTAGATGTAGTCTTAGCAGTTGGTTTATTATTATGTTTGTAAACAGCTGTAAATATATAGTATAAAATGAATGAATCGCTGTCTGAGATTAGTCTAAAAATATTGTCAAATATTGAAAATATAAACAATTCCGTGAGAATATCCTGTTCAAAATGCTTGTGTTTCCTATACTTTAGGTGCACAAAGATTGGTTAAAATACAAATTCGGTACGACGATTTAAATTTGTACGCCAGTTTTGTAAATTTAAACAAGTTTCAAATTTTCCATTTGACGGCAGACTTTTCCGAGCATTTTGTAAAATTATAAAGCTAGCATGTTGAATTTATCTACGAGAGTAATATACATTTAATGTTCCGCTTGGAAATACACGTTCAATGAATTTATTACAATATTCTTTAACAATGTACTATAAAACAAAATCAAATTCCACTTGATGCCGCCCTTAAAATTGCAAAAAGTAATTTGAAATACAAAAAAATTGATTATTTATACGCGCAACTATGAAATGCGCGAAATTTGATGAGTGCTCAATTTGTTACGCGCATCTCTTCCGCTTTGCTAAATCATTTTATCCATTTCGCATTAATTTAATTTCCCCGGCCGAACGTGAAACTGAAGCTGCATGTAAAGCGAAGAATGGCGTAGCAGATACATATATGCTAATTAGTGCAATACATTTTGAGGTCCTTTCTTCCGTGTTTACTCCCTTTGACGAATCATTTCTCTCCATATCGAGAGGGCGGCGGGATGGGGTGTGTATGTGTAGAGGAGAGCGATTCGGGGGTGGGACCAGGGATAATTTCATTTTCCTACGTAAATGCATTATAACTCGCGTTCGCGTTCGAGTGAGGCGCGAGTGAGTCGTGCAATATGTTTGATTAATAATTAGAGCACTTCCCTCGTACCCTTTCGCGTCCAGTTCGCATAGGGATGCCCTCGTCCCACCCCTTATCATGTACGGGGCCCCATAACTCTACTGCCTAACTAAACGATAGTTAGCGACACACAGATAAAAAAAGTTAGTTGACTCAAAGAAATGTACTACAACAAAATCTTGCGATTAAATACGTCCGAAGAAACGTCAGGAAGAGTAAATAAAATTCGTTAAATCAACAATATAATTTTTCTTCTCAACGAAATAATTGTTTCTTGCAATTGTATGTGATCTGGCGATGAAATATGTCGAAAGAAATGTCAGGAAGAGTAAATAAAATTCGTTAAACCAACGATATAATTTTTCTTCTCAACGAAATAATTATTTCTTGCAATTGTATATGATCTTGCGATGAAATATGTCGAAAGAAATGTCAGAAAGAGTAAATAAAATTCGTTAAACCAACGATATAATTTTTCTTCTCAACGAAATAATTGTTTCTTGCAATTATATATGATTCAGGCAACAATGTATATTTGTTTTAGTCGATTAATCTTTTCTCTTAGTGCAATCGTCCCCTCGAAGCTGATGTCAGGATGGCCTCTACACACTTTCAAAAATGTCTAACTTTATACAATTTAAGTGCACAATGTTGTATTAACATTGTATGTAATACAATTTAAATTAATGTGCAATGTTTATAAATGTAGGAACGAGTTTTTAATTATGTGTAATTTTATCAGACATTCTTGATTAATTGAAATTATCATATCGAATTGGTAATTCGAAGACGACTTTGTGTACGGGTCGCTTCTACATTATAAATTCATGGGGTTAAGAGCAATTTTGAACGGAATTTTGGATTTAAGTTGCTCGTGGGGAATTTTACGAATGGTCATCCATAGTCAATTAATTCGAAATAAAAAGAATGTTTTCAACGATGTAGGTTAAAATTCAGAAGCTGGAATCAGTGGCGTCCCTGGGGCGTTTACTCGAAATTTCGATATTTTACGAACATTCGTTCAAAATGTAACATTCTTATATTTTGGCATTCTACAAAACATTTGTATATAAAATTTCCGGACTTTGAATTGAGAATTTTTCCTTCATTATTTTTTAATCAGGAGTTAGTTAAGACGCGTCCTGAAAAAGTGGATCGAATTTTCTCATTTTAGACAGTGGCAAGTCCTGGGAAAACGTGAAGGGGTTAAGCAAAGATATTAATTCCGGAAGATGACATCTCCGGTCCGAAGTTGGCCCGTTTTTCCGT